AGTATTAAAAATTGATTTACTAAATCCTCCAAGATATCTAATCTCGTGGATTAATTTATATTGAAAGTAATACGAAAGTGAAATTGTTTACAGTTTGTAATTTTTCGTTTAAACGTTCGAGAAAGTTGCGTATCGATGGAAAATAATTCCAGGCGAATTGGATTCCACAGCCAAGAATAACTGACGCCCCGTAATAGGCCATGAATCGAAAAGTTTAACCTACACAGGTGCGTTCTCTTACCTGTGGACTGTGGATTATTACGCAACGCGTTGCAGGCTCCAGCAATTAGCAGGCGTTATTCCGTGCGCCATTAAAGCCAGCTCTTGGACGTCCCTTCTACGCTTTTTTTTTCATTCTCTTCGTAGCACTTGAAGTTATTTATGTTATCGGCGTGCGTTGCAAGGACGTTCCGCTGATAGCTTGGAGGTTCTAGACGTTGGTGTCGGGTGTCACGTACAGGGTGAACCGCATTAATTGATCGTCAGATCAAATCCATGAAATTTTCATCTTTTTCTATTATAATTATAGACCTCCTTTTTTCTTTTGTAATTTTCTATCGTCGCAGGAAAAATAAAAAATCGTGGAATAAATCTTTTCCTCCCGGTGAATTTTCTATTAATTTTATTTCAGTGAATAGTAATTTTTTACTGAAAATGTAAATTTAACGGAGGTCATTAGATTATTTTAAATAATATTTTACATGAAAGAAAGCGAAAAACCTGTAATGAAATAAAGTAAAAAAATTCAAGATTAATGGCAGTTTGGAGGTTCCAGACGTTGGTGTCGGGTTCCACGTACAGGGTGAAACCACATTAATTGATCGAGCACTGCTTTTTTTTTTTATTGTAATTTTCTATCGTCGAAGGAAAAATAAGAAATGGTGGAATAAATTTTTTTCCCGAGAATTTTTTTTATTGTAATTTTCTATCGCTGAAGGAAGAATAAAAAATCCTGGAATAAATTTTTTTCCTGAGAATTTTTTTTATTGTACTTTTCTATCGGTGAAGGAAAAATCAATAATCGTGGAATAAATTTTTTCCCCCGTCGATTTACGATTAATTTTATTTCAATATCGTGAATAGTAATTTTTTACTGAAAATGTCAATTTAACATTCGTAAGATTATTTTAAATAATATTTAACACGGAAGAAACGAAGAATCTGTAACGAAACAAAGTAAAAAAATTCAAGCTTGGTGGTAGCTTGGAGGTGTAATTTTAGGTCCAAGATGGCTAATAAAATTATGAACACCAATTAAAATACAAACACTTTCACTATGTCTTTATTATCTTACTTATGGAACTATATATTTCTTTCCACGCATGCACGCTTTCCGATTCTTTAATGGTCTTCTTGTTTCGCCTTTTATTTTTCCCGCTCGTCATTTTTTCTCTCTTCGGATGTTGTCGTCCGTCTTCGGCTATTGTCGTCCGTCTTCGGACGTCCACGCCACGCTCGGTCCACACACCACACATGCATACATTATTTCTTATAGAGGTTCTAGACGTTGGCGTCGGGTTCCACGTACAGGGTGAACCGCATTAATTGATCGTCAGATCAAATCCATTAAATTTTCTACACTTTTTTCTATTATAATTATAGACCTATGCTGAGCGCGGCTGTTTTCTTTTATAATTTTTCATCGTTGAAGGAATAATAAAACATCGCGGAATAAATTTTTCCCCCTGTAAATTTTCGATTAATTTTATTTCAGTGAATAGTAATTTTTTACTGAAAATGTCACTTTAACACAGGTCATTAGATTATTTTTAACGAAATAAAGTAAACAAATTCAAGGTTGATGGTATTTATTTACAATGCAGAATAAATATAACGACTGCCATTAAAATTCAAGTTAAATTATTGCTGGTACATACATTTTTCCCTCAGATTGAATAAGTGTGTACAACATACAGAAAACAAATTCAACAATCTGCATGCTTAATCTGTAACGTGAGAATATGCACATGTTTTGTACAACAACTTTCTTTGTATCATTTAATGGCTCGTGGATATCACTATTCGTGTCAAAACATACGTTACTCTGTATATAATCACTTTTTTTTACGAATGAAATCTCTGTAAGACATTTTTCCCTTTATCTTTATTTACCTTGATAGGAAAATAAAAATGTATACAGTAGTGCCCACATAAATGACCGAATTTTTGCCCACTTAAGTGACTGTGGTATCCCCACTAATTCTTAGAAGCCAAGTGGCTTCGAATATCAAGCGGTGTCGAGCATTTTTTCCTTTATCTTTATTTATTTACCTTAATAGGACAACAAAAATGTATACAGTGGTGCCCACATAAGTGACCGTGGTTATCCCCACTAATTCTTAGAAGCCAAGTGGCTTCGAATATCAAGCGTGTCGAGCATTTTTTCCTTTATCTTTATTTACCTTAATAGGACAACAAAAATGTATACAGTGGTGCCCATATAAGTAACCGCATTTTTGCCCACTCAAGTGACCGCGGTTATTCCCACCAATTCTTAGATACCAAGCGGTGTCGAGCATAATTTGACACTGGTCGTTATCGATTCATTTGTATACAGAGTGTTCGGCCAAACCTGGGAAAAATTTTACTGAGAGATTCTAGAGGCCAAAATAAGACGAAAATCAAGAATACCTATTTCTTGATTGAGGTTTCGTTAAAAAGTTATTAACGTTTATAGTTGCGCCTGTGAGACGGCAACCGTGCGCGCTGCACACTTTAACTTTAAACGTTAATAACTTTTTAACGAAGCCTCCATCAACAAATTGATATTCTTGATTTTCGTCTTATTTTGGCCTCTAGAATCCCCCATTAAAATTTTCCCTGGGGTAGCCGAACACCCGGTATAACATTTCAGTCTTCGTTTTACTTGTAGAAGTAACACACTTGTGAAGTGTGTACGAAAAAATGCGGAATACCCTATACATCGTGGATTTAAAACAGTTTGTAAAATGGAAAAATTTATAACAATGGCCATAAATGGTATATGTATTAAATAATTAATAGAACTTGATAAATGATTCGATAGAACTTTTTCGATCAGGAATCTGATAGTTTATAAATTTCTGTCGCTGGTAGCTTTTGAAGCCCGTCGAAAACACGAATAGTCTTCGAAATTAACGTGTTTAACTGGCTATCGTAACTTTTCTTTGCAATTACTTTTTCGTAAGACCGTTGAATGTTAACTAACACAGTAATTTCAAGGACAAAGTCGTGGTCGAGACAATTAAACAGCTTATTCGCATACTTAAACTTTATCGTATTTTGATTCTTTGGACGCATGCCAACCGCAATATTAACAACTGGAAGAGTGGATTATCATTCTTGTCTAGGGTAAGTTACAACGTGTTTAATTGGCATGATAAGTTCTGTTATTCGTTATGTTACCGCACGTAAGTACTAGAGTTAGGCACACACACACATTTTCCAAGCGTTTCGTGGCCTCTGGAAATATTAATTATTATCAGTTTTAATTAATGTTGCATCATTTTTATTAAATTCTATTGCCAATTTTCCAGTATGTTTATTGTGTAAACAAAGTCATTTTCAAGGCTAACTGTCTAATTAAAATAAAAAAAGACTGAAAGAAAAATAATTTCAACTATGAAACTAAAATCAAAAATCAAAAATTATTTTATTTTTGCTCGAGATGAAAGTTTCCTGTTTATACAATTTTTACGTAAACATTTTTTAATAATAATAACAACAACAACAACAATAATAACAGCAGTTTTTTTTTTTATAAAAACGATGTCTTAATTTCGAACAAAGTTGAAAAATTTTTTTATTTTTTGCTCGAGATGAAAATTTCCTGTTTATACAATTTTTAAGTAAACATTTTTTAATAATATTAATAACAACAACAACATTAATAATAGCAGAGTTTTTTAAATGAAAACGATGTCTTGATTGCGAACAAAATTGAAAAATTATTTTATTTCTGCTCGAGTTCAAAAATTACCCGTTTATTCACATACAATTTCTAGAGAAACATGTTTTAATAGTAATAATAATAACAAGAACAGTAATAATAGCAGAATTTTTTAAATGAAATTAAAAATGCAATTTTATACAATTATAAAAAGTTTTTGCATTTTTTTCCAATATTTCTAGTTCGTTTAATAAAAAAATTAATCAAAACATCAGTATTGGTAAAGTGTAAAAAGTAATTCTATTTTTGAAATTAAATAATTTTTCGTTGCGAAGTAGTGCGGTAAAAACGATTTTCTTCTTGCTCTTCGTCTATCAATGTAAGATTAAATAATTGGTTGCATATATATGTATATGTAGTTGCATGTAGCATAATTTCATGTTTTCAAATCTTGACTGGTACGATTTATCGACGTCCTTGGAGCACGCTTCTAACGTCTGCCGATCGTACAATAGTTCATTTACTTAGAATGGATCGGCATGTTTTGGAAAACGTACTTGCAAGAAAATTTATTTGAAACGATACGTTGATAATTTTTCGTAATCCGATTGGGAATCGGACTGCTTTTTTGGGGGAATTGATATAATTGCGAAACAAAGATTAAAATATATCCGAATACGTTCAGATAATATTCATAATTTTATTAATTTCAATGTTATTTAATTTAATTTTTAGCCATTCGAACTGTCCTCGATCAGTTTCATTTTCGATTTTAAAGGGGCATTCTAGTTTAAATGTCAATTTTTTACGTATTCTCTGGAATGTAAAAAAAATAAAGATATTCTTGTTTCTATATTTAAGAAGCATCTTTCTCGTGTAAAAATATTGGAAAATCAAATTTTTACAGCACTTTTCCGTTAACTGCCATATTAAATCTGCCATACCAACAGTTTCTCGTACTATTTATTTTTATAACCTGAAATTCAAGTGTTCTAACTAGATATTTTTTTTTTTTTTTTTTTTTTGTTTTTATAACCATCTTAAGAATTAATTTTTTTCCAACGTTTTTAGACTAGAATGCCCCCTTAATGGAAATGCATGCTTTATCTGACAATTTCGGCGATAATTGCAGGTGGTTCCGTGCGGCCCTCGAAAATTCTGGCACGTAAGACTGCAATTAAAATTTTCTAACCCTAAACGATAAAGTATTGCCCTCTAGCGCCTGGATTTGAATCCTCGAACCGAATCGAAGGAAATTCTCGTGCAATAATATCGAATATTAATTTTGTTACTATTTAATATCGATAGAAATTATGCGAATAATTTTTCACTCCTAACCGACTAACAGTTTACCAATTGTTTAGTTGTGTTTGGGTATATATAATTAGCCATGTTTTACAAGCGTGAGATATGTTAATTTTTTTTCTTGGATCAAGAACAAACGTTATAATAATTTCCTGCTCTGTCTCGATAAACTAACATTCACGTTCATTCATCGATCGGATATCGTACTTGTAATATTTAATGAGGAAATATTAATCGAGGATCGTTATCTCGGCGCTCGCAAAAAGCCTCGTATGTACAAGTACAAGACAAACACTGCAATTACTGCTTTTTCATTATGCACTTACCCTCGGGAGGACAACAATAATTTTGGTGGACGCTAAATTATCCGTTCTAAAACTCTCGGGCATAAATTTTCACTTATCGATGTTGCCGTACATTATTTATTTATCAACAGAGTTTTATTAACCTTTAAATGCACGCATTGTACAAATACGTTTTGAGGTTAGATAACGGAAATTGTACTGATCTCGTTTATTTGTTTTTCATAGCATCGTTAGAAGGTTTCTTATAATGTTGAAAAATATCCAGGTAACTCTCTGGGTGTAATTTGCGATTTTTTAAAATTAATTATTAAGCAAAAATGGAGGTGTCTAACAATATATTGTAGGTTAATAATTGTAATAGTAAATACAAAGGCTGTATATGACGTAACTAGTGATAATATTTCTCATCTAATTTGCAATCGTTTGACAAATAATTTACTATTTCAACAGCCTTGATTCACAAGTCTGTGTTAATTAACTATTTTTATTCATTATTGCGCGTGCTATGTCTCAAAATTCTCGAAAAGTAATTTCATATTTCGTTTAAATATTTTTCGAAAGAGTTACGATAATTGATTTTGAGGTTATAGTTGTGAAAGCGATAATAAATAGCTTTATAACATATATATATATATATATATATATATATACATATGTATAGTATATTCAGAAGAAACTTTAGAATTGTAGGTAGCAACGACTAATTCAAGGTGATTTGATTTGTTATAGTGTTGCAAACGAATGCATTTAAGGGTTAATCACAAAACCATAAAGAAAGGATCGCGTTAGTTCCTCTTAAACCCTTCATGCTCACTAATCTTAATGATATTTACATGTATTGTTATCAGAATTTTTACTGTGTATTTTTTCTTTTATTAATTATATTCTATAAGGTTGTTACATATACAATTTCTCAATACGACGATAAAAGAATCTAGGTTATATATTTTTAAAATTATTATTTCCTGTTGTGGGAATGCAGTGTCGCCACCTATGAGATAGATTCGAACGGGACTCTCCCGCGCGAAGACTAGAACGTTTACTGTACTCGATGTTACATGCCCTTTTCATTTTCTAAAAGTTACACTATGTAGTCTTAAAATATTATTAAGATAATAATAAGTCTAAGAATACATTCGTGTTAATAGTGGTCTTACTCAAACTATAACATTTCCAAATCAGATTTACATGAAAAAAAATCTGTTCGATGATTGTGAAATAAAACTAAATAAATGTCGAAGCGTGAAATTTTGTTGAATTTTTAATTATTGTACCAAGCGTTTTGGAAAGATAGAAAAAAGGAAAAAAAAATACACACGAATTATATGCATGGCCAGTATGAAGGGGGTTAACAGTGAAAAGAGACTTTTGTAGAAACGTAATCTCGAACAAGAACTCTGTAACTGATTTCAATATTACCCTATTATTAGCCGGACACGTGTCAGTTCTGATTTAACGAGTTGAGTGTATATGCTGTCCATCAAAAAACGTGTCCTACAAAAAAATTCACACGCTTGTTGTACCTGCAATATCCATACGCCACCGCCCATTTCTGTTTTTAATCGCGAATTCTTCACTCACGTCTGAAAATTATGCAACCATGCACAGGTATCAATAATGATTATGAAAAATCGCGTTACTGGCATTGAATCGAGATGTCAGCTACGGTCAAGGCGACCGTGTCGAGAGATCCGATTGACACTTCCGTACTAGGACTACCTGATGAGTCAGGCTCCATAAATGATACTTTCGTTTACGACAAATTCACTTAGGAGCACACTTCTAGCATATATATTTAAAAGGAGTACCTGTAAATACTGGTCAAATGTAACAGTCACCAGTTAAGATAAAAGATAAGATAATATTTTGTAACAAATCATGACCAATAATAGAAATATTAGAGCGTGCAACCTATCTCTGATGATCATAATCAATCCATTCAATTGAAATGTATGGCCGAGATTCAGATAAATAATTCTCGATACTTCGTTTTTATTGATAGTATAAAATCAGTAATTGAGAATTTAGCAGAAACGATGCTTGCTGTTAAAAATAATGAAAAACTCATTGTATTATTTACATTTAATCCATTACACACGGTGATAAGATACGTGCATACTTGCGCGAATATAGATAATAATCGTGTCTATCGGAATGTCATTAAATCGTTGTTTACCATTAATAAAACATTTTCCCTCGTTTCTATCGCGTTTACATATCTTTCATCGATACCGATAAGAGAACCTAACCTCTAAATTCATCAGCATCTTTTAATCCTAGATGATAATAGATTAAATCGATTTGTTCTCAATTCAAATTCTGTTCTTGCAATGCTCCACAGATAATATAATATAAATTGTATCAATCGTTGTTTACCATTAATAAGACATTTTTACTCGTTTCTGTCGCGTTTACATATCTTTCATCGATACCAATAAGAGAACCTAACCTCTAAATTCATCAGCATCTTTTAATCCCAGATGACAATAAATTAAATCGATTTGTTCTCAATTCAAATTCTGTTCTTGCAATACTTCACAGAAAATATAATATAAATTGTATCAATCGTTTACCATTAATAAAACATTTTCAATATTTCTAACCTCTAAATTTATCAGCATCTTGTAATCCCAGATGACAATAAATTAAATCGATTTGTTCTCAATTCAAATTCTGTTCTTGCAATGCTCCACAGATAATATAATAGAAATTGTATCAATCGTTATTTACCATTAATAAAACATCTGTACTCGTTTCTATCGCGTTTACATATCTTTCAGCAATACCAATAAGAGAACCTAACCTCTAAATTCATCAGCATCTTTTAATCCCAGATGACAATAAATTAAATCGATTTGTTCTCAATTCAAATTCTGTTCTTGCAATACCTCACAGAAAATATAATATAAATTGTATCAATCATGTGTCTGTCATCAGTTAATCTTTGAATTATGTCATACGTAACACACCTTTGCACGTTCTTCTTTTTTCTGATTATGTTTGCTGTTTATTTTTCGACCGTTTTAATATTTATGATTGTTAATCGTATAATACACGTTTCAGGTGATGAACCAGGAAGTCAAAAAGGAAACTCCGTTGCAGTTCAAGTTCCGTGCCAAGTTCTACCCCGAAGACGTTGCGGAGGAATTGATTCAAGACATTACTTTGCGTCTGTTCTATCTTCAGGTATGAAAAACTAAACAATCAATCACTAATAAATCACTAATTTTGCGTTCATATATAGTTTATGTATTTTTTAAGAATATTCCTAGAAACAAATGATTGTCGTTACCGTGTTCATGGTGTAAATTATAAATGCCAGGTAGTCAAATGCTAATTTGTCAGGTCAGGTGCAACCTAACTTAGCTACAGATGTCTTAAAATTAACATATATGCTAACAAACAATTATGAGCAATGTCATCTTATTATATAACTAAAATTAAATAAAAATACTGTTTCGTAATGGTCTTATTTCATAAGACAAATAATGGTCGATTAGCTGTATAATTTCTGCGCAGCAATTTGAAGAGTAGAGAAGATTGTTCAGATTGATGAATCTACATTTTGTCGTAGAACAATATCACAGAGGCCATTTGAAAATTAATCACAGCGTCAATTTTGAAGATCCCATTACTGATGCTTATACGAATTAAATTGAGACCACTCGGAGGCATGCCACACATTCTTTAATCTCTTTTATAACATATAATACTATCAATATTTTATATTTTCAAGAAGGGTAACTTCATTGGATACCTGAGCCATTACGTATTTAGTAAATGTACCTAACAGGAAAATGGGGATTTATTCAATGAAACATCAGCAGAAATAGCAGAAATTTCATTCGATACGTGTTTAACAAATTAGCATTTGACTTTCTGGCATTTATAATTTACACCATGAACACAGTAACGACAGTCACTTGTTTCTACCTGTGAATGAAATGCATATTAATAATGTACTGAATTAGACGAATCGAATGACGGTCCGTTTGCTAGGAATATACCATTTTTTATTGTATTATTTGTACAGAAGAGGAATGAAACCGTTAAATAAAACATATCTTTCAGGTGAAAAATGCCATTCTCACGGATGAAATCTACTGTCCCCCGGAAACATCTGTATTGTTAGCCTCCTACGCGGTACAAGCGAGACACGGAGATTTCCAAAAAGGTACGCACACTGCCGGTTTTTTGATTAATGATCGTTTGCTGCCACAACGTGTCATGGATCAGCACAAGATGAGCAAAGAAGAGTGGGAAAGTTCGATCACCAATTGGTGGCAAGAACATCGTGGAATGTTACGCGAAGATGCTATGATGGAATATTTAAAAATTGCTCAGGTAACAATTACAAATTGTACGAAAAAAAAAAAAAAAAAGAAAAAGAAAGAAAATATTAACATTCTCTTTTGCAGGATTTGGAAATGTACGGTGTGAACTATTTCGAAATTCGTAATAAAAAAGGTACGGATCTCTGGTTAGGCGTGGACGCTTTGGGTTTAAACATATACGAGAAAGACGACAAATTGACTCCGAAAATTGGTTTCCCATGGTCCGAAATTAGGAACATTTCGTTCAACGATAAGAAATTCATAATTAAACCGATCGACAAAAAAGCGCCGGACTTTGTCTTCTTCGCGACTAGAGTTAAAATTAACAAACGAATTCTGGCGCTGTGTATGGGGAACCATGAACTTTACATGCGTAGGCGTAAACCTGATACGATCGATGTGCAACAGATGAAGGTACTTTTCTTTCGGTGACTGTGCGTTTATTCTATTTTCCTATCAGTTTAAAAAGATCTAAATAGTACGTTTCGTTTACGATCAAAAGGCTCAGGCGAGGGAAGAGAAAATTGCAAAGCAACAACAGAGAGAGAAGTTACAGTTGGAAATAGCCGCGAGAGAACGCGCAGAGAAAAAACAGCAAGAATACGAAGAAAGACTCAGAAATATGACGGAAGAAATGGACAGGCGGCAAGCTGAACTAAACGAAGCACAGGAAATGATACGGCGTTTAGAAGAACAGCTCAAACAATTACAAGCGGCTAAAGAGGAGCTAGAAGATCGTCAGAAAGTACATATATTAGAGACGTATAGATACAGATGGTCATTTTTGACAAGCGTATTCGAATGTTACAAAATTTTCCTTTCTAATTTGTTCGCAGGAGCTCACAGTCATGATGGAGAAACTTGAACTGTCGCACGAAATGGAAGCGGCGGAGCGTGCTAAACTCGAACAAGAAATAAGAGCCAAGCAAGAAGAAGTGCAACGTATACAGTCTGAAGTGGAGGCGAAAGATGCAGAAGCGAGAAGACTGCAGGAAGAATGCGAAGCAGCCAAGTATGACAACAGTTTCCTTTCTATTTTCTGTACAGGGGACATACGATTGAAATTTGATAATTTTTTGGGAGTAGGTTGAGGCAAGAAGAAGCTGATAGGGCGTATCAGGCCAGTACAACGCCTCATTATCATCACGTTGAAGAGAACGAGGAAGGCGAAGAGGAAGGCGAAGACGAGATTCCTCACGGCGATGTTACTAAAGATCTTGCAACCGACGAGTCAATAATCGATCCTGTCGAGGAACGGCGTACTCTAGCAGAAAGAAATGAACGTCTTCATGATCAGCTTAAGGTATGTGCCTTTGTGTTCATAAATGTCGTGTATGCATTGCAACGAAAATATGTTTCAGGCATTGAAGCAAGATCTAGCACAGTCACGCGACGAATCAAAAGAAACTGTTATGGATAAAATCCACAGGGAAAACGTCCGTCAGGGTCGCGACAAATATAAAACGCTCCGTGAGATTCGTAAAGGCAATACTAAGCGTCGTGTCGATCAGTTTGAGAATATGTAAATTATATATCCGTTTGCCTATTTGTCTATTCGCCTGTCCATTTCATCCTGCCTTTAAATTCTCCTCCAATATTCTCTACGAGGACAATTTTTTGAAAACTTGTCAGATATTATTTTAGAGTAATATTTTTTCTTTTCCTTTTTTTTTTTTTTTTTTTTTTTTTATTTTATTATTTTTGTTTTGAGATGCTCTTCGAGTAACGAACCACTTCCAATTTACAACGATGTAAAGTTTATAGCGTGTAATTGCTATTTTTCGACGTTGATTCTGTACTCTCGAGTACAGTAGAAGCTTTTTCACAAATAGCAAGGAACGCGACGAGCGACCAACTTGCGCCGTCTTCCATTCATGCTACCACAGTGTGTCCGCTGTTAAGCAGTTTTTCGTAAAAAATAATATTCGTGTACAGGGTGTTCCACCTAAATATCTGATTCGATTGTGGCGATACAAAAAATAATTTGTGTGCAATTTAAATGTTATTGGAAGACCAATGCCTTGCAAAGAACATTTTATTTTTCGCATATAAGTGCATATTTTTGTTTATTGTGTCTGTATGTTCAAATACGTTCCAATATAAAATCGTCTTCGACTTGGAAAATTAAAATCAAACTTGAAATTAAAAAATATATATATATCTGCATTATATTAGTTTCTGGATAACATTTAAATATTTTTTATGGTACACCAATTGGTGGAAATGTTTAGATGGTTTAGATGAGACATCCTGTACATATATATACATATATATATATATATATACATATATATTTTGTTTAATAGAAGTAAATTTTCTTGCTATTTTAGCAGCGAAATATTTAAAGTAATTTGATAATAACTGCGTTAGCTAACGTTGTTTTTTTTTTTTTTTTTAACAATCCTTGCTAAAATAACAAGAAAATTTGTTACATAATTTTTGAATATTATTTTAAATTTGCCCATTACATACGAATTTCTAAACACCGACGCATCAGTATTTTCTTTCTCAAAGTATTGCTGTCGGTCATCGAGCATAACATACAATCTGTCCGAAAATATTCAAATAAGAGTATACTTTTAATAATTATGTATTTTACTTAAACATACAGCAAAGAAATAGAATATTTCATGCTGTGTTACCGCATACTTTCTAAGTTTACGAAAATGCAAATACTTGTGATCTATTATACAGGGTGTTTGGGAAAAATTTTAATGGGGGATTCTAGAGGCTAAAATAAGACGAAAATCAAGAATATCAATTTCTTGATCGAGGCTTCGTTAAAAAGTTATTAACGTTTACAGTTGCGCCTATGAGACGGCAACCGTGCGCGCTGCACACTTTAACTTTAAACGTTAATAACTTTTTAACGAGGCCTCGATCAACAAATTGGTATTCTTCATTTTCGTCTTATTTCGGCCTCTAGAATCTCCCATTAAAATTTTCCCAGGGATGGCCGAGCACTCTGCATATAATTTTTTGAGTAATAGGAGAGAATTGAATTTATAAAATTAAAAATAGAAGTTTTTGATCGAGGATTAATATTTTCTGGGGTATCGATTTTGTTGCAAAGTTTTTTTGAAATACTTGAAAATGTATCGCAATTTATTGAATGTTTCATGTAAGTTTTGCAGAAACCACTGAGATCATTCAAAAGTTCTTGTTAAAAGAGTTATAAAATGTGTCGCAAAAAGAATTATGCTACAGTGACGTTAATTATTTAAAAAGAAACTATTTTTAATTGGGCAACACATGACAAAGTGGATTTCCTCGCGAATCATTAATTTTTAATTGAAAACTGATTTTTATTTTATAAGTTTCATCTGTCCAGTGTCTGAACTATTTTGTGGAATTGTTTAGTTTTGCGGTTCTTTTTTATTATTCAAAAAGTAATTGCATTTTTATTGGCCAGACACTGTTTCAGTTTAATGTATATTTCATTAAAACACTGATCGTAATTGTTACAGTAGTATCGTCTTTCCACGAGAAGAAGGCACAGCGTGTTTATATCCCCACTCTTGCTGCAGTCCGCTGATTGGCTGTCACCGATCTTCGTCACTGTTTTCGACCAATACCCGTGGGTCAGTGGACTGCAACAGGAGTGGGGATGTAAACACGCCTTCTTCCCGTGGAAGAATGGTACATACTTGTCTCGGAATATTTTCAAAACAGATTGTTAATTCTTATTTTCTTATCACGTCATCGCATATAGTCCGTCCTTGATAAGGATTCGCCCGAGAAATATTTCGTATAAATATTTGCGTCATCAAATTTATCTATTAATAAGATTGCTTTCGTCAACAGTGGTCGCTATACAGTTACGATATATACATTTCTATTATGATTTCGATTTATTATACTAATGTTTTGCAACATAGAACAAGCAATAAATAAATTAACCCATCAGGTACGGCGCAACTGCTCAAGCGATACGATAAAGCTTGTCTTTTAAATTTTATACTGATATTTAACTCTTTGCTGCACAGGATTTCAGATAATTAAATAGACCCATGTTGCATAGAAATTTTATTGCGTTTTAAATTAAACGAAATTGGTATAGTTCTATTAATAAATGTAAAAACATAAAAAATTCCGCTGGCAATAATTTATGAACCTGTATTGGTATGTTGAATGTTGCCAACACAAGTGAGAATACAATTGTAACATTTGTCAAAGATATTACCAACTGCTTTACGTAAATAAGACGAAATGTGAACCTATGCGCGCGCATGCAGCTATTGCAATATAAAAATGTCCCGCCATGCATTACGGCGCATCAAAAAGGTGGGATTAACCCCAGCGTGCCCCAAAGAGTTAAAGATGTTAAGAAGTAGAAAAATATGACATCTGCCTACGGTTAAACGTCGACAACTGACGAAAGTTTATGGTTCAGTATATTGTACACGATACTTGAAGGGTTAATATTTTAAAAGATTTCTAAAGTATCCAGCATTATTTTACAACTCTAAAAGAACACATTGGCCATAGATCGATAATGTACTTAGATGCGACCACTCGATGCATGGAACGTGAAATCGGTAATATCCGTCTTGACGATAAATATAGAAATGGTTAAGCACGATGCACGAACTATTTGCAAAATGTGCGAACGAATATTCAACTAATAATTTTGTATTGAACACACTCGTGGCCTTTATTGATATACATATATTGAAATAATAGATACTAATATTGAATAATAGGATATAGGAAGACATAGGGATATCGCGTGACTCTTTGTATTGCATACCTTCAACATAAGGTAATCGCGTGGTTCCTAGAGAAAGGTTAGGTACCTATCGAGCAAGGGATGAGCGGGTATTCGACAGATTTTCGGTTTGTTTACGAAAATAATTGTTTCTTTGGCTACTTAATTCTAGAATGGAATTAAAAATTTAAATTTGAAAAGTTATGATAAATCTTATGGTCGTAAACAAGCTCTCGAAAAAGACCCCAGCCGGAGGCTTCGGGTACTCGCGCACGCCTATTATAATAACGATTCTTGAAAGCATGGAAAGAATGAATGTGAGAGAGAATGCGACAATAAAGAATAACGTACGGAAGATCGAATGGGTAGAACATGTATAATCTGTGGCAGTCTGGTACGCCATATAAATTTTAACGCAGTCCATTTTTCTTTTTGTTTGTCCTCTAAAAGATTGTATCGACAATGACATTAAAAACTGAAGTAAACGTAATAGTCTCCAAATGCTGCCAATTTTTGACGGAATGCAAACAAAGAGCATTACTACGAAATGAAATACAATCTTTGCGTTGATTAAGCAGGGAAGATGATGAAAAAATTAAAAGAAAAAAAAAAAAACACTGATCATTGTATCGGGACTTTATTCATAATTATATTATCATCATCGCGTGTTACAATAAACACGAAGGGGAAAAAAGTACAGGAAAAATAAGGATAGATATTTTTTGATTATATTTAATACTACAATTTACAAATTAGTAGTGTTTTATTATTATTATTATTATTATTATTATTGTTGTATTAATATTTACAATCTAGTAGCGTTATTATTATTGAAATAATATTACATGAAAGAGCAATGTATTTTATAGTCAGTCTATTTGTACTCTTAAGAAAGTTATTAAAAATCTGCGTCGTAATAACTAAAACATATTTCGTACGATGCAACGTCATGTTCTATTATTCAAACGATGTAGATGAATACTATTTTTATAAAAATTTGTCTGGATATTCTTCCCCACTGAACACATTCGGCGAGAGACAGGTACTTTTGAGACATTCCAAAATTTTTGTGTAAATTGTTTACTTTTTTTTTTTCCATCCATGTTGGGGTTTTTCAATTGTGCACGGGATTTGTAACAACGTTTCGAATGTACTTAAAATAAGTATATTTATTTGAAAGAATGGTGGCATGTCTTTTATATATATATATATATATATATATATATATATGCATAATTCATATATAAAAAAAAAAAAATGTATGAAAATCCCTAACGTGGATTCACGAACGATCTATGTTCTTTATGAAGGTAATGGATATACGAGATCATTTCTAATTTTTTTTTTTCCACGTGTAATAACTGTAAATATGTAAATTACCTTGCTAAACTTTTGGCTTGAAATGCGATATGTACAAATTGGTATTGCATACCTTCATGAGGTCATTGACAAAGATTAATTTACACCTTACACTTATGGTGCGCATCGTCTTTGACATATTTCGGTGCTAGCATCTCTCTTTATGACATATCCCAAGCATGTAAAAGTAAAATAGGACCAAATGCATTTCCGATTCATAATAAATTTTTACAAATCTAAACGGTTGACGACATTTTCTGATCGAACGGTATAAGTTCGACCAAGAATTATAACCGAACATTTCGTTTTTATATTTAAAACAAAAAAAAAAAAGATCTTCGTAATAGTATTGTCGAGTACTTTGAAACAGAGAAACATATAAAATACACAAGGTACGATCACGGAGACGCATAGACATTGTATTTTATTGAAAACAATATTATATGTTGGTGCGAGGATATGTGAAAATCACTTGTACTTTGCAGACAAAGTTAAGCATTGTTTAAATAAAAAAAATCATATCATAGTTTTTTTAATTCATTATTATTGTATCCTTTGTGTGTAATTCGTTTAAGAAAAAGTATGTTGTATGTAATTCTTAAGTATTAATTTAACATGTTGTCTTGTGGTGTTAATGGGTGACTTTAAACTTGCAATATTGTTCACAGTGGAAATACTGCAATTAGTAAATTATCGAACAATGGTTTTATTTATTAAAATGGCGGTAGTACAGCAATGTCGCCATCTACGGTAGAACGTCCAAGTTTGTCGAGAAATAGTACACTGTTTTCGCCACTAGGTGGCGGCGCTATTGACCTAAAAAGAGAGGGCAACAGCCAGAATGTCGGACGGAACCCCAGGATGGACATTTGTGGGATTTCTTTCTGCGCATGCGTAAGCTGACGTCACAGCTACCTATCGTCCGCTACCATAGATGTATCTTTAGTGCAAAAAGAGGTGCATGTTGGGAATTCCCATGTTTTGTACAAAATTGAACTTTCTACTTCAAATGCTCGCCAATCACACAAAAATTAACTTATCGAAGATCCCCTACATTTCTCTAGCTAAACTCATGTAGGTAAAGAGGAAATTTTTTGTTTTTGTCTCTTTCCCTGTAACTTCCTTAAATTTTGTTCCTTACTGGGATCCAACGGAACCCTAAATTCTAGTTAAGTGTATACGGCAGTGATCATACGCTCCAGTGCGCATGACAAAAATTCCCACCTATCACTGGCCCCGGGTGTACCGGGGACACCCTATTCCTCTTTCTCACGCTATGTCTATTTCTATTTTCTATTTTTTTTTTTGTTGGGGGTATGATACTAGCACTATCGGCTTCGTAATAACACCATTTATCATCTATTTTTTAAACCCTCTATTTCCCTCCTTTCTACTCTTTTAACTTCTTCTCCCCCTCATCAACACCTTTTCCCCTTCTTAACTCTCCCGCAACCCTAACCGCGCCACCAGTGATGCCAGATTCAGCACCGAGTGCATTACTCACCCATGCCAGATCACGCGTACGTGAGCTCGTGGAGTTTCGGAAAGTCGACAAAGGCAAACTGACACATGCCCTCTTTCTCGATTCTCCGAAGCTGCCCGAAGTAATTTCGGACCGTCTCGTGGGACTCGAGAGAGGCAGGCTCACATATTTGCCTTTGCGCTCTTGAACAACTGACATTTGACCTCACGTCAACGGCATACGATTCAAAGTCTCGACTGCCCAGGTATTTTTTACTTTACTATACCCCTTTTTACCTGAAGTATGAGGTAAAAAGTACGATGTATAAGGTACGACTACGTGTACTTTTGAATTTTCCTACAGTCCTCCGCCGGCCTCTGCTGACCGCTGCTGACCATTCCTCATACTTCTGACTTGAGACTATATGTACTTCAGTCTAATTAATAAACAGTGTCTAAAGCTTGTTATTATTATAACTACAGTAGTGTCTACATAAGTAACTGCATTCTTACCCAGCTAAATGTCCGTTTAGTACGTCCGTGATGCTCCCTGCGTATAAGTTGAAGGAAGTGTGACCCATCGGTGGTACATGATTTGCACAGCCATCTACGGCAAAACACCCAAGTTTGTCGTGGAATAGTTCGTTACCTCCAACGCTAGATGGTGCTCATTTATCGACCATGTAGGGACTACACGCGTCCCCGCGTCTGCGCGGCGCTAGTGTCGTGCAGCTAGCCGCGTGGAGGGAGAGTTCTCTCTCTTGCGTGCCAGCGACCGTAGGATAAGGTGTGATCTGGTGTATTCCGTTCTAATAAAGTCTTTGCTCATCAAGAAAGTATCCATCCTGGTATTCCGGCGGTAGTAGGCCGCGTCTCGTTACCCATCGAGACCATAATCCTACAACCACAGGCCCTCTTGTGCTAAAATGCCCAAGTTTGTCGTGGAATAGTTCGTATCATCCATGCCAGATGGATTTCTCGACAAATTTGAGCGTTTTAGCACCAGAGGGCCTGTGGGCGATAAATAAGCGCCATCTAGCGTTGGTGGTAACGAATTATTCCACAACAAACTTGGCCGTTTTAGCACCAGAATTCGCCTTAAAAAGCAATATCGCATGATCTAAAAAACTATATATAGTTCCATTCGAAAAACTTTACCATCATATCGTTTAAATTAATAACATATACAAAATTTTCGTTTACGCCAAAATAGAGATCCCATTTTATCCCGCAATTTACATATAAACAATTTTTTCGTATCATCAATAGTTATTGAAATATCGCGACTGTCACACTTCAGCGTGGACATCCTGCATGCTAACAGAAGTTATCAGGAATCCACTGCTGTTGCCCGCAGTGGTTAGCAGGGGCCAGCAGAGTTTGGCAGAAGCAAGAAGAAGCCAGTAGTAATCGTTATACAATGTCGGTAGTATCAGGAATGGTGAGGGAAGGCCAGCAGGGCCAAGTCGTAGCAAGTATTAATCCTTATACGTTGCCATAAGCATCAGGAGTGGGCAGCAGCAGTCAGCAGAAGCCAGCATAGGCAGACAGAAGTCAGTAGTAATCGTTATACGGTGTCAGAAGTATAAGCGGTGGTCAGCAGAGGCCACTAGAAGCGAGCAGAAGCCAGCAGAGACTAGCAGAGACTAGCAGTAGCCCGTAGTAATCGTTAGACGTTGTCAGAAGCATTAGGGGTGGTCAGCAGAAGCCAGCAGAGGCCAGCGGAGGCCAGCAGTGGCAAGCAGGAGCAAGCAGCAGCAAGTAGTAATTGTTATAAGTTGTCATAAGTATCAGGAGTGGTCAGCAGAAGCCAGCAGAGGCAGGCAGGAGTCAGTAGTAATCATTGTACGGTGTCAGAAGTATAAGCGGTGGTCCACTGAGGCCAGCAGAAGCGAGCAGAAGCCAGCAGAGACTAGCAGAGACTAGCAGTAGCCCGTAGTAATCGTTAGACGTTGTCAGAAGCATTAGGGGTGGTCAGCAGAAGCCAGCAGAGGCCAACAGTGGCAAGCAGGGGCAAGCAGCAGCAAGTAGTAATTGTTATACGTTGTCATAAGTATCAGGAGTGGTCAGCAGAAGCCAGCAGAGGCAGGCAGGAGTCAGTAGTAATCGTTATACGGTGTCAGAAATATAAGCGGTGGTCAGCAGAGGCCAGTAGAAGCGAGCAGAAGCCAGCAGAGACTAGCAGAGACTAGCAGTAGCCCGTAGTAATCGTTAGACGTTGTCAGAAGCATTAGGGGTGGTCAGCAGAAGCCAGCAGAGGCCATGGAGGCCAGCAGTGGCAAGCAGGGGCAAGCAGCAGCAAGTAGTAATTGTTATACGTTGTCATAAGTATCAGGAGTGGTCAGCAGAAGCCAGCAGAGGAAGGCAGGAGTCAGTAGTAATCGTTATACGGTGTCAGAAATATAAGCGGTGGTCAGCAGAGGCCAGTAGAAGCGAACAGAAGCCAGCAGAGACTAGCAGAGAGTAGCAGTAGCCCGTAGTAATCGTTAGACGTTGTCAGAAGCATTAGGGGTGGTCAGCAGAAGCCAGCAGAGGCCAGCGGAGGCCAGCAGTGGCAAGCAGGGGCAAGCAGCAGCAAGTAGTAATTGTTATACGTTGTCATAAGTATCAGGAGTGGTCAGCAGAAGCCAGCAGAGGCAGGCAGGAGTCAGTAGTAATCGTTATACGGTGTCAGAAGTATAAGCGGTGGTCAGCAGAGGCCAGTAGAAGCGAGCAGAAGCCAGCAGAGACTAGCAGAGACTAGCAGTAGCCCGTAGTAATCGTTAGACGTTGTCAGAAGCATTAGGGGTGGTCAGCAGTAGCCAGCAGAGGCCAGCGGAGGCCAGCAGTGGCAAGCAGCAGCAAGTAGTAATTGTTATACGTTGTCATAAGTATCAGGAGTGGTCAGCAGAAGCCAGCAGAGGCAGGCAGGAGTCAGTAGTAATCGTTATACGGTGTCAGAAATATAAGCGGTGGTCAGCAGAGGCCAGTAGAAGCGAGCAGAAGCCAGCAGAGACTAGCAGAGACTAGCAGTAGCCCGTAGTAATCGTTAGACGTTGTCAGAAGCATTAGGGGTGGTCAGCAGAAGCCAGCAGAGGCCAGCGGAGGCCAGCAGTGGCAAGCAGGAGCAAGCAGCAGCAAGTAGTAATTGTTATAAGTTGTCATAAGTATCAGGAGTGGTCAGCAGAAGCGAGCAGAGGCAGGCAGGAGTCAGTAGTAATCATTATACGGTGTCAGAAGTATAAGCGGTGGTCCACTGAGGCCAGCAGAAGCGAGCAGAAGCCAGCAGAGACTAGCAGAGACTAGCAGTAGCCCGTAGTAATCGTTAGACGTTGTCAGAAGCATTAGGGGTGGTCAGCAGAAGCCAGCAGAGGCCAACAGTGGCAAGCAGGGGCAAGCAGCAGCAAGTAGTAATTGTTATACGTTGTCATAAGTATCAGGAGTGGTCAGCAGAAGCCAGCAGAGGAAGGCAGGAGTCAGTAGTAATCGTTATACGGTGTCAGAAGTATAAGCGGTGGTCAGCAGAGGCCAGTAGAAGCGAGCAGAAGCCAGCAGAGACTAGCAGAGACTAGCAGTAGCCCGTAGTAATCGTTAGACGTTGTCAGAAGCATTAGGGGTGGTCAGCAGTAGCCAGCAGAGGCCAGCGGAGGCCAGCAGTGGCAAGCAGCAGCAAGTAGTAATTGTTATACGTTGTCATAAGTATCAGGAGTGGTCAGCAGAAGCCAGCAGAGGCAGGCAGGAGTCAGTAGTAATCGTTATACGGTGTCAGAAGTATAAGCTGTGGTCCACTGAGGCCAGCAGAAGCCAGGGAAGAAATAACGCATGGCACGATTAGAACAAGTATCCTTGAATCCTGCCAAGGGTCGATACTATATTTTTAAATTCTGAAAGTTCATAATTTAATCCCAAGGAAAGAAGTAATTAGCGAATAATCAAGCTATGCGTAACACGGAGGTACCTGTACTCCGCATACCTCCTTAGTATTCTGTGATCCTGGCACAATTTGAACAGTTCGAATTCCTAGCGTCAGATGGCGACACTAGCTTCGGCACGTTTTAGCGCCATATTGAAATGACTATCGCCTCCAGTAATTTATAACCAATTAATTGCATGAAATAATGTATAGAGAAATGGTTGAAAAACATAATTTGACTCGAATAATATTTGCAGTGGTTCTAAAAGCAAAAAAGTGGAGTTTTAGTATCATAAATTATTTTTAACTAAACAGATGCGCTTTTGTCTAGTCTCCATTCGTGGCATAATTTCATTTTGCATCTTGTATTGCTTAACCAATTTTTTACACGTTATACGCTTTGTTGCTACATGGACTTCGCTTGCTGTTGACCTAGAAAAATAATTGTAAATGTTTTTTGAGATTTGTAAATGCATTACAGATCTTAGTTGAGCTTGACGGGCCACTTCAAGTACCTCGCAATAAAGTCATCTTGCTTTTGGACACAATTGTTTTCTACTATCTTTAAAATTTCCTTTAATCGTTTTTGTAATCTCAGATAATAATTGTCTGAAAGCAGTGCGAGCTTCCTAGATAATGAATGATTTATGTCGTATTAATTTAGTAATGTACAACAGTTAAAACATGATCAGGGGTCTTAAAACGTGTATTTCTGTAAAAGAAATTGTTTCAAAAAATTTTATTCTCATATAGATTTCATAACAATTTGTATAAATATATGATTTTCATTGTAAAATACATAAATCTATTATATATATAAAAAAAAAAGTATATATATATATATAACAGTATGATTTAGTAAAATATTTCATCAAAAATAAATTCGAGCGTAATATAAAATGCAAATTATAACATAGTTGCAGTGCTGTAGAGATTCAAAAATCATGTAAAATATACATATACTAAACCGCAGAATCCTTTATACCCATATATTCAATTAATTCACTTGTAAGCACGTGGAACAAGCATGTTTTCCATAATTTGTACTAAATACGACCATGCAACAAAAATTATTCAAACTTTATAATTCCTGTTAGAATATTCCATTCCAATTATGTAGAAACGAGCGAAAGGAGAGCTCTCTTATAATCTCCGGACGTATCACCCTAAAATTTAAAACATTTATACATAATTGCGTAACTAAAATATAAATACAAAAGCAATTTATTTAAAATAGTAAAAATACATACAGCAATCCAGCTTTCCAGCGATTTCCCGTATCGTTCTTCGAAAGCTTTTTTAATATCACCTAAATCGATTTCACTTCGAGACACGATAATACGTATTAACGTTCTGTCCTTTGTTCCTATACCATGCATACTATCGTATAAACGTTCAGCAAAGAAACCAACTTTTGATTTCACACACTTCACTGTTACATAAAAAGAAATAACGTCAATATATAAAAAAATAAAATTCTTAAAGAATAAAGAATTTCACTTAGATAACAATTGCAAATACAAAATTGTTCGTAACTATTGGTACATCAATTATTTTTAAAGCTACTGCAGTTAAGACCAAAGTATCGTAGTTCCACGAGAAGAGGGCGCTGCGTGTTTACATCCCCATTCTTGCCGCAGTCCGCTGATTGGCTGTCATCGATCTTCGTCATCGTTTCCGACCAATAGTGAGTCAGCGGACTGCATCAGGAGTGGCCACTGCGTGTTTACATCCGCATTCTTGCTGCTGTCCGCTGATTGGCTGTTATCGATCAATAGTGAGTCAGCTGACAGCAACAGAAGCGGGAATGTAAACACGCGTTCTTTTCGTGGAAGAATGGTACATGCTCGTACTGTACAGAAAAGATAATAAATGTTATTTAACGTAACATGGCCATTTTTCTCCAACTATTAATATATTCTAAACGATTATGTTACTAATTACTGGATAATAAAACTAATCTGTACATACGAAACAAATTGAACCTTTCTTAAATATTACATATTATTAAAAAGAAAATAGTTACCTATCCCAAGGAGACCTTTTTCGAGATTTCCAGAAAATTCTTTCTTAATAGCAACTTCAATGTCGTGTCCAGATATTTTTTCATATTCGATAAAAGTCTGCCTTAACTGTTGATAACTACGCGTTATTAAAATAGCATTAAACTGAGATTCATTCGTGCCCCACTGTTTTTCACCTGCAACGAAATAAATTATTTTTCAAACTTAAATATATCTAACTTGTATATAAAATTTATTACGTTTTAATTATCACAGTAGTTTTATCGTCTATACATTTTACTTGTCGCTGTTAAAAATATGTTAATCCAAATTAGTATCGATATAACACATACCAGCATCGTAGAGAGCTTGTGCGTCTGTTGTAGCTTCAGCATGATCTATACTTTGATTCTCATCTCTGTTCGCTTGAACAAGCGAAACCAGTAATCTCTTAAAATGTCCTGATGTGTCTCCTTTTAAGTCGCTTTCCAGAGTTTTTCCATATACTGTCAAATACAAAATATAGTTAATGAAATTAATGTAGAAGTATCCGATACTACACCCTATGTAACACGAAATAAAGTACTACTAAATTTAATACTTAATACTCGTAATACTCTTATAGTATTTTTCTATCAACAAGATTAATTTTAGACTTATTTGTTTGTAGATTGTTTATACTCTAACGAGTGTTAAGATTACATCTTAAGAGAAAGTGTTTTCTTAATTATTAATCGATGGACTTACAGTTTTCATAAAATGCTGCGATCGTACGTATACCATAATTACTTAAGGTACACAAAATTTCTACAATTGCTTCCTCGTCAGTCCCCAGTCCACTGACTGCGTCGTGCAATTCCTTAGCATAATAATGAGGTAACGGTGTCATAAGAGCAATTATAACATCTTCCAATTTCCCTGTAAGTTCGCTCTTCAGATCGCTAACTAGATCCTTTCCGTATAATGTTTTATACGCTTCTGCAACTTCTAGTCGCTGAACGATTCCTCTCTTCGTGAGTACATCGATAATGGTTTTTTCATCCGTGCCGAAACCTTTCATTGCTTTACGCAATAGCGAAGCATCTGCATTTGCGTCGAACGGTTCCGCAGGATACACGGTAGGAGTACACTGAAACGCAAAGTATGCATTTATAAAATATGTTATTATAATATTAATATTTAATATTATATATTAAAATATATAATCGCACAATAATAATGACAGTATTTAATTCGTATTACTGCATTATAAGTTTTAGTGATAAATGTATTTTAGTCTTTTATTCCCGATTTTGAAACTTATACACAGTTTTAAGAAACTAAATTTGGTAAAAGTATAAATCGACTACATCGACGTAGACCGATTTCTTCGAACAAAGTAACGCTAAAAATACTCTTGACCAATACTTGAAGCCATAAATAGACCTATTTGATTTAAGCCGTACATAAAAAAAATTCTATTCAAATTCTAAGGAATAATGTACTTACTTTAAACGGATAATATTGTTGTTGTGACATTTTTACTCTTGCGAAAAACGATCTGGAATTAATGAAAACATCGATTTATTAATCAACGATCGTTCAACGACCAACGATAAACGGTCGAATTTATCGTACAGTATTACAAAGTTGATATTATTTTTTATCATTTTTTAACAATTTGAATCATTCGTATATGAAATACACTTACAATGAGTATGTTCAAGGAAATTTGATAGATTGTTTTTGGTAAGTAGAATCAGATCCTTCCTTCACGATTGCCGGCCAGTCAATAATGGGCACCGTCACACCCATGTCGCATCACGTCATCCATAGTTCTTTCAAGGTACTATACTAGCACAGAAAGAGTGAGTAATAAGAGAAAAAAGGTTACGATACGAATAATAAGATGGATGACAACATCGTAATAGATATATGTAGAATGATCGATAGATATATACATGTATTCGAATTCATCTATAAAAATCGATAGGGGGCGGGTGCTGAAATTTTTCGGCGAAATTGAAAAATTTCAAATCGTTCCAAAAAAATTATTTTTGGTTGCAGGAGTCAATTACAATCATTTTTGGTGAATACACATACCCCAGAAATCCTACGCACTTTCGGAGAAAAAATTCGATTAGTTGGTGAAATTTTTCGGCGAAATTGAAAAATTTCAAATCGTTCCAAAAAAATTATTTTTGGTTGCAGGAGTCAATTACAATCATTTTTGGTGAATAGACATACCCCCGAAATTCTACATAGTTTCGAGAAAAAAATTCCTTACAAAAAACTTAATGTGTGCCCCGAAATGGTGTCCCAATTTTCAAATGGCCATAATTACTATAATAGTGAATATACTTCATTGAAATTTTTTTCTGAAGTAGAGCCCATGGGCATCTACAAAAAAGTATTAGATAACATTTCCATACAGCGCCAACTAAATTTATTAATAATGATAAACGAATTTCAAAGAACAATCAACACGGGGTAGGTGCCTAAAGTCGACGAAAAGAAAATTCAAATGGTTCTGAAAAAATTATTTTCGGTTGCGGGGGCCAATTACAATCATTTTTGGTGTATACACACACCTCTGAAATTTTATGCACTTTCGAGAAAAAAATTCGTAATTGAAAATACTATAATGTATGTCCAGAAATGGTCTGTAATTTCATTCTCTGTCTCGCTCCCTCTTGTGTTCATTTGTGTAACTTGTTTGTGGTGAAATTATGCCGCCACAAGTATGTGGCGACAGTGGCACTCTACCTTATCAACCGGAGAGCTCGTAATTTAATTCCCGGCGTTTCAGTTTTTAAAATAAACGTTGTTATAAACCAAGATACACAAATCGTTATAATAAAGTTTTTGATCACTATTAATATTCGTGCTTATCGATGAGCATAATGGCTAATTTTGACACGCTATTTGTAAAATCAATTTAACATTCATTTAATAATGGTGAACCACAATTTTGATCCTTTGCTTTATTTGATTCTTCGATAGCCGTCGTTGAGGACATTTGTTAATGAATTGTCCTTTGAAAATGTTTCAACTGGTTTAAATTATGTAGAGAAAACTCTTTCAACACGAAGGAATATACATAGATACTCGCCAACGCGTTTCCATCGACGAACTGGACAGAAAATCTATAAACTTAAGAGTATAATTTTAATAAATTCTTCCAGGAACGTTATCCTGAATACACCATCATCCAATGAATCAAATTTTACTTGCTTATAGATGTATTGGTTTGGCAACTAAGTAATTGCGGATTTTTTTAATAAAATAAAAGGTAATTTTTTGATGGAACGAAATATAACTTTATGCATTCATCAGATGCTCCTAATTCGATAGAAGTGATAGCATTTGAGATGCTTAGTTGCGTTTTATAACGTTTCTCTGTGTTTTTCATGTTTACAAAAAGTACCTGTGGTGGCGCTGCTTCGCTGCGGCAGGAACTCGAACTATCGTAGCCGGGTAGAAGAGGAAAGGGGCGCTGCTACTCTGCGGTAGGAACTCGAACTATCGTAGAATGATTGGAAAGGAAAGAAGAGGGCTTTATTTCATAAGAATTTCATTGTAATCAATTTAAAATTATCATTACAGTTAATTTTTATTAATTAATTAAAAATTAATTAAAATTACCATTAATTTTCATTGTTAGTGGATTCATCAGTAAGGCTTTCTAGCAGGTCCAGTTTCTTTTTTTTTTTATCTCGTTCTCCTGATTCTTCTGCAGTACCCTGGGCTGGAACCCTATAATAACCTGCACTTAAAGTGTTTGTTAGTGGCTGTAATGTATGTTTATGTAAATGTGTTATTATGTGGTTTTCCTTGGGTTAGAGCTCGAGGGAAAAGTTTCAAAAACCTCGTTTACATGAATCATGCGATGAGCGTGGTGCTGTGGATGGTTAGTTGATTCTAGCAGGTTCTGCCTTAGACGAAGTGTATATATAGCAACCGAGGAGTCGGTTGAGCGCTTGTGAGAGCACGACCCCTCTGGCGGCGAGCTTGGGAGGTGACGCCACACGCCTAAACGTTATTTTTAGCGTATTTCTCCGTACTTTTACCTCAATAGTGGATACGAATGGTAGTCTCATTGCTCTAGTACGCCACTATTTCAGTTATAATAGGGATTTAATCGTTCTACTGACTATTACGAAATGAAAACAAATGCATTCTGATGCTCCTAATTTAATTGAAGTGGCACAAGTACTTTTAATACTCTTTTCTCGACGAAATACGGTTTCTCGGGTATTTAAATAACGAAAAAAGGTAACAATATTTGTTGGAAATGAACGAAAGTAACGATTTATAAGATAACACGGAATTTTTCGATCTTTTTCAGAGCAATGTAAATTCGGGCGGTTATCACGCGAGCGTACGATTTATTTACACGACGATGTATGCGTGAGGTAGCGCTTCAACTATGAGTAATACTCTGCAGACTAATTAGGACCGGGATCGATAGTCGAGGATCATTTCGAGCACCCTCCGGTTCACGGAATTGATTGTTCCCAGCGTCGGAAATAAAGTTCACGCGCAATACAATCTCGGTTTCGCGTGAACCAAACTATACATATCAACAATGAAACTAATTGATGCGTCATCATACTTTGTATCCATGCTAAATCATTATTTTAGTTTTATTTATTTATTTATGGGTTTGTACACCCTTTGATACAATACAATTGCATGATATGTGTAAAAGTCTTGTTAATTGCGTATGTTAAACGATGCAGTGCCTACAACACTAGCGACACGCTTTTTAATACTAGATTTACAGATGTGATTATACAGAGCGTTCGGCCACTCCTGGGAAAAATTTTAATGGGGGATTATAGAGGCCAAAATAAGACGAAAATCAAGAATGCTAATTTGTTGATGCTTCGTTAAAAATTAAATTCAAAAATTTCAAATAGTTCTGAAAAAATTATTTTCGGTTGCGGGGGTCAATTGCAACCATTTTTGGTAATTTGACACACCCTCGAAATCCTACTTACTTTCGAGAAAAAAATTCTAGAAGGTATAAAATTTTTCGGCGAAATTAAAAGATTTCAAATCGTTCTAAAAAAATTATTTTTGGTTGTGGATATCAATTTCAATCATTTTTGGGGAATACACATACCCTCGAAATCCTACGCACTTTCGAGAAAAAAATTCGGGAAGGTGGACAAATTTTTCAGCGAAATTAAAAAATTTCAAATCGCTCTAAAAAAATTATTTTTTGTTGCGGGGGTCAATTACAATCATTTTTTATGAATAGACATACCCCCGAAATCCTACCCACTTTCGAGAAAAAAATTCCTCACCAAAAACATAGTGTGTGGCCCGAAATGATTCCCTAAAATTTGCAAACAACGCATATTTTAATGAAGAATATGTAGAAATGCTAAAAATATTGGAAAACTTGTTCCTTGACCCCGTAAAGAGAGAAAAGCTCCATAAAAGTGGTCCAATTTGCAAACGACCATAACTCCTACAATAGTCGATGGATTTCATTGAAATTTAGTTTGGAAGTAGACCTCATGAATACCTACAAAAAAGTATAAGACTACATTTCCGTGCAGCGCTAACCAAATTTATTAAAAATGAAAAACGAATTTCTAAGAAAAATCGATAAGGGGATAGTCCTTTTTTTCGGCGAAAAAAAAATTTTTCATATCGTTCTAAAAAAATTATTTTCAGTTGCGGGGGTCAATTACAATAATTTTTGGTCATCATACATACCCCTGAAATCCTACGCACTTTCGAGAAAAAAATTCCTTACCGAAAAAATCTAATTGGGTGCTAAAATTTTTCAACGAAAAAAAAAAATTTCAAATCGTTCTGGAAAAATTATTTTCGGTTGCGGGAGTCAATTATAATCATTTTTGATAATTTGTCACATCCTCGAAATCGTACCCACTTTCAAGAAAAAAATTCGAAGTATGAAATTTTTCGACAAAATTAAAAAATTTCAAATCGTTCTGGAAAAATTATTTTCGGTTATGGGGGTCAATTACAATCATTTTTGGTGAATAGACATACCCCCGAAATCCTACTCACTTTCGAGACAAAAATTCAATACAGGCGAAACTTTAAACGTTAATAACTTTTTAACGAAGCCTCCATCAACAAATTGGTATTCTTGATTTTCATTCTATTTTGGCTTCTAGAATCCCTCATTAAAATTTTCCCAGGGGTGGCCGAACTCTTTGTATAGTTCTACATGGTTCAAATGTAAGGAACTCTAATCCCAACAAAATTCTGTCATAGTGATGACAAGTAACTGGAATGGGACTACTTATAGGAGACGATGCGTAGGAATTTGTGGTGAATACTTTTAATGCATTTTATTATGATTTCTTTAACAATTTTCACCGGGACAGGAAATAAAAAAGACTCGACGCGCGCCATTAGAGTGTAGCGTCGCTTCCCATGTTAGCCACCAGAGGGATCGCGCTCTCACAAGCGCTCGACTGACCCCTCGACCAACTTCCCAATATCCACCACAAACTTTCCCAAATAATAGACAACCGCAACATGCTCTGGACTACTTATAAATCGCTAAACAATCCAAAACTACTATCCCACCACTCTCTGACGGCAACACCACAACATTCACCAACATTGACAAAACAGAACTACTTGCTAACAGTATACTTGTATACATATACAATCTTCCACCGATTTCCCAATTTATCCAATCGTCTAAAGCAGGGCTTGCTCTACAGGTATACCAAAACAAATGAAGACTTGTACTTAAATAGAGATAATAGATACTTAAGAATAGCCAGACCTACATGAACAAAATTGTACAATCAAAACAAAATACTAGAAAACATAACAAGCATAGGATCACCTAACAAACCATTATTCAAACTAAAACACAAACTTACCGTATCAAAAACTACCAATATTCTACCAAAACAAACACACAAGTGCAATTAGCGCACCAAGCGCCAAACACTAATCTTAAGAGGTGATATAAATGTTAAACATAAATTTATGTATGTATACATTGCCTACAAATAGACATAAGCAGACTGTTAGTACAACTTAGTAAGATAAGTTAGCATAGAGAATTTGAAAGAAAGACTGAATGTATGTAGCATACCTAACAAGTGCAATTTCCAAAAACAGGTTTTTAATACTTTTCCTGTAAGCAAAGATACCCCTTTAATCGAAAACATATATTTTTAGACATCACACTGTGGTAACTGTAAAAGAAAAATAGATACTATGTCCATACTGTTCCAAAATGAAAGGTAGAGCCACAAAGAGAGGCAGGGACTTTCAAACATCGCATATGAGAAAAGACTGTATAAGGTTGACTTAGGTCAAGACTACACATGTAAAACTGTAAATATATTGTTAATAAATCGTTGTTGAAACGAAAGAGCCTTACTGGGATGGGTCCATTAGCAGGCCCAGGCGAAACGCCCCCCCTCCTTTCCTTTTCTACCCTTCCATGATAGTTCCAGTTCCTACCACAGCGAAGCAGCGCCACAAGAGTTCACTCATTTGAGGACTCGCTCGAGGGCAATCATTTGTCAATAAATAATGTTAAAATTAGCTTAACGAAGATCCCCTGTGTACTTCTCTGGCTATACTCATGCAGATTAAGAGAAAATTTGTTGTTTTTTTGCGTCAGAGCGCCTCGCGGGAATGGCTCTAGCGTCGTCATTTTCCACTATTTTTGAACAAATATTTTTTTCTTAACACTTAACGACATGGTTAACATCATTCTTGAATATTACTATCCTCTTACTTTTCCATCTATCCAAAAAAAAAAGAATTGAAAACAAAACGCTTCATTTCAGGTTTTTACAGCGGTCTTTCGTTTCGATTCGTCGTACAATTCGCGAGATCGTAAATCGGGAATCGTTAATCCGGGGATTAAGGTGGTTCGTTAGGCGAAACGTTATTATTGGTTATTTCGCAAGGTTAATTACGAAATTAATTATTCCCGTTTAGCGCGTCGTGTTTAAGCTTCGACGAGGAGACGGCCGGCCAACCTTGCGGAGAAGGTCTCGTCGATATTTTATCGATAGCGTGTAACACCTATACACCGTGCTAAATATAATCATCCCTCTGAATACTACGGACAATGTAAAATCCGCGTCTTGCATGTGTCGATCATGCGTGTTCCCCGCATCGTTTACAAATAGCGAAATTTTGACACCTTCAACAAGCAAATTCTTCCCAAGAGAAGATAACAAATATAAAGAACCACTGGCCGCGCAGCTTTTAAAAACTAATCGAAAATACAGACTGGACTTTGCTCGTTGGAGAGACTCGAAAAGTTCCATGCGCGCTGCCGCTTCCATGTAGCATTTGTTTATGTCTGTAAAATATGTAAAAATGTGTAAATTACACTCGTCAAATATATGTATCAATAATATAACAAAATATACTTACATAATAATAATCAATTATAATTTAAATTATGTGTTATTTCTTCAATATTGTCAAAGAGATAGTCGATTACGTTTGTAGATTATAAGCTGAGAACGAACGCTCAACATTACACAATTTGACCTCGTAGAACCTGCCTGTTAAGAATATTACAGAATTACTGATTAATACTGATTAATAGCGTCTATGAACTATTAATGATTCATTATAGGTAAAGACTAGATGTATAAATAGCTATGTTGTGATTTCTGTCATGACTATTGTATACAAACTTTGAATTGATAGACTCAAATAGATATACATATGTTTTTGTAAAAAATATGCAAAATAAAAAATATATTTTTAAGGACCTCTAGTGATGAGACAAACTTAGACAAAAGAGTGGAACTTAAATAGAAGTTAGTTTCATCAGTAAAGGTCCTTAAAAATATACAATTTAAATGGAGTACTATGAATGAAGAACTATTTAAGTTCCACTCTTTTATCTATTTCCTAGAATCGTATGTATATGCATAAACATCTATCAATTATTATAGAACCGGTAACGTCAATAAATGCAATTGTCTTGCAACAGAGGGTTCTTCATTCTTGCAGAGGGTTGCACCCTATGTATTGACTTCTCCAAAACTAAATTCGAATCACTTGTTGCGTTTCTTTAAATTTCGTTAATTTCGAACGGCCCTCGTGCAACGTATACACGCGTTGGCGAGTGCTTGAAAACATTCTGAAATGTTTCAGGTCTCCCTCTAAAAATGTCAGTGGTCGAGAAGAAAGGTCAAAGGTGTTACGACAACGGCGCAAATGGAAATAAATCGCGACGCGTACGTAAAATAAGGATATTATTCTCTTAATTATTAATCAGTGGACTTGCAGCTTTCATAAAATGCTGCAATATACCATAATTGAGGTACATGACATTTCTACAATTGCTCCTTCGTCAGTCGCCAACCCACTAACTGTATCATGCAATTCTTTACCATAATAATGTCACAAGAGCAATTATAATAAAATCCCCATTTTCTGCATTTTATGGGCTATTTTCATAATTTTGATCTTTTATAATTCCGAGTATTTTCTCATTTGGTACCTTCGATTCGCTTGGAACAACATGGTTGTTTGACAAGATTTTACAATAAAAAGTTTGTATTGGTATACATTTTAAGGTACCAAAACATCGTGCAAAATGAAATTTATTTATACCTAATCGTTTTTTTTTAGCAAGTCCTTAGAAAAAGGCTCAATTTGACTGCCTGATCTGACGCCTCAAAAAAATCAATTTCTTTTTATTTCATTTTTAAAACTATATTTAAGAATGTACTGTTCGCCTTTGCCAAAATTATATTTTTATAATGAGTATATCATACACTTTTATTAAAAAGTTTGTGGAAAAAAAATGACAAAATTTAGCAATTTTTAGTTCAAGCTTTCGCCATTTTGCCAGTTTTCAACATAAATTACGCCAATGTTTAAACGCATGTTTACTGTGGGTGTAATAAAAACATGCAAAGTAAATAAAAATCACTGAAAAATTTACTTTTTATCCCCGGAGGGTAGTCAAGTAAATTGCGAAAAGAAACTATAGCGTTGGATGTAACGTTTAGTTAAAAAAAAAATGAACAAAGATGGTTAAATTTTGCAACGTACACTGCCCCCTTAAAGTAGCTTGTTAAAGTTAGGTTCGACGTAATGGTAGGTGGGTTTAGGCAGGTGTGTCCGCGCCTTAATCGTGAACCGAGTGGGTGGCCCCCGACAGGGTGGTTTATCGACCAGGATACGAACCTCTGGAGGCTCAGTATTCGCGGGACCTCCACCCCGTCGAAGCGATCTTACGTAGTAGCGAGACTCTCGGTGATTCGCGTTGTGACAAGCTCTCTTCGATGTTCCTCTGATCGTGAAAACCCAAGTCCTATCTCCAACGATTCTCCCGGTGAATCGACGCGGATTTTCACGCAGGTTCCTCGATTCTTATCAGCAAAGTAAGTCGATCGCTAACTTTTATCGTGGCTCGAACCACCGATCACTGACCGGTCACCCAACAAAAAGATACTCTTGGAAAACTCGGTTCTATCACCGTGATTATCAATGTGACATTAATAATCGGTACTTTCCCCTCCTACTTGCAACCCGTTAATAAATAAAAATCTATTTGGACGCGTCTATGAGGCTCGTAAGACAATTTTCGTTGTCCAAACGTCGGTGTTTCGAGCTACGATATAGACTCGACTCGAGTTTCACCGATCTACTTAGATATTAGACTATCCCCCGAGCATAGTTTGCGTGCGTGGTGTGTGTACGTGCGTGTGTGTGCGCGCGTTAATGGAATTTTTCTGATCTAGATAAATAAACAGAGATTTAATAGTTTTGGCCGGTCGATAGGATTCTGTTCGATCGTTCCTAGCGACAATCGAGTGACCCAGTTGACGATCGAATACTCGTGGATACGCGAGATACTGCCCGACGACCTACAGTGACCCATTTATCGATTCGCCAGATTTTAATCAACTACTCCTACAATTGTTTTCGTCCCGTTCACCTCGATGCACACATTATACATACATCCATAGATATATATAGCAACGCACACACTGTTGGTATTGTTCCTGTCTGTCCAAGAGTACCAAGAGCGTTCGATTAATTTTCACGACTAATAAAAGCAGAAACCCGCGTTAGCAGGCGATAGGTTCGAGGGGTAGGTTTCCAAGGTCAACGTTATTTAAAAAATAGAGAACGTCGACGATGATAAAACAACTTTAACGGTCCTCGATCTTCCTCGACCCTTTTCGATCTCTTAACTGTATCGAACCTGAAACTATTTAAATTAGTCGTTAGGCAGAGAAAATTGACAAAGTAGGTAAAAAGGGCGCGTTCGGGTTGCTCTAGAAATAGGTACGAGAAAGCAACGGGGTACACTGACCTCGATTACCAAATCCATCCAAACGGATATAGGTGGTGTATGGCGCTGGAACGGAGCCAGCCAAAGTTGCAACTGCATTTAGTACGACTGGCGATCGTGAGTCAACGTACGAGGAATTTCTCCTCGAATTTCACGTCCATAAATCAATGGCGTTCGGCGTTCACAAGGATTCCGGCCATTCGCACGGTCGATAATTAGGTCTCCGTGATTCGGTGCTGACAAACCTCCTACAATGGGCCATTTACCCCCCTCTCTCTCTCTCTCTACGAGCAAAACCCATTTATGTAATTACAATCTTTTTAAAAAGAGCTTGTTACTACGGTTTCTATAATCCTTTTGTTCAAACGTCGTTTTCGTTTTGGCGATACGTATCTTCAATTCCTTGCAAACCTAATAAACGAAGAAAAAGTCAGGTGAGAAGGGTTGGTCATGCGTACCATAGAATGAAAATTAATTATTTGGGAATTAGTTTAGCTTGCTTCCAGACTGGTGATTCGGTGCTGACAAACCTCCTACAATGGAGCCATTTACCCCCCCTCTCTCTTTTTTCTCTCTGAAACAAACAAAACCCATTTATATAATTATAATCTTTTTAAAAATTAAACGTGCTTGTTACTACGGTTTCTATATTCCTTCTAAGAATTTTATATTAGGGAATTTGTATTTGCAATTTCTTGTACTCCCTAATAAACAAAGAAGCCACACGAAATGGGTTAGAAATGTACGTACCATAGATTGAAAACTAATTATTTGTGAATTAGTTTAGCTTGCTTCCAGACTGATGATTCGGTGCTGACAAACCTCCTACAATGGGGTCATCTACCCCCCCCCTCTTTCTCTCTGAAACAAACAAAACCCATTTATGTAATTACAATCTTTTTAAAAATTAAACATACTTGTTACTACGGTTTCTGTATTCCTTCTATTTTACGAATTTTATATTAGAGTGATAGTTTAGGATATGCACTAGGTATTTATACACGTGGATGTTGAAGGATTTCACACAGGACTCAGACACGTTTTTTGGTAAACAATTTATCACAAGGTACTTTTTAAATATGTACAGTTTGTAACAGTGCTGCCAAAATTGACACTCTTACAAATGGTACCAACATTGTATTCCAATATAACAACATAGAGAATTTTTATTTTCAATTTCTTGTATTCCCTAATAAACGAAGAAAAAAATTGGACGTTTTTACAAAAGCTCGTGTTATCGAATAGTGTTATTTGGGAATTAGTTTAGCTTGTTTCCAGACTGGTGCATCGGTACATTCCGCGAAAGGGTGAACCACCTTGGTGTCGTGCCACCTTCGATAAAACCGACTTGCATGCGCCATGCGAACGCGCCTATTTGCATAAATACTTGCCAAGCTACTTTCTTTTATCGTTGATACTCTACGACTCCCATGGTTACGTCGATTAAACGGGGAAATTTTGAAAAAATGGCTCGACGACCCCTACGCCCAAGATTCGTAGCTGACGTATCCCGATGATTGATAAAAATTACAGAAAGAAACAAGTGTCGAGTAAAATGGCAATTGTTTACCATTTACAGGGTAAATAAATGAAAATTGCCCCGTAGATTACGCGTAGAATGTTCAGCCGTTCATAATCTCGTGGCAATAAACACGCGGCCAAGTAGCGACACCTACAATAAGGTTGAAGATCGTGTGGGGATTCCCGTGGCTTTTGTTCGAGTCGAGTCATTTGTTTAACCTATTTAATATGTAAAGAACGATTAAAGTGGTTGTATTTAACATTTTAATATTGTCTATATAATAGTAATTATTCTCGATCCTTGAACAGTCAGACGATAGACAGAGATAATTAAGAATTAACAATCGAGGCTCGACGACCCCTTCCAACTACACGCACAAAAATATTCGTAGCTAACGATTGATAAAGATTACAGAAAGAAACAAGTGTCGAGCAAAATGGCAATTGTTTACAATTTACCAAGGTAAATAAATGAAAATTGCCCCGTAAATTACGCTCAGGAAAGTAATTATTCTCGGTCAGGCGATAGACATAGATAATCGAGAATTAATAACGCGCGTGTGTGTTCGTCTTGGGGAAAATTGTAGAGGAAAGTAGAGCAGCGTGGGTGGTGGTGGAAAACAGACGAGTCCACTGTGTTGGCGTTACGCGGAAATATTAATCCGAGGTGTTCCCTCCCTCTGCTCTGATTTCCTCTCCCCTTTTCTTTTCTACGAGCGGCTCGACGACGGGAATCCCAAAGCTTTTGGCAAACGTCCAAGACGAAGGGAAACGGGTACTGGTTGCACATTCGTGTGTCTATACGGCCGCTCGTTCCACTCTCCTCGGTGCACATGCACATGCAGCTCTGCAGCCATGACACTAGGAATCAGACCACTGTCCCAGTTTACGCCTTTCCGAGCAATAAAGGTTACCCCTTCGTCGTGCACGTAACCGACTCGTTGCAAAAACCAACGCTGCTCCTCGATCCATCTAAAAAATATCAAATCAGTCAAATAATTATATTTAACAAAAATCTAAATTCTACCAGAAAAATCGACAGGGAGCAGTCCCCTTTTTCGGTGAAATTGAAAAGTTTCGAATCATTCCGGAAAAATTATATTTAGTTACAGGGGTCATTTACACGCATTTTTTGTGAATAGACATACCCCCGAAATCCTACTCAGTTTTGAGAAAAAAATTCGAATGCCTAAATTTTTTAACGAAAAAAAAAATTTCAAATCGTTCTGGAAAAATTATTTTCGGTTGTGGCGGTCAATTACAATCATTGTTGGTGAATAGACATAACCCCGAAATCCTACTCAGTTTCGAGAAAAAAATTCGAATAATGCCTAAATTTTTCGATGGGGGAAAAAAAAATTTCAAATCGTTTTGGAAAAATTATTTTCGGTTGCGGGGGTCAATTGCAATCATTTTTGGTGAATAGACATACCCCCGAAATCTTGCGCATTTTCGAGAAAAAAATTCAGTACGGGCGGAACTGCGTAATCAATGGATATTATGCTTTACAAAAATTTGTAAACATAGTTAAATATATAATAAATATATTCACAAAAACGCCGATTAAGTGCTCCTCAATATCTCGCAAAAAAAAAAATTACAAACATCTTTTCTTGTCTGTAAGGTAGAAGGAGAGAATGGGGGAATTCCCCTTACGAGATTCGATTTAAAACAAACTACTATTAACTCCTTACCGTACAATGACGAGTTTGGGTTTCCTTCTATCTATCTAGGCTGTAAATTCCAAATTTCAGTGCAGTTGAATAGCCCTGTTCGTGGAACGCATAGCAATAGCGAAGCAGAGCAGGGAGGATCGGATCGCGTGTCGTTCATCTCTCGTCCTTCGCGAACGTAACCGTGGGCACGCGAGATCGATCGTGTTTATCATTAACACGTGCGGAATTATTCTTTCGTAAGATTAACGATCGAATCGAATACATTTTTCACGAGCTTTTCAAACGGAACCGCCGCCTCGCAGAGCTTTTCGAGCAACTTTCAACGTTTGATCGTCAGCCTTGCAACCGCTCGCTTAGTCGATACGCAAACGAAGAAAATGGTAAACATTATTCATCGCTAGACACGATAAAGTCGAAAGGTTATCCGCGGGATTCGCAAAACCCGTTACTTCCGTGCACAAACTATCGCAAATTGCCACCATTTTCCTATTTATGGATCACTGCTACTTTACAAAGCGATTAACCACCTTGATGGCTTCGTTAATTTTTTACGATCATCGTTGAAAAATACCAGCGAACAGTATCAAAACGATTAAATTTTTGTAACAATTTAAAGTTAAAATTGTTGGGAACAAAAACTTTTTTTCCCCCTTTGTCATTAGCGACAGGTTCTATGCGGTTATTTTTTGGGTCATTCTGTTAAATTTTATTGTATAATTGGGTTCCCCTCGGATAGTTCAAGGTGTTCCTGATGTGGTCCTCCGAAGTCGACAATGTTTCTAGATGGAGTCCATGTTTTCTTCTTTGAACAGCAAATCTTTCATACAGTAGATAGTGTGTTGATATTAGCTGGTGACAAAGGTTGCAGATCTGATTTTTGTAATAAGTATTCCTGTGTAATCCTTGAGTGTCAGGTTCTGAGTCTTGATAGAGTAGTTCAAGGTGTTCCTGATGTGGTCCTCTGAAGTCAACAATGTTTCTAGATGGAGTCCATATTTTCTCTTTTGAACAGCAAATCTTGGGAATTCATACAGTAGATGATGTGTTGATCTGATTTGTATAGCAAGTATTTGTGAGTAATCCTTGAGTGTCCGGTTCTGAGTCTCGATAGAACTATTCTAGGGCAGAAAAATGAACTAATTTAACAATTCTAATAGGTAATAATTTAAGACGAGTTAGAATATAAACAAGCGTCGACAGATGCAGGGTCGATAATCGAAAAATTCAATCGTCCATTAATTTTTAGTGGCATATTCCGGGGTGAAGCAAATACGAGGCCAAAAGTGGGATTTGCGATAGTTTTCTAGCGGTGCAGCTGCACCCGGTGCAACTCTTCTGTTCGATAACCGAGGTGCAACGGCCCCAAGAGCGTATCTAGGCCACCAGCACCAGCATTTCCACCTCCATGCCACCATCGATATCACTGCTACACCCGCCACAACCATCGTGCATTAATACTACAACAACGTTTATTCTCCATTTGTTCGCTTTGAAATCTACAAACAATTTCTCCGACAAAGTACCGTGTATAGGGGTCCGGATAACGCAAAACAATGGGAATTATTCTTTCCAAATTGTGTCCACATGGATGACACAGATCACCGCAAGACTAAAGAAAGAAATTAAAATAAGATATTATATTAACGTTGAAAACGCCATGAAAACCACATTAAACGTGTCTAAGAAAGTAAAATAAGACAATATACTAGCGTTGCTAATAGCGACAAACGATAACATCATGTTATTCGTCCCCCAAACGCCATGAAAACCGAATACACGTGTTGAAAAGTGTTGTTTGTTTTTTAACAAAAACTGCACAATAAATAGATATTATGCTTTGAAAAAATTTGTAGACATAGTTAAATACATAATAAATACACCCACAAAAGCTCCAATCAAGCGCTCTTCAATATCTCGCAAAAAAAAATTACAAACATTCTCTTTTCTTGCCTACAACTTGCGAAACAAGCTTGTGCTTCTGACGCTAAAACTTTTGGTTCGAAATTATCCAGTTATTAATCTTCATCATAATGGGAATCGATGGTAAGATTCGTTGAGAAATGCCCGCTGCGTTCGCCTCGTGGGCGATTCTGAAACGTATCGACTTCGAAACGCTTCGAAGTTGTTGGACACGTAGGTCGGAGTTCGCGCGACGCCCACGCCTCCGGGCAGATGGAAATTTAAATTACGGATAGTAGATCGTGTAATTGTCAGTCTGTTGTTTCTACGAGAAATTCTCAATTATTGATTGCGTCACTTCGTTTCACGATCGGGACAGCATAATTGTCTTCGACGCTATTACGCATATTTCGACTAAACTACAGATCGTCGATGGGAAATAAACGTTGTTGAGCTCTACGATTTTCGTTTGAAAATATTGCGAATAGGATAATGGCGGTACGGTGACAGAGTTACAAGCTTCTGTATTTTTCTTCAGAATGATCACGGCGTTGCCAGTACCCTCGGTGAAGGTCTTCCACAAAACATATTACCAGGAAAAGGGATCCAGGATAGCTAGCAGTCAACCTGGTAGTCCGTTGGCCGAAAGCGAGGCAGTTTTAACGTTAAATTACAAGGATCCTCCAGAATACTACATCTGCGGCAAGGTAAGAGTTATTCCATACCTAAAATTGTAAAAAAATTTTTATCTATTTGTACGTTTCAATACTATAGTTTGCTATAGGAGAACGATTAAACGTTTATTTCCATTGCGTTATACTAAGTTCTTTGGTACAAATAAACATACCATAATTGTCGGTGATTCTAGCGTTAAACAATAAATGGGAAGATTAATAAAAATTCGACAACGGTAATCAATATTAGTATCTAGAAACGTTAGCAACGCCCACGCGAAATACGTTGCTCACTTTCAATTACGTCGTTTACGTTTCGTTCTTATTTGCTTAGCCCACACGATTCCTCGACAAATAATCGACCTTTCGACGAACAAACATAATCGTACGAGTCGTCTTCGTCATCCGTCCTTCAAATCAACGCAATAATTTACACGATCCTCGATTTTATTAGAAACGTGTAATTTTACTCGACAAAACATTCCAACGGTTCATTTATATTCGTTTTGAACCGCCATCTTTGTTCCATCTTGGTTCCATTAATCTAACAGTTTCGAGTTTCCCATCAAAGAAATTTAATTTTAAATATTTTTCGAATACTCAACTGTGTTAGGATCGTGTAATTTTCTTCGACAAAACAGTCAAACGGTTGCTCAAAGTCGGGCAAATTTTAAATTCGTCATGTCTAATTAAAATTTACCCACCGTCACTGTTTTCGACCGCCATCTTTGTCCCAACCTACAACGAGCTTTTATGGCTCCATTAACCCCTTAACGTATAATTTAATTCTAAATAATTTTTCAGACGTATACTATTTAATTTTGTTTAAATTTGTTCGTACAAGGCCACGAAAAAGAATAGATTTGTTTTATGAATATCTCGCGAATGTTAAAATGTGTTGATTTTTGTATACAGGGTGTTCGGCCACCCCTGGGAAAAATTTTAATGGGCGATTTTACAGGCCAAAATGAGACGAAAATCAAAAGAATACCAATTTGTTGATGGAGGGTTCGTTAAAAAGTTATTAACAAATAAATTCAAAAATTTCAAATCGTTTTGAAAAAATTATTTTCGGTTGCGGGGCTCAATTATAATCATTTTTGGTCTTTTGACACACCCTCGAAATCCTACTCACTTTCGAGAAAAAAATTCGAGAAGGTACAAAATATTTCGGCGAAATTAAAAAATTTCAAATCGTTCTAAAAAAATTATTTTTGGTTGTGGATATCAATTTCAATCATTTTTGGTGAATACACATACCCTCGAATTCCTACGGACTTTTGAGAAAAAAATTCGGGAAGGTGGACAAATTTTTCAGCGAAATTAAAAAATTTCAAATCGCTCTAAAAAAATTATTTTTGGTTGCGGGGGTCAATTACAATCATTTTTTATGAATAGACATACCCCCGAAATCCTACCCACTTTCGAGAAAAAAATTCCTCACCAAAAACATAGTGTGTGGCCCGAAATGGTTCCCTAAAATTTGCAAACAACGCATATTTTAATGAAGAATATGTAGAAATGCTAAAAATATTGGAAAACTTGTTCCTTGACCCCGTAAAGAGAGAAAAGCTCCATAAAAGTGGTCCAATTTGCAAACGACCATAACTCCTACAATAGTCGATGGATTTCATTGAAATTTAGTTTGGAAGTAGACCTCATGGATACCTACGAAAAAGTATAAGACAACATTTCCGTGCAGCGCTAACCAAATTTATTAAAAATGAAAAACGAATTTCTAAGAAAAATCGATAAGGGGGTAGTCCTCTTTTTCGGCGAAAAAAAAATTTTTCAAATCGTTCTAAAAAAATTATTTTCAGTTGCGGGGGTCAATTACAATAATTTTTGGTCATTATACATACCCCTGAAATCCATCGCACTTTCGAGAAAAAAATTCCTTACCGAAAAATCTAATTAGGTGCCAAAATTTTTCAACGAAAAAAAAAATTTCAAATCGTTTTGGAAAAATTATTTTCGGTTGCGGGAGACAATTACAATCATTTTTGATAATTTGTCACACCCTCGAAATCGTACCCACTTTCAAGAAAAAATTTTCGAAGAAGTATGAAATTTTTCGACATAATTAAAAAATTTCAAATCGTTCTGGAAAAATTATTCTCGGTTGCGGGGGTCAATTACAATTATTTTTGATGAATTCGATATACCCCCGAATTCCTACACATTTTCGACAAAAAAATTCAGTACGTGCGAATCTTTAAACGTTAATAACTTTTTAACAAAGCCTCCATCAACAAATTGGTATTCTTGATTTTCGTCTTATTTTAGCCTCTAGAATCCCCCATTAAAATTTTTCCTGAACACCCTGTATAAGATTTAATGACGAAATGAGTAGCTCCATGATTGTAAAACTTGACATCAAGAACTTGATACGAGTCAGACTCGTCATTGTAAGATAAGGGGTTAATCTATCAATTTTGAGATTCTCTTCAAAGAAATTTAATTTCAAATATTTTTCGAATCGTTAAAACGAGCGAAAGGAGTATTTCAAGTTTTACGAGTACGCCTCGTAAACGTTCGCCTAAATGAAACTTCTATTTTACGTAAAGCTTGTAAAACGTGGAAACAATCTTTGGTCGTTTACGACAGTTCAGTCGCGTGATTCATCTGCCGGGGACACGTACGAATTACTGGGAAATCTTTCTTCAGCGGTTCGAAACGCGTTATACGCTATGTAGCGGTTGTTGCCGCAGATTGGCTATATGGAATGGCCGACGGATGACGTCATTCAAAACGCGTGGGCGTTTAGAGGCATTAAGCAGCCCGTTGCTACATGATAAACCATAATATACCTCCTCTCGCAGACATCTTTGAAATTCACGTTATTTTCTTCTTAAATATCTTCTCGCCGTCCGTTTAGTTCTCTGGAATGAGTCGAAGGTAGCTCAAATTCCTAAAAAATAAAAAACTCGTTGGAAAAGTAAAAAAATTGCTTTTAATATCTTGTTGCTTTTGGAAAGGTGAACTCTTTGCACGTGGTGGTTGGCTCGTTGTTGCTGGGTACCGTGGTATTGATCGTGGGTCTGGTGCAACTTGCACCTGGAGCCGAAGCTGCACAAAACTCGACTTCCCTGATAGTCGTCGGGAACACGTTGCTGGCGATCGGCGGTCTCCTCGCGACGGTCAGAGCTCTGTGCATCAAGAAACAGAAGGCTGCACAGAAGGATGGAACCCATCAGAGAAGCGTCACCAGCATAGACATGCTGCTGGCCCAACACAAGTAACTTGACCATAATTTTATTTTCAATAGCTATTTACAGATAGAAGGTGTTCGACCAACCCTGGGAAAAATTTTAATGGGAGATTCTAGAGGGCAAAATAAGACGAAAATGAAGAATACAAATTTATTGATGGAGGCTTCGTTAAAAAGTTATTAACGTTTAAAGTTAAAGTGTGCAGCGCGCACGGTTCCCGTCTCACAGGCGGAACTTTAAACGCTAATAACTTTTTAACGAAGCCTCGATCAACAAATTTCTATTCTTCATTTTCGTCTTATTTTAGCCTCCAGAATCTCCTGTTAAAATTTTTTTCCCAGGGGTGGCCAAACACCCCTGCACATCAGCTCACATTTCGCATTTTACGAGCAGAGACTTCACGGTTTTGACGCCCGACGAATTCGAGGACCTCGTTGCACGGTCGACCTCCGCCCTGGAGAGCAACATCCGCAAACAGGGCCACAATACCTAGGTACTGTCGGCCTCGAAGAAGGCCCATCCATCGTCACCACTGTGCTCGAACACGCCATCGTCGTCGACGTCGCCAGGAACTAGCTCATCCATTCTCTACACGCATCGTTACGACTCTCGTGAACACAGTCTGGTTTAAAAGAGAAAACAAACTGGCGCCAGCCACAAATTTATCTTATTTCGTTCCTTTTCTTTCTTTCGTTTGAATGAAATTTTGTTTTACTTTACTATCGTGCACGCTGCTGCCTTCAGCTTGGCGCAAGCGGCGATTTACGCGAAACGTCGCGGACAGATCTACACGACTCGCGGTAAGCAATCGAATTGCCTGCGTTTTGGTGTACGATCATCGATTACAAGATTCATCCACAGAGAAATGGACGAACGCGTTGCTCTCGATCGCGAAAGACGAAAAAACTAAAAAGGGACCTAATCACCGATCGATCCGGCTGCCTTTGTTCGCTACGAGATCTTCGATCGAGAAAGAAAGATCCTGGAATTTATTTTGTTCTGGAGTTTTTTTTTTTTTTTAATTTTCAGTTTTTCGTTTTTCTCCAGCTCGATCGAAGGATCGACTTATTCAAGTTCGTCGAGGATCGATGGTACAGAGACACCCGAAGGCTGCTTCACGGCTAACGATCACTGAAAGTTTTCGATTGTTCGAGACCAAAAAAAAATTTCGTAATTTCGTAGTTTCGTTCGAGACTTGATTGTGTTCAAATCGCCAAGATACAAGTCTGACAGTATGTTAATCGTTAACGTTAATAGGAGAGAAATTCTATCGTAAAGTCTTTTGTACGAAATTTAGATTATCGACGGTATTTGATTGTAATTCATTGTATCATCTTCGTATCGGTGGAAAATGGGCAAATACAGGGTGTCCCTTAGGGTGGTCCTTATTTCTCGACTTTCGATTAATTTTTGACGCACCACTCCAGATTGTGACGCTTGGTGACCAAAAGTTCTCTGCAAAGTTTCAACGAGATTAGGCAACAGAAACACGTGATGCATTTAAATTAAAGTTTTGAAATTCTTAGGATTTCGCGTTCTGGAAAAATTATTTATAATTGCAGGGGTCAATTACAATCATTTTTTGTGAATAGATATACCCTCAAAATCCTACGCACTTTCGAAACAAAAATTCAGGAAGGTGGAAAATTTTTCGAAAAAATTGAAAAATTTCAAATCGTTCTAGAAAAATTATTTTCGGTTGCGGGGGCCAATTACAATCATTTTTGGTCAATACACATACCCCAGAAATCCTATCCACTTTCGAGGAAAAAATTCGAGAAGGTATGAAATTTTTCGAAAAATTTAAAAAATTTCAAATCGTTCTAGAAAAATTATTTTTGGTTGTGGAGGTCAATTTCAATCATTTTTTATGAATACAAATACCTCAGAAATCCTACGCACTTTCGAGAAAAAAATTCAGGAAGGTGGAAAATTTTTCGAAAAAATTAAAAAATTTCAAATCGTTCTAGAAAAATTATTTTCGGTTGAGGGGGCCAATTACAATCATTTTTGGTGAATACACATACCCCAGAAATCCTATCCACTTTCGAGGAAAAAATTCAGGAATGTGGAAAATTTTTCGAAAAAATTAAAAAATTTCAAATCGTTTTAGAAAAATTATTTTAATTGCGGGGGCCAATTACAATCATTTTTGGTGAATACACATACCCCAGAAATCCTATCCACTTTGTAGAAGAAAATTCGAGAAGGTATGAAATTTTTCGACAAAAGTAGAAAATTTCAAATCGTACTAAAAAAATTATTTTTGGTTGTGGAGGTAAATTTCAATCATTTTTGGTGAATACACATACCCCAGAAATCCTATCCATTTCGAGGAAAAAATTCAGGAAGGTGGAAAATTTTTCGAAAAAATTAAAAAATTTCAAATCGTACTAAAAAAATTATTTTTGGTTGTGGAGGTAAATTTCAATCATTTTTGGTGAATACACATACCGCAGAATTCCTACGCACTTTCGAGAAAAAAATTCGTGTTGAGTGGACAAATTTTATTAATAATTTTTAACAATAATTTTGTTAACAACTTGTTAACGAAATCTCAATCACCAAATTGGTATTCTTGATTTTCGTCTCATTTTGGCCTGTAGAATCTCTCATATTACTTTCAACAATATGAATATGTTAAGAGTTCGACGTATGCAGTTCACAAAATAAAAAAGAAAAAGTGAATGTGTAGAAAAATAGTCTCCTTGTTCTTTAAATTGAAAATAATCGTATGACAAAACGTAGCCCAAAAAATATCGGTTAATAAATTTCGAATAAGACGACACAAGTATGCGAAATCGTTATAATTTAAAAACTTCAATTCAAATGCAGCACGTGTTTTAGTTGTCCAATCACGCTAAAAGGCATAAATGATTTCTTCATCAAGTGTCACAATCTATATGCGTAAAAAAAAAACTAAAAAAAAATTTTGACCCCTCTAGCTAAGGACCATCCTAGTGTCCCTCCGAGTCTCGACAAAATGGAGTCTGATCACGCCACGATACGATTCCGTGGAATATAACAAGAGTTGTCCGGTTGCGGTTTAACCGTAATTATCTTAAATCTTCCAAGCGCGTAAAAACTAATTATCGTCATCGGATTACATTTTGTTCGACTCTGGTGTCCCTGAAAATGATGTGCAAGTGAACACCAAGCGATTCCTAATGAAACAACATTTCAAATAGTAAAATAATGCATAGTTTACTATTTAAAAAACACACATAAACGGTCCGAAACGTATTATTTTAACGTAAATGTACGCGCACGCACGCGCCAATAATAGGAAAAATGAAAATGTTAAAAAGTTTCCTTTTCTGAAACAAATTCGTTTCTATATTTGTTCTATATGTTTTTATAAGGAATCGCCTGGTGAGGTTGGAAAACGATCAAGCGAATCACGTAGCTTGGAGCGGCCTTGTCACAGTCGAAAGACACTCTACGAATATAATCGCGAAATAACTTTTACTCGAGTTCTCGAACCCAAGTCACTTGCCGCTATAGTACGTTTAAGTAAACTACTTTTCACACCGCCATGCATTTACACGCACATATCTTCGAGCATTAATTAGACACCGTACAAAACTGAGAAAGATTAACAAACGATTACGGAAACTCTCCGGAATCGTCCTTGACGCGTCGTCGATTCTTGCTAATACCAGCTTTCCACCCAACTGCACCACCACCCTCGCTTCTTCTATAAGTTACACTTTCACTACGATATTTGGAACAGAGAAAAATTGCCTTGAGAAGCTTGGACTGAAAATATTTGTATTCCTAACCTTTTTTTTTTGCACGAGGAGAAATCCTCATGGACACCCACGGGCCCAACCCGGAGGGAGGCACTCCACCCACCGTACTCCCACTCAACCGCAGGCGCCTGGTCACCAGCGCCCTCTTACCGGCTAATACCCCATGGTGACCATCCTCAGGCGCCTGACGGGAAGCTTTCATTCCGACCTCCGGGATGCCATGCGAGGATGTGGCCACTAGTCTTCTCAGGCTGATGATCTCATCCCCGCATCCCATCCCAGAGGCTGCCCCTATCCGCCACGCAGGGGTTCACCTCCCCTGCCGTCTGGACAACCTATTCCTAACTATTCCTAACCTAACCCAGACCTAACCCTTCATTCAGCTAACAAAAATAGTGTTTCGATTAATTTGTTCATCGTACAATGTGACACGACGGTTTTCGAACGGTGCATTTGGGTGGCTGGCTTAACGACGACGTAATAAATAAAATATTTTTATGACGAAAGTGAAAAGAAGAGAAACCTCCTCGGTTTCCGATCTTTTTAATTAGATGATAATTTAACGGGCTCTCGAGAGAGCTTTCGTTTCTCACCGTAACTCACCGGTTACGTTCATTTTCGCAACGTACATACGTATGTACCAACATACGTATACTGTATATTCTCATTTTCGTCCAGACACACCATAACGAATGACAGAGACGAACGTGACGCGAATTAGAATAATATAACTCGCGAAGTAAGCATCGTCGAAGCAGGACTTAACCTAAACACGCGAGGATCACGAAACGATTTCGTGGTTTTCGTCGATCCTGCGACGATTAAATGACGATTAGACGCGTGTTGGCCGATCGACGGGGCCGCACGAACGCTGAAACATACCGAAGATGAATATTATAATAATGTGCTTCATATTACGAAACATAAATCGATGTTTAGGCTTAGCTAACATAGGCGTTTAAGGCTGCTCGTGTGTTAAGGACAAAGAGACAGAGAATTCTCCAAGGAGAACGAAACTATCGAATGCGAGGGAGTGATTGCTCGAAAAATGATCGTAACCGATCCCAGAAAGGCTGTTGTTAGAATCGTACAACATTTTCTATTTCACGCATAACGCAACATGATTCATGGACGTAGGCCAGATTCGCGATACGCGACCAGTCGGCGGTAATTGTCGATTCAATTAATCGTACAAATTAAATACTTTTCCTAACGCGTACAAACTATTATAAATATCTATACGCTATAACAAACAGTGTTTATTCAACTTCACTTTTCGGTTTCGCTCCCGTTTGTACTTGGTGGCGCTGCTTCGCTGCGGTGGGAACTCGAACTATCGTAGGAGGGTAGAAAAGCAAAAAAGAGGGCGCGTTTCGTCCTGGCCTGCTGGTGGACTCATCAGTGAGGCTTTCTAGCAGGCCTTGCCTTAGACGACTGAGATTACTGGGATATTGGGAAGTTGGTCGAGTCTTGTGAGAGCGCCTCTGGTGGCGAGCATGGGAGGCGGCGCCACATATTTATTCATATATTTTAAAAAGTTCAATAACGATACCAGAAAAGACACGTAAGGAGAAAATTTTGTAAAATTTTTTAAGAAATAGTTACACGTGTACTACAAAGCTATATTTATAAAGCAACTGTAATAAAAATTTTCGATCACCGTCGATTGGCCGCATACAGTAGGGGTAGATCCGTACGATCGTCCAAAGGATTTATCGTTCGAAATTTTTATCGACTTTTTCATCCTTTAACCCTTTCGAAAACGATTCGTTAATTTTCTCAAACGCATACTGCTTAATTTATTTCGTTCGTTCGTGCAACGCCCACGGAAAAGGAACAGATTTCTTTTATAAATCGAGGAGTCAGACTCGTCGACTATAATTGTTAGTCGTATCGAAAGGGTTAAGATTGACCCTTAATTTTTCACGCAAAGTGAGAAATCAATGTCACGTGCAGCTTGATTTCCGTATTTCGTTAATATGTACATAGATACGTCGCGATAACGCCATCAGTTTCGTTTCGAACGATTATTGATTAATAATTAACGATGACAAAGTGAAAAACTAAACCGTAAACGTAAGTCGATAACGTAAGCTTAAGTTAAGGAAACATAGAACGTGGATAGACGCATACTACGTAGCGTTAATTTCAAGCAAATTCTGGAACAAGTATCGTCGTTTTGTTTCTAGACCAACTTAATCCTCGATTCTTTAATATTAAAATTTTAATTAAATAACAAGAGTAACGAGAATAATTGAGGATTAAACGAGTCAGGTTTTCTTTCCTTTCTGGAAGATGCGAACAACAATTTCGAAGGAAACATATCTATCGAGCAACCGATACGTAGATAACTATTTTTTCATTGCCATTAGTGTAAACAGCCGAATGGAGTAACGGGGGAAAGAACGATTTAGCCATTCGTTTATCGTCGTACGGTTTCCTTCTACGGTGCAGACGTTTCCCTTCATTTCGAACGTGTCAGCTTCCTTCCTTTATACATATACAGCGAGAAGCAAAACTGAACACATATACGACGTTTTAACAAAAACAATTTTTTATTCAATATTTGTATGTAGAATACAAACAAAAAAACACTTAGTATTATCTACAATATTTTGGCTTTTCAAAACAAATTTAATATTTATGATATCATTATTATTTCGATTCGTAAAATCTTTGTTCGTGTAATCGGTTTTGCACCGCGACTAATTTTTAGTAAACATTTCAGATTTTGGTACACTCAATATTTCGTCCATATACCTTTAACTTTTGCGACACAGGATTTCAGATAATAAAATAAATCCATGTTGCATAGAAATTTGATTGCGTTTTAAATTAAACAAAATTGGTATATTTTTATTAATAAAAGTATCACATAATGTAAAAACATAAAATAGTAATAGTTTAATTACATTTGCCGCAATTAACCTTCCGCTAGCAACAATTGGTGAATCAGTACTAGCATGTTGAATGTTGCCAACACGAGTGAATACATTTGTAACACTTGTTGATGATATTACCAACTGCTTTACGTAAATAAGACGAGATATGAACCTATGCGCGCGCATGCAGCCATTGCAATATAAAAATGTCCCACCGTGCATTACGGTGCATCAAAAAGGTGGGACACTTTTAATCCCAGCATGCCCCAACAAGTTTACTTTGATAATTGCTTCAGTACGTTCAAACATACTTAATGCTACATTTTCGCAATACTTTGGTGCAATAGAATCGCATCAATATAATGTCATAAAGTCATTATCTAAAGATGTTAAGAATAATATCACTTTCCAATTAAAATTGAGTTTATCAGAAAAGAATCAGGCAGAACAAGAAAAGATTGACAAGACACGTTACTTCAGAAATTGCAACGACAGCATCAATGACTGCAAAGCTATTAGAAAGCGATGCTGGAAACGGAAACTAGTAGGGGGACAGCTCAAAGAGCAATGAATGAAGCTAATCTCACAGCAATTGAGAAAAAAATATATCTGCCCTATCACAAAAGAATGTTGAGGCCTGTCTGAATTTGTCAAAAAAACATTTAAGCTGGAATATGGAGCAATGAAAAAAAGTAATTATTTCCAACGAATCAAAAATCAATTGAATTTCATCGGATGGATGTTGTTGGTGTTGGAAAAGCAAGACGAATCTCTTTTACCTTGTCATGTGTAGCAAACAATGAAATTTGGTGTTAGTTCGCTTACGGTGTGGAGGTGTATTACTGTGTACGGTGTAGGTTCAGCACATCGAATGAAAGGTACGGCGAACCAGTATACGTATAAGGATATTTTAGAAAAAAATTTAGTAGAAACAATTGAAAATATGCTGGTACCAGAGTGTGATGATGTATTCTAACATGACAATGCTCCTAGGCATTGTGCGAATAGCATGGTTTGTGGCAAAATGTGCAAGAACAATGGTATTCTATTACACCAGAGTATTACGACAATGTAGTATTAAGTATGTCTAAACGTATTGAAGCAATTATCAAGGTTAAAGGTTTATGAACGAAATATTATGTGTACCCAAATTCGAAATGTTTACTAAAAATTAGTTGCGGTGCAAAACTGACTACACGAAAAAGAAATTGTACGAAACGAAATAATAATGGTATCACAAATGTTAAATTTGTTTTGAAGAGCCAGAAGATTGTAGATAATACTAAGTATTTTGTCGTTTTTGTATTCTGATATGCAAATATTGAATAAAAAATTATTTTTGTTAAAATGTCGTATGTGTGTTCAGTTTTGCTCCTTACTGTATCTTAGAACAAGTTAGCGAACACGAATAGTTTCGTCGGAGAATAGTACCATACCCCGATACCTATTTAGGCGAACGAACAATTATTTTCGAATGCGACGCAAGTTCCAATAGAGGTAAGAGGCGTGACTGGAAATATTTTTGGGGGGGAATCGTTCGTTTCATCGGTGACCTTCGAACCGGCAACGTTTCGTTTCTCATACTTTTATTATTCACGCATTAATCACCGCGACAGTTTCAATTTTCTCCGTTCGATATCCGCGTAGATACATACGTAGACACATACATAAATTAAAGCTGCAAACCAATGAAAATTTTACGAGACAATTGAAACTGTTCTTTGCAAGAAAAATGAAATAACAAACGATCCGAGGACTTGTAAATTTCGACTATTGTGAATAAATGAAACCGCGTCGACGCGACGGCAGGAACATTAACCGCGTTAAACAACGAGTTAATAAATTTTCCTTTCTATCGTTCAAAATTGTTAAACGATCCTCTTTACTTATTGTTTAACGTTCCGACGTTTCTCCCCTGAATATTGTTCCCCACGGTAGTACTAATATGGCGCGAATTCTGGATAAAGTGCAACAAGGAATCAAACGCTAAACGAATTAATCAAAATTCTAAACTTACTTTTTCCAAATTAATTAATAAAAAACTCTTTTCCTTTGCCAATAGCATTCATAATTTCTGATCATTCTTTCTGCGGTATAGTTACGATATTAACCCTTTGCATTCAATTTTTGTATTAATTAAAATAAATAGCAATATACATGCAGTGCTGTAGCGCGAGTTTTAAAACTAACCAAAAATGTATAAACGCCAATAATTTAAATTTCATTCGTGTATTTTGTAAATTTAATTTCTGTTGCCATAAATGATACTTGAATTAAGTTACGATATGCTACAAGTAATAATAATAATAGCATTTTGTTAATATTAAAAAGAAGAAAAAAATTTTTTAAATAAAAAAATCAAGTATAAATTTAGAAATAATGTATATTATTTGTTAAATGCAAATTAAATGTTATTTTTCAAGTAACATACATACACATATCATGTACATACGTATGTATACAATATGTATCGCCATAGCGACCCGATTAGAATGCAAAGGGGCTTAATATTATTTGTAATAACGATCAAGACGAAGCGGTTTCCTTGTTGCACGTGTCCAACTTAATATTAAGTCATTCAACGCACACACATAGCTGTAAGGGTTTTTATAATGGTGCTCTATGAGATCGTCTCTGCCGTCGAATACGATATCATCGCTCGTCTCTTTTAAACATGAGATCACTTCTTTTCGCCGCTTGTATAACGCTGGAAGAAGGAATCGAGGGACATATTGCGCGCAAATCTTCGACTTTACTCCATAGAACACCATAGGTACAGTCCGCGCCACGATATAGCGTGGTAGTAAACCGAACTATCGAAAGTCGGCACCGTCTGCTGCACTCAGGGCCGTGCATGACATCTTGCTTAAGGGTGCCGTTTCGTGCCCGTAATTGCACTACCTTTTTTTCATTTTCTACCTGCATATGCCACGTGTAGGTAAATTAAGATATCAAAGACTCGAATAAGACCTGTACCTGTAACGGTACCTCTAAAAATGGCAACACTGGATCAAACATTTCTTCGTACGGCCCTGACTATGGTCTAAGGTCCTCATCTGAAAACATGTTTACTTTGACGCCTACCCGATTTTACGAGCTCGCTATATCGTGGCCAGGACTGTACCTACACGTCGAGTAAGTACTTGTAAATATTAGAGTTGATGGAGGTTGGGAAATGGGAAGAAACAGGAACAGGTTCCATGGCGCGCAATTGACCACTGTTCATTGGTCGTCGGGAATGTTCGATGGCCGTAAAGACGATTATTGTTGTTATTGTATAGGTAGTCGTTCAACGACCAACCGGGACACGCCACGTGTGGAAATCGTTCGAACGAATTTCGGTTAGGGTTACTGGCTGGACGATGTTCAATCCGTGTCTGACAAAAAAAAAACTATTTATACCTTAATGCGAATTCAGTGAAATTTAATTTTGAAAATAATATCATAGAAATAGTGTTGATCGACAACGATTGATTAATTTCGTTGATTAATCAAACGTGTATGCATCGTCCTTCCACGAGAAGAAGGCACAGCGTGTTTACATCCCCACTCTTGCTGCTGTCCGCTGATTGGCTGTCGCCGATCTTCGTCACCGTTTTCGACCAATAGCGAGTCAGCTGACAGCAACAGGAGTGGGGATGTAAACACGCTGTGCCTTCTCGTGGCTAATTTCAGAAACTAATATTTGTCAGACACGAATTAACGAGGCGCGTCGCACAGGAATTTACAAGAAAAAAAAAAAAAAAAAAACGGCTTAAACGCAAGAAATTTTGTAACGGCACCCATACATGTTGTATTGCCGATTAGTACACGTAATCGAGAAAGTTCTATCGATAAGTTTAACACTAGTGGTATCACGATAATGTCTACGGAATAATGGTAAAACGTTCACGATGGCGTAACTCCTCATCGTTACATCCGATCTAAGTTTGCCCGACGTTCCACAATAATATCTACATTGAGACGGTTACTTTGATCAAATATCGCCCATTTTTCTGCTTTTAGTTAAATACTAGAAACAAGCAACAATGGAAACGATACCAAGTCAATGTCGTTCCCATTGAAGCTAAAAATTTCATTTCCCAATAACGAATGAAAATTTTTAATTCGCAAATAGCTCGCATTTACGTTTTATTCGTATATTAGACAATATTATTGGACCCTTTCAGACACCGTATTTGACTTGGAAATTTTTTTTTGAAAATGAAATATGTTCAATTATGATTGAAGAATAGTAAACACTCTCGAGAACCAACTGGGATAAAGCAAACTTTTCGAGCGAAAAGTATAGTCTGTTTTATCACTGCCAGAGGGTGTGATCAGAGAAATTATGCAAATCCCCCAATGCCTGTAGTTACATAATTCGCCATCGTTATTTATTAATCGAAATTTTAAATTCTTTGGGGGGAGAGGGGCGAAAAAAAATACCGACTACTCGAATAAGTTATTATATTAATTATGATGGAACGAAAATCTAATAAAAATGATCAAATACCGATGTTTCCTTTCGCCATCGTAAACGTGTTGAAGCTACTACTGGCTAATGGCTATTACACATTACAAATATTTTATCGGGAATATTATTACCTTGTCGCTTGGAAGTTGTGTTAATCTGTATATTTTGTAAGCAAAGATTATCGATAGAGATTAATAAAGATATTATTACGACAGAAATCATTACTCTTTTAATTATAATAAACTCGAGTACAGGTAACCCCCCTACAACACGATTCATAAATTGCGAGAACCCTCCTACAACACTGTACTTCCACAGCACTGGATAACATGATTTTTGCGTAACAAATTTAAAAATCAAATTACCTTAAACTAATGACGCGAAGGAATAATTAACTATAGTGATTTTACATGAAAATATACAGAGTGCTCGGCCACCCCCGGGAAAAATTTTAATGGTAGATTCTAAAAAGTTATTAAAAAATTAAATTAAAAAATATCGAATCATTCTGAAAAAATTATGTTTAGTTACAGGGGTCAATTACAAGCATTTTTGGTGAACAGACGTGCCATCGAAATCCTACTCACTTTCGAGAAAAAAATTCCTTAGCAAAAACATAATGTGTGCCCCGAAATGATGCCCCAACATTTCATGCGTATCTTTAAAGCGTCATAACTTCTGGACGGATTGGACGATTTTAATGTTTCAAAATGCAAACAACGCGTATTTTCGTGAAGAATATGTGAAAGGTTCAAAAATATTCGAAAACTTATTCCTTGACTCCGCAAAATAAGAAAAACTCCATAAAAATGGTCCAATTTTCCAACGGCCATAACTCCTACAATAGTGAATATATTACAATGAAACTTTTTTCTGAAGTAGAGCTCCTGGACACCTACAAAAAAGTATTACACAACTTTTCTGTAGAGCGTCAAACAAATTTGTTAAAAATCAAAAGGGGTAGGTGGCTAAATTTTTCGACGGAAAACAAAATGTCAAATCGTTCTGGAAAAATTATTTTCGGTTGCGGGGGTCAATTACAATAATTTTTGGTGAATAGACCTACCCCCAAAATTCTACCTACTTTCTAGAAAAAAATTCCGTACGGGTGGAACTATAAACGTCAATAACGTTTTAACGAAGCCTCCATCAACAGATTAGTATTCTTAATTTTGATCTTATTTTGACTTCTAAAATCTCCCATTAAAATTTTTCCCAGGGTTGTTTAACTTAATCTTAATTTAATTTATTAAATTAAGGTTGCTTTAAATTAAAATAATATTTTTTGTTTTGTGTTATACGTACATTTATATTTTTCATAAAAATTAAGTTGCTTACTAAAAAAAGAATAAAAAAAAAAATATTTGTTTTTAATAAGTTTTCGGAACGTAACTCCCCTTTTTATACTGGCTCTGGATCTCATATAACACGGTTTCACAGAACACGACATTTTCTAGGAACCTATCTACCGTGTTACAGGAGGGTTACCTATATAAACTTTAAAAAACGTTTTATCGCGAAGAAACATTTTGTCTGCTTGAAACTACAATGATCGTGAAACTCGATTAATGCATTCGACCAGAAAAAATGTTAACAAATAATTTATTATACAAAAATATATTATAAACAATTTTATACATTTAATTGGATATTAAGTTGGTAACAATTTCGGCGCTCAAGATGTATCAAGTATCATCTGAGATTCTGGGAAAATTGTTTGTTCAACGATACCTGAGCTTTCCTTTCGTTTACATTCGACGATCGAACAGGCGACCGAAAATCCAACGATACTCGTTTTGAACTATTATTCAACATAATCGGAGACAAGCTTGACGGTTCTCCGTAATACTGGAGCCTTTCGAGACGTTTCTTAATAGCAACGGACTTGATAGTTTCATTGGTCGTTAAACTCATTCCTGAAAGTTCTCGTAACGTATTACTGCTACTCTCGTTGGTCGAAATCTTATCGAAATTGCTATTTCTATTTGGCGTATAGTGATCAGACGTTCTAGTTATCGATTTCTTTTCCACTTCTTCCGAAATTTCCGCTGCACACGCGGCAACGTACGCACCATTGTCCTTAAAAACATTTACGGATTATTATACCACGAGTAAATAACAATTAAATCAGCATTTAGATACAGAAGAATGGTAATATTTTCTAAATTATTAACTTTCTGTACGCGTACCATAATCGAACGCTTTAGATCTTCGAACGGCTGTTGGAAATGACTTTGGCGAGGATTCCGCGTAAAGGTGGTTCGTTCTGTGCAATACGCTATCGGTATGCTCCACGACGTAGCACGCCGCCATTCTAAATTGCTACAAGCGATGAAAGAGCCAACCGTCAGAATTTCTGCATATCCGTGAGAGGCTATTCCGTGCCAAAACAGTACTGACAGATACCAAGACCGGGAATTCATCGACGGATATGCGAAATGTACGGCTTCGAAGTTTTTCATACCCTGTAAAATATTATAGAAGCATGGAATATTTGATTTCACCATAATTACGCAGATGCTTAAAAGGTTAACGTACGTATGGCTCGCTTCCAACGGAAACAACGATTCCTACTGTGTCAAATTCTCCATAGGCTGGAGCGAAACTTGCTTCCTTTACCTCGCTTAACGCAGTGTAAGCTCTCCGTGGATAAACAATATTCGAAACATTTATCTGATTGAACAATGTACTTCGATTCGTAGTCAGCTGCACTTCGCCGCATCTGTTAACGTTCGACAGAATATGATTTAAAATTCTTTCTTTTTTCTAAACTATCCCGTCACTTTTCTATCAAGATACATACCGAGGTAATCTTTAACAAAATAAATACCTTTTCGCCAGGGGCATAACATTGGAAATCGATACGTAATTTCCCTCTTTCAATATGTCCGTTGTTTCTTCGTTAGAGGACCAAACAGAGAGTATTGCGCTCCTCTCTTCTTCGATTATTCGAATTTTTAGAACAGGCGTGACTTGTCGCGGCGCCGGCAAACTTTCCTGCAATCGAGACTCCAACGTTTTTCTAAACTTTTCCTCTTTCAGACGACGTTCGTTCATTAACCGTTCCTGCTCTTGCTTTGTCACGAATTCCTGCAACGAATGCGACGTGCCTTGTGATTTGTAAAAAAAAAAAAAAGAAAACACCTAAATCACACGCGACTCATTTTTCCACGAAAAGAAGGCACAGCGCACTGTGCGCTGCGCACAGCGTGTTTACATCCCCACTTCTGTTGCAGTCTGCTGACTCACAGGTATTGGTCGAAAACGGTGACGAAGATCGGTGACAGCCAATCAGCGGACAGCAGCAACAGTGGAGATGTAAACACGCTGTGCCTTCTTCTCGTGGAAGGACGATACATACCTCTCTGGACAATTTTTCAAAATCTTCGTCCCACTCGATCGATGCTAAATCAATACCTTCCGGATTTTCATTACTTTTTCTTCCCCCGGTAGAATAATATTTCTCCGCTTTCGCGTAAAATGATTCTATCATCGATCGACATTCTTTTTCGTATGCAATGTTGGCTTTCTCTTCGCACCTCGTATTACGGAATACTAAAATTAATCGATATAAACAATTAACAACTATAATGTTCTTGAAAGAAATATACAGTTTCGGATTAAGTGGTAAAGGAAATAAGTATAAATTAAATGTAACCAAAGTAGTATAACATTATACTATAAAGTAGTATAATATTATGCACTTATTCGCTAAATAATCTATGTACCATAAAGATATATAATATATCAAATTTAAGTGCGTAACATAGTGACGGGCAAAACTGAACATACAAATGACATTTTAACAAAAATAATTTTCGGCGATAATAATTTCGGAAATAATAATGGCGGTGCAAAATCGACTATACGTAAAAAAAATTGTATGAAGCGAAATAATAATGTTAAATTTGTTTTGAAAATCCAAAAGATTGTAGATAATACTAACTACTTTATTTCTTTTGTATTCTACATGCAAATATTGAATAAAAAATTATTTTTGTTAAAACGTCGTATATGCGTACAGTTTTGCTCCTTACTGTAGTTATACTATTTCGATTAAATTTAATTCATACCTATTTTCCTTACCCGTCCACTTAATTTTGTCCGTAACTGTATATATGTATATACACATATTATCTCACTAGATTCCCCGACACCAGTTTTTTCGTAGTACAAAATTGGATACACTCTTGCAATTAAAACTTTAATTTTCCCAATTAAACCACCATTTGGGCAAATGCTTCTTAATTTAACACACATCGGCCCCGAGGGAACTGTGTAACCCAATCTTGCGTCCCATCTAGCTCTTCTCGTCGAATTTGTATGTATTTTTAAAGAAACATTCTCCGGTACCTACCAATCAATTTCCACATTAACTTTCATCGATAGACTAAGTAACATCCGAGAAATTATATTTACTTCAAGGGGCGAATATCCTTGATCGCAATCTAATAATTCAGATCCATACGTAACGAGTTTCATCCCTTCTTTCACTTTGCCAGACGTTATATTTTGAATCATTGCCTGATCGATGAACGCCTGAACACTGTACCAACCATCCGTTAATATTAATTTCTTCGACGCCGATTTCAACGGATTTAAATTTACAGCAGAGTCATTACACTATAAAGAAATACTATATACATATAATAATATCGACTAATTTATAATAGATTTATATCCGCGTCGAAAAAAAAATTACCTCCGTGATAGACGACACGCATAAAATCATTCTCTTGGACGGGACATCGTCCTTTTCCAAAATTTTTCTTAAAGCAGATCTTTCAGATCTGTCGATTTCTCGATCGTAACGATATTTTAATTCCATCATTACTCTATCGGGAGTCAACGCTCTACAAAGCAATCGTATTTATATCGAATCGTGATTGAACCATTCGTTTGCCAAATCGATTAACTCCAGAAAAAGAAAAGAATAGAAATTTAATAAATAATATACATTCTTTCTTAGGTTTCCTTTTAAAAATTTAAATTTCTTTTTCTCGCTTTATAACACTTGGCATAATTATTAAGAAAATCTATGTATTCATCAAGTGTTTCGACACTAAAATTTTTAAAAACTCGAAACTGTTAGAAATAAAGCGCCATCTAGAGCTCTTCTGACTTACTACTATTGTACCGTGTATCTTTTGCATGTAACGAAGCCTCGTGCTCATTAAAAGTGTGTCGCTGAGAGGAAGTCGAGTTTTGCTCGTTTGAACCCCCAAATTTCCACAGATTATGAGGTTCAAATGAGCAAAACTCGACTTCCTCTCAGCGACACACTTTCAATGAGCACGAGGCTTCGTTACAGACAAAAGTAAGTAGTAAGTCAGAAGAACTCTAGATGGCGCTTTATTTCTAACAGAAACCTGGCACTAATCACTTTGGCGTGTAAACGATTCGATCAGGTTGAAAATATTAAAGCAATTAAAATTTCTACCTTGGCAATATCACGGAACCTAACATTATTCTGTCCATCGACGCTAATTTCCATACGATCCACCTATAATGATTTTTCACCCACCCAGTGGGAACCAAATTGGGATCTACGCCTGGACTCGCTAAAAAAGCTCTCATAATTTCTGTTATCCCTGCACAGCCATTTTCATCCAGAATCATATACGCTCCGTCCTCCAATCGTATACCTCCGATATTATTTTGTACCACATCCTGCCTAAATATATATTACTTTAACTTATCATTCGTCTAAAACGAAATTAATTATTGAGCGAAACTTTTCTTACTCATAAATATCTTTACATTGAAATTTGTATGATTCCGCATTATCGGCCGTAATATCCAAAATTTCAGGCGGCAATTTTCGCTCGACAAGCTAATAACAATTAAATCAATTAACGTATTACTAGTCGATTCATTTGCAATTAAATGTTATGTCTTGTTTACCTCTTCGTACGTGCATGGAACAGGTGCATTTCCTTTACTAATTTCTCTCCAAGATGTACGATTATTGTTGGTCTTTCGACGAGAATACAACACACTAATCGTTGGCTTAGGCTTATTTTTCTCTTTCAAATTAATCTGCGTTTCCTACAAGTACCATAACAAAACAAATTATAACACACGGTACAAACATAACGTCCGTTTTGTCACTTTTTCAAGTTTCACTACATGTTACGACTTACCTGCTTCGAAGCAGCTTCTAAACGTTTTTCTACTATATTCGCAGATTCGTCGATAAAGTCTATCATTAATTGCGTATCGCCAAAGTTACTAACGACAGAAGTATCACATTGTTCTTCCTCAGCAATCGACTTTTGTTTCTCTAATAATAAATTACCGTCTTCTTCTGGATTCTGCATGTAAATAGATTTCTGCATTTTATTCTTCAAAGCATTTAAACTTTTCCTTTGTCCGCCTACGCTCTTCCGCTTTCTGGGAATAAACTGTCCCCCTAATACAGGACTGGATGATTCGTTCGCAGTATCTTTGTTTTCTACGTTTTCAACCGGTGAGATCCATCGTTCGAAGGAATCTGAACTCTTTTCATCCGCCAACAGCGCGGCTGCACTCTCTACAATTTCATGGGAAATCAAGCGATTATCTTCCATTTCCTTGTGCTCTTTATTTGCTTCTGTTTTGTAAATATCATTAATAAATTTATCGACATTGTTGTTCGAAGGTAAAATCTCGACTACCCGATTTTCACTTTTATCATCATTCGTTACATTTTTCTTAACCTCAAATTCGCTGCTGAACCGTAACTTTTTAAACTGATTGGACGTCACTTGCTTATTTGCGATCGCATCGTCATTTAAATCTACAATTTTGCGTTTCTGCAGCAATTTCTTTGACGAGGCACTGCTCTCAAAATCTTCCAAACTTTCTTCGTTGAATAATGCTTTCGCTTTCGATAGAGCTTCCTCTGGAATGTTCATACATTGACCACTCGCAGTTTGAAACCCAACAGGTTTAACCGGCGTCTCGTAATTATTAGATTGCTTATCGACCAAGCATGTTTCTTCGAATGTGTTCGTGTCTTCCAAATCATTTGCAAATAGCTGCATTGCTTTCGTTACAGCCGTTTTGGAAACATTAATCGAACTGCCTCCTGCAGTACTGAAACCTATCGAAGACATATCTTTCATATCGTCTATGGTTTCTTTATGAAATAACATTCCTACACTTGGTGCTGCTCGTTTCATTGGCTCAGAACGTTGATCACCCACAGTTTGAAATCCATTATACGTTTCGTGATCTTCAAATTGTTGTACGGCTTTTGATAAATCTTCATCAGAGATGCAGAGTGAATTATAGCTGGCAGAAACAACATTACTCGTGTTATCTGAAGTTTCCGCAGGACACAATGCTTGCCTTTTTAGTAACGCTCCATTTCTTGCGTCAACAAGTTGCGCGTTTGTTTCAAGTCCAACATTCGGTATTTTCACACGAGACTCATTCGTTCGTGTTTGAATCTTGGATGGTTTTTGATGATTGTTGTCAGTAACTTCTGAATCGTCTTTAAAAAATTGCTGTGCTTTCGACAAAGCTTTATCGGATACTTTGATAGAACTACCGCCAGCAGTGGTAAAACCGAACGAAAAGGCGGCATTTTTATTACGAACATTCATGTTTATCGAATCTATTTTGTGACCCATGCGAGTATGTTCAACGAGAATGTTTGCCTTCGAATAATATCAGTTATGAAAATCATTTATTTTATTGTATTGACTCGTGTTTTATAAACATTTTACGCGTTTGTTGTACTCTAATGCGTTTAAATCGAAGGCTTCGATGTGTACCTACTTACCACTTACGACTTTTAGGTTCGTTTCGAAGAGTCACTAATAACAATGGCAACGGTACATCGATGTTTCGAATCGATATTATTAAATATAGATTACATACCTTTGATATTTTTTTTTTATTATTAATTACTACATTTGAATCTAATTCTCCTACAGTTACTTGTAAAAATTACTTTAAATGTTGTAAATTGTAAACTGCGGTTTACACCAGTGACGATAGACAGAGCCCTCAGTGCCAGTGATGGACATACGTGGGAATTTTGGTCATGCGCACTGGAGCGCATGATCATTGCCGTATACACTTAACTAGAATTTAGGGTACCCTTGGATCCCAGTAAGGAACAAAATTTAAGGAAATTACAGGGAAAGAGACAAAAACAAAAAATTTCCTCTTATATAGCTAGAGAAATACATAGGGGATCTTCGATAAGTTAATTTTTGTGTGATTGGCGAGCATTTGAAGTAGAAAATTCAATTTTGTACAAAACATGGGAACTTCCAACATGCACCTCTTTTTTGCGCTAAAGATACATCTATGGTAGCGGACGACATGTAGCTGTGACGTCAGCTTACGCATGCGCAGAAAAAAATCCCACGTGGGAAAATTCCAGTGCGCATGATCAAAATGCCCACGTGTCCATCACTGGTTTACACCAGTGACGCTAGACAGAGACCTCAGTGCACCGGGAACTCCTCACTCCACTATAGATGGCGTGCAAAATCACTAACAGTAATTTATCACTGTGATCACAAAATCACGATCACGCTCGTGATTAAACTCCATTCACGACCGTGATCCGAAAGATGGCGTTTTAGTAGCGGTTCACGTTAACTGTGATCGTTAGTGTTCCGCTAATTCCCTTCAGAGGAAATTCAAAGAAATGCGCCAAATTTAAATTGTATAGTAATGTAGTCTAACAATAAGCAATGAAAAAGGCTGGGTTAGATCTGGGTTATTGTTTAATGATAACAAAATAGATAATTTTGATGGTTTTAAATTAGTCTAGCTTTTGAAAATATCTTTTCGCCAATTCATCTAATGTTTTCTACTTTGCATATTAAAATATATGGTACGTTTTTACTTATAATAACTGCTTTAGCTATAATTGGCTCTTCTAATAATATGTATATTGCGATGCGGGAACAAAGCGCGGAACCGACTTATGTGGACAACGGACGGGAGTGTAATCGCCCTTTAAGCGTAAAAGCTTTACGCACTCGTTACAACCAGCGCGATCGAAGCGCCAATGCGACGCTAGCGCCACCACGAACAACCCTAGGAGGAAATCCCCAAATATTGAATAATACATTTGTCACGTGTGGAGCAATGTAAATTGTAAAAGTGCCAGTTGTTGGTTTAGCGCGTGAAAGCGCGAAAATAAATAAAGATGTGAGGAATATTTATGTTGTAAAGTGTATTTTAGAGCGTTATAACTATGGCGTCGTATCCGTCAATTAATTTGGTAGATTTAACCATTGACGAGGTTGCATTAGAAGGTTTGGATGGTATTACTTTAGAAGGTTAGTTTACACATTAATTTACGAACCAATAAATGTTTTATTAAATAGTATCGTGGTTTTTTAAGATATTTGTGTCAAGTATTTATTATAAATATTTATATTCTCAATGTATTGTAACTGTAACAGATAATTTAATTTCTTATATAGCGAATTTACATTACAGGAATGAACATTATTAAATATTTTATTTCGTATTGCATATGTAAATTTGACATCTAGCATTGCCCATAATTTCATCATTCTTCAAATTCGTTACATAATATTTTGTGTCGAGTATGCAAAGTTCATATTTCTAACGTTTAATTTCTTTCGTAGCATTATGGTCACGTTTATCGCAACGACTTCACAATCCTTTGCCGTTTTCAAAACCATTTATGGTTCAAATATGGTCGATATGTGTGCAGATCAGAGAATTTGGATTTTTTAAACTACAAACTGCAAGAGAGCCGCTTGCAATTTACGATCGTTACGAATTTGTGGATCCGGATTTAGGTATAATATTAGAACCAGTAAGTATTCCAGAAGAAATTTGGCGACAGTAGAACTCCATTTGTATGAACCTAATCGACGACATAGAATTCATATAACTGAGCACGTTCATGGAATAAGAATCGATGAACTATCCCCGTTATTTTTAATTTGTTCTAGTTTTGTTTTGGGGACCAGGAATTCTGCTATGAGACTCGTCTGAAAAGTTTTGAGCCTAACGTAGAAACAAGTATTTTTCCAGTTAAATATAGCTTCATTTCTCAACACAGTCTCCTCTTAACCTCTTCAGGGACGAACTTTTTTTTCTGGTCTGTTTATTATTCAATGGAAATCTCTGTCCAAGCGATATTTTAAGCTTAGGAAAGAGGAAAATATCGCTGGGGGCCAGATCTGGTGAATATGGTGGGTGATCAACCGATTCGAAACGCAATTCGTGAATTTTGGTCACCGCCAAAGTGTGAGCTGGTCTATCTTCACAAAAATACTGACATCGACCGACGCAAACGGCCGCCAAACAACAACTGAGCGTCCAAAATGGTTTTGACGAACAACGCCACCTTCATGTCGAGGCTCGAAACTTTTCAGAGTGGATATTATGAAACAAAAAAAAAAAAATAAGAGTCCGGCAAAAAATCACTAAATTGGCCATTAACAAAAATTTTGTTCCGATAGAGTTCGAATGAATAGAGTTCTACTGTTCATTATTAAATTACACGCAATATAAGATTACTATTTTTATAGGATAACATACCACCAGACATTTATCCACATTGTCCTATACAAGACATTACCAAAGGCATTATAGGGTCTTGCTCTACATATTACACTCGCAAAGAGATCACAGAAATTGCAAGGAATCTTAGTTTAGACGAAATTACAGAAAAATATGGAAATAAATTAGTTATCGTTGCATCGCAATCAGCGAGAAACTACTCATTGATGGGAGTTGAAGTATCACCGACGCTTGAATTAAACGTAATACAATATTGTTTTCTAGAGAGAGTGGGTAGATCACGCTATCACGGAGAAATTACTCAGGGAAAGCTAAGTCTCAATGCATTAAAAGAGGATCCTAAGAGTTTGTTCTATCATAGAAAATTACTATTACGGCATAAATTAATAACAAAGCAAATACATCATCAGAAAAGCGGCAGTCATAGTTGCAACGGAAGCCTTTTGCATCTTCCGAGGTTCTTCATTGAGAGGAAACCGAAAGCAATTTTCTTAGCCGAAGAAGTTATCAAAATTCTTAAATCGAAACCTAATTGTGTTGCAGAATATGATGAAATAAAACGCAAGTTACAAATTGAAAATGCAATAAGGAAATTATTTAAAACGTCGTTCTTTCAAAAAGTCGTAAAAACGGATATAGTAAGTAATAAATGTATACTTTTCGAATTGGTTTGGTAGCTTCGTTGTTACGGGTGTTGTTTAGATTGTTTGAGAGAAATGTCTCTGTTTTTAAATAGAGGGTACCGTATAGAACTTTGTATCCAAATGCTAAACCTACAGAATGGCAACAAAAGAATGATCCGACAAAGGAAAAGAAGATTAAAGTAGTGCAATTGCTACATCCCAATATTGATATTATTGAAGCATGGACTAAAGATGACGCACAAGAGGAGGAAGAATTGCATGGTGAGTTTATTAATTTTTTTGTTGTTAGGTATGTCTAAAAAAATTTTAATGAGGGATTCTAGAGGCCAAAATAAGACGAAAATCAAGAATAGCAATTTGTTGATTGAGGCTTCGTTAAAAAGTTATGAACGTTTAAAGTTAAAGTGTGCAGCGCGCACGGTTCCCGTCTCACAGGCGCAACTTTAAACGTTAATAACTTTTTAATGAAGCCTCAATCAAAAAATTATTATTCTTGATTTTCGTCTTATTTTGGCTCCTAGAATCTCCCATTAAAATTTTTCCCAGGGGTGGTCGAAAATCCTGTATAATTCTTAAAATGGTTCAGTAATATCAGTCCTTGTTATTGTTCCTATTATCTTTTGCATAATTATATCTTTTTAGTCTAATTCGTTTAATACATTATGTTTTGTAGAATTAAATATTTCAAGCCATAAATACGGTATACCCTATTTAAGACAAGCAAATATAGTAATCGAAGCTAGTGGAAGCGAGGGTGTATGCCAGGGAAGTTTGGCTAAAGTGATGGGATTGACCAAGTTACAGTCGCGGACGATTTTGCGAAACATAGTCAAAAGAGACATTGTTGCTACTTATATGAATGATATAGGTAGACAAAGGCTTACGAAATATGTATCAAAAAGGCTCGAGGAAGACAGTAAGTTGAGCAAACAGTTTCAGGAAGAAATGCATAAAATCAAAGAACTTACGAAACAAATTGTAACTGAAAATGATGGTCTGCAAAAAAGTGTGAACGTAAAACAAAAGGAAGATATTGTTATTAATGATCAGGAAAAGAATGTACAAGTAACTAAATCCAATGTAACTAGCGAAGGCAATGAAAACAATTGCGTAAGAATAGAAGGGGCATCAATTTCATCTACGATAGACATAGAAGCAACATTTCATGCTGTTAATCGAATATTATACAAGTATCATTTAACAAAATGCAGACATAAATATAAACGAACGTTCTCGAATTTTCAATCGATTAGAATTAATAAAGCACAAGCGAAAGAAGAAACTACAAATTCTAATAATATGTTATACAAAATTTCTGAGCTATCGAGAAACGAAAGGGCAGCAGCTGCGTATAAGAACATAAAAGTTAACTTGACAGTTTTAACACCAACGGATGAAGTCAAACCGGAGAACGAAGTATTTGGATTCATGGAAAATGTACAGAACAGTGAAAAGAAGAACATGTCAAATATTACGTACAGATTATTGCGAAGAGCTAATATGATTATAGAGTCGGTTAAAGAACATCAAGTTATCGATGATATGACAAAGCTGATGAAGGTAGGATAATAAGGAATTAAATACAATTTCTATTTCATAATGAAAGTAATTTTTTGTAGATGATATGCGAAGAAGAAGATAAAGAAGGATACGATGTGAAAATTGATAAGAAGTCCTTAATAAGACTGTTACAAAAGCTTGCGAAAGACAACTTAGTAAAAAGTATAAAAATAACACTCAGCGGAAATGGAAAAGAGAAACATTTGACATTTATATGTAATCCAAATTTGGATATTGACAGCGCTATTATTCAATCAGCCGTGGAGCAAGCGAAATTAAAGTTTTATGTACTATCGTCTCAGAGAACCAAATCATTTACAAGAAAATGTTCAGAAAAGCCAACGTCAACTAGAAATAATAATGCTGATGAAGCAGCAAACAAGTCTTCGTTTAAACAATTTAAAACTGCAACGTCTTGTAAATGTGGCCCCGTATGTATTTATTTAGTCTTCGATCAAATTCTAATTATAAAACAATTGTTGAGTAGTTAATGATACGAATCTCTTTCCTTTATTTCAGAGAGGATCGAAAAAGTATGGATATAGTCCAAAATTTATACGCATGCAAGCGTTACATATACTTTTGTTTTACTTAATTTATGATCATCCTGGCGAACAAACCCTTTCGAAGGAGGAACAATTACAAGCATTCCGAAATAATGATTTTCCAATCACAGACGAACTGGCGAGTGAATTCAGTACAATTTACACTAAAGATATTAGTTGGAAAACGTTCATTCCACCTTTACCAAAGTATACTGGTAATTATAAACACTGTATTACTCTTTTCAATATTTTACCCAATTTTCGTAAATCTAAATTATTGCTTTTCAGGTTGGCCTGAAGGATGGGCGTTAATGTGCGATATTCTATTGCGTCTGCCGTTGTCAATATTTTTAAAAATTCATTTTCTTTCTTTCGTTATACCCGAATTAGAGGAATACGCGAACCATCCGATCAGGAAGCATTACTTGGTCAGAGATTTACCGAACGATACCCGGAATGCTTTGCTATATGCACGGAAGTACATATTTAACGTTCACGAAACTGTGACGAGGTTGTGTTACATCGGACTGGTACAATTTGGTCCTCAAAGATTGAAAGAGAAGGACCAAGTGTTCATTTACTTGAATCGACGTACAGAATTGATGGACACGACTTCGTCCGCGCCGAGTTATCACATAATCGAGGACAAATCCTATCCAGTGACCAAATATAATTTCAATGGAATACAAGTGGTCGAGAAATACTGGTACGACATGTGGAACATATGTATGAACACATCGTTAGGTGGTAGGCTCGTTGTCCAAGGGAAAGACATAGTATTGGAGGATTTAAATAAAAAAAGTAACATGATCGAAGCAGTGGTAGCCCGATCACCGGACGAGGCTGTAAAATTGGATACTGGTAAAGTGCCTGGCGATCACAAAGGCGCTGCTGGAACGGACTCGGCCTGTTTCGCTCATCTCAAGCGTAACTGGAACTGGGGCATTGGCGGCAACACGAAGCAAACAAAGTGCAAACAGAATGTGCAGTACGAGAGGGATATGTACCTTTCCAAGATAAAAGCGAAACCTATAAAGTTCACCGAGTTCTCTGGCTTGAAGAGAGTGTTTGGTCCCCCTTCTGTGACTGCAGCAGATCTGAAAAAGAAAGTACAGTTTAAGACCGAGGAGGGATCGAGCCAACAGAAAAAATACGAGGCATTACCGTGTTATCGAAACTTGAAACAGAAATCCTTTGTGAGGAGAGTGTTGCCGCGTAAATCTAGCAACAAAAAGCGAACGAAGTACGATGAAATTGATTACCGAGCGTTGCAACGGATGCATAAATTGCGGGTGGATTGGGACCCGCAGGAGGATAAGATTTTGCTCGTTTGTAAGGTCGCTATGGTGTACCTCTGTTCAAATTCACGTAAACAAGTGATAACGTTTTCTATGGTGAGAGACGTATTGAGAACGTATTCGATCATTTCGTACAACAAGACGTCGAGAGCTTGCCAACGACGACTCTTGTACATGCTCAGAAAGCAACAGACTCTTAATACAATTGCGTTGGGCGTCGAGGAGATCAAGCAGAATTTTTTTATTCGAAAACGCTTTGATGGCATTATAGACAAGATCAAAGATGAGCATAAAAGTTATTATGAATTTGAGAAGGAAGTCGCGGAGACGTTCAAATCACTTGTTGCTTATATCGCGACGAAATATTTTGCTATTTCGGACGTTGAAGCGAACGAACCACTCCCAGTGCCAACGTCGATGCAAGAATTAAATATATTTTACAAAGTGGTGCATCCTACGAAACAGTTTGGTAATCGTGGATTCGTCAAAGACGTTCAGAACGTTAACGACATACATTCTGCAGTCATCAACTCTGTCATTCATAGTTCCATGTGTTGCGGTAAAGACAGAAGATCATGGGCGTACCAACTGTTCAAAGTGTATCAACAGTATCCGGAGATGCTTCTGCGAAACGCTATGGCAAAGATTCGAAGCGATCAAATGGTTACAGTTAAGAAGACCCAATTGCCTACAATAAGGAAGTATGGAACCTACATGCCGATGAGCAGCTCTCAGTATCAATTGAGCAGTAATTACGTATATAAATTTCACACAAAATGGCCGTACGATGTGTTCAAAGAATCGTACGACGTATTCTTTAAGCTCAGTAATTGGTATTGCCAAAATCAAAGTAACACGCGAAATAATTCCAACGGCATAGAAGTGCTGCCGGTCACTGGCGGCTTGATAGCGACAATACACGATTCTGTAATACGAAATCAAATGGATTTTGATATCGAGATACCTCATCAAGTAATAATGCTTGATCTGAGATTGAAAGAGAAGGACGAAACTCATTTTAGAATCGCGAAAAGGTACCAGGATGTTTTAGCCAGCTTGGACAATTTGAAATTTGTGAAAGAGTCGTCCTTTCAAAATGGCGGTGCAATTTCTGACTTTTTACAGAACAATGAACGCGAGAAACTTTCAAAGAATAACGACGACAATGCATGCAACGATGGAAAGTCGGATAAAGACGGTTTCTCAGATGTGGAAGCTGATAGAAGAAATTTCGAGGATGCGAAAAATTCTGTCGACTATAACGATTTGACTTTCGATAGCGATGAAGATAATGCTCGCAATGATGATGAACATAATATAATCAGGTTCCAAGATGGAACTAAAATCGTATTAAATAAAGATGACCTCGAACGTTCTACATTTTGTGACGACGATACGATAATGGAAACGGAAGAAATTAAAACATTCGAAAGGGATTGTAATAGCACTGAACTTCACAGTCGAACACAAGTACAAAAAGCTGTTTCGAATAATCTTCAAGATAACAGTACGTTGAATATAGAAAATTCAGGTCCATTTCAATCGTGCTTGATATCAAATACGAATGTACAGAAGCAATTAATTACATCTAAAAATAAAAGGGCGAGAGATACGGATAATGAAACATTTGACGAACCTGTAACAAAAAAAGGAAAATTAAATGATGAAATTTCAGATGCGAAGAAGCATGATGCCATGTCGACTGAAATATTAAGTCAAATGCAAGATGATGGTTTAAAAAAACAATCTATTAAAGAAGGTACAATACAAAGCATCGATGGTACAAAGGCTAACGAAGAAACCATTTCAACCATCTCGGAAAGCAAAAGTACTTTGCTGTCGAAGAAAAATAATAAACAGGCATTTACACGTGTCAGTGATATTCTGAAAAATAAACAATCTGAACACAATTATTTGTATCAGTACTGCAAAAGTGATGATCCATCCGATGAAAAGAAAAGGTATACTCGTATAGCTTTGCTGAGAATGAGAGAGGAATTGAGCGAACTCACAGCGGCTGACAGCCATCATGCGCATGACTACTTTGCTGTAAACATGTTTAAAATATTCTATTCTCTGTACACGTTGAATTCAGAAAGTCCCAACGGAAATGAAATTTTCAGAGGTCTTTCGATGCCTCCAGAATTATTGCCTCTAAGATTGAACGCTGCGTATAATCTGATTCAGGAAATAAACAGATTTGTTGTGTTTCCTAAAGACACCGTCTCTTATTCTGATTTTAAGAAAAGTTTGCCCAGCAATTTGTCAGTAAGTTTGAATAACATGGATGCGATTTATAAGTTTGTACGTGATAAAAAGGAACTTGGAGCCAGCGTTCAGGAATTGACGAATGAATTTGAAAGTACTATGGGAGAAGATTTACCTCGCATTATGTCACTTCTAACTGAATACCGGTTATTCTTGCGATCTGGTGTAACGACTGTTCGTTATATTCACCATCGTCATGCAGATTCTTGGCTCATACGTTCATATAAAATTTATCGTCTTGAGAGGGAATCGCTTATGCCTATGTCCAAGGAAACAATGTTTGTAACAGAACCCGAGGTAATAATAACCGAAGGCAACGACTTAAATCTGATCGAGGAAACCAACGAGAATCCTAGCTTTACAACAAAAAACGAATCGTTAATGGTTACCAATGAGCAATCCATTGAATCTGATATTCAGTTCGAAGCAAAAACCAACAAAAATGGAGATTGCGATAAGGATTCATCTAGTCATAGCGATGAAGACTGTAATATGCAAACAAAGAAACGAATGCAAAGAAAGAGGACTCTTTTACTACCTCAAAGGGATATATCCAGAGCTGCAAAGCAATTAGACTTTACGTGAGTTTCTTTTTGTACAAAATTTTCATTCGAATGTTAATAAGAGTAACGAAGTTAGAAAGTTAGAAATATAAATAAATTTCATTCATGTTCATTATGTTTCGAACTTTGTTACAGCACGAAAAAAGAAATAAGGGTCGTGATAAAACCGTGGATACGGATAGATGGTGCTTTAAATCGTAGAGTCCTTGATCGCATGTTAGGAGCAGTATTATTGTATTGCTTGACACACCCGGGTATAGCATTAACTAAAGTACAAAATAGATTTGTTCCTGCTCTTCAACCGTGTCATACAAGGGAATTGGTTGAGGTAATTCGTTATTATATCTAGGTCTATTCTACATAATTTTATCACATCTATCTACAGGATATGTATTGTCCTTCCACACGAAGAAGGCACTGCGTGTTGCGTGTTTACAATCCCCACTCCTGTTGCAGTCTGCTGACTCACAGGTATTGGTCGAGAACGGTGACGAAGTCAGCCAATCAGCGGACTGCAGCAAGAGTGGGGATGTAAACAAGCTGTGCTTTCTTCTCGTGGAAGGGGACATTCATTCATACATAGTTGTATGTATATCATGGCCCTGTCTGGCGATGTAACGCAATTGTACTATACTGATTATTCTTCTGACAAAATTGTGTCATTTTCTTTTATTCTATAGTGAAATATTTAGAATTCTTATATAATTTACTAATATTTTTTGCAACAGATGCTGGAAAAATTAAAATGCCTGGAAAAAATAATATTAAAAAAATCCCACGTAAATTTATTCTCAAAGCCATCACCAGTTGAGCCAAGTAAGCGAGACACAATTATTTTATTAAAGACAATTCTTCATTTTGTGCTTCCTACGGTAATAAAAATAATCATAAATTCTATATTTTTTTTAGAGATTACAAATAATGATTGGGTCGTTGAAGAAGATATTTTCCTTGAACCTGTAAATGGAGCAATGTTAAAATTCAGCGTGTTTCTGAGCACTAAGATGTATAAATCAGACTATATTACATAATTACAAGGCAATTAAATTCTGTAAGAATAGACCAAATTTGTATATTTAAATTTTATATACTATTATCGTCAACAAATAATTTCGTGTATTAATTTTTTTTAAATAAAGTAATATTCTGTTGTTTCGAATTCTTATTATCTTTTAAGATATTTCCAGAAACTTATAATTAAACTTTCTATATATGCCAATTATTAAATACACTTTTAATAGAAAGATCATATGTAAATACACGTAATACATAGTTAATGTTTGAGGTAAAATAGTTCGTTGAGAATATTATGTTATATGATTTATCTAAATAAATGCCCACGGAATTAAGTTCATATTTAAAGGAAAGCACACGTTTAATTGCGCTTATATTGTTGGTATAAATTTCATAACAGTTTTTGTAAAAAATAGAAAACTTTTATTTAAAAAAAGTTTAACAAATAACAAGTTTTCTGCACTAGAATGATACAAACATACCATAAAAGACACCAAAATATTTATACAATGTTAACAATTTTTGTAAATTCTCGTAATCGATGCATGATTGAAACACCTGATATCTAGTCGTAATTATCTTAAATCAAGGTACCCCGTGCTTACACGAGAAGAAGGCACAGCGTGTTTACATCCCCACTCCTGCTGCTGTCGGCTGACTCGCTATTGGTCGAAAACGGTGACGAAGATCGGTGACAGCCAATCAGCGGGCTGCAGCAAGAGTGGGGATGTAAACACGCTGTGCCTTCTTCTCGTGGAAGGACGATATATTAGACTGAATTGCATCTTCATTAAGGAAACAATAAATCGATTTAAATTGGAGTATAGTATAATTGCCACATAAAATATAACATAATGTAAATAAGATATTAAATAGATGAATACTGTTGAAGTATCTCTTACGAAATATGATACTATGTATTACGGTTTCAGAAACGATTCAATTATGTTCACAAATATTTTATGTGCACGAAACAATAGTATAATGTATGGATATTGGAATATGTTTTATATGAATTGACAAAACACAATTTTACATTTATCATAACAAGTTTAGAATTGATTATTTCCAAAAGTATTCATTTTTCTCTTTGCTTAAAAACATAATTATTTTATTATTTCGTACACATACATTTAATAACTTTATGATGTATATATGTATATGTAGGAGGCAAAAAAGGGCTTCGAGGAAGCGTTGCCGAACGCTGACGGTTAGGAGCAGCGTAAGAACGCGGGCAAAATCAGCTGTTAGGACGCATGTGAAAGTCGCTCGCCTATTGTCAACGACCGTAGTCGTAAACATGACCGAAAGGCGAGCGACCGCGAAAAACGAGTGCGAGAGAGAGACCATGTGTGCGAGAGAGAAACCCCACGAAAAGGCCAACAGCCGCAAAAATCGGTGTATCGGCAAGCGTGTGTGAGATTTTGTATATAAATCGAAGCGCTACGAAGAACGAAAGATTATTACGTACAAGCGAGACAGCGAGACAGCGAGTGTGAGTAAAATATATGAGTCAGTGAGTGCGAGTAAAATATATATATATATAATAATTTATAACATTAAACTACTGTTACTTATAATTTACCTCTGTTGAATTAATTTAAAAATCCCACAATTTTGGGGGCTCGTCCGGGATTGATCAAAACAAATAAAATTCGACAGTATAAATCAATCAACGTTTAAATCGAGATCCACAGTCAATTTAAAGTGTCATTGTGCTGAAACGAGATGGCAACAAGAAGTGCAATTGAGTTTTCTGTACAAGAATTAAGGGAAAAGCTCAGGTGCCGCGGCTTAGTCACTTCGGGCATTAAGAGCGAACTCATCGGCAGATTGATGGAGGCAGATCCATCCGGTCTATGGGTCCAAGAAGAGGAGAATCTACCCAGCACCGACGCAGCAGTGGTGCAACCGGAAGCAACTCCACTGCGCGTAAGTACAAACGAAATAGAATATATGCGCCGTGAAATGGAATTGATGCGAAAGGAAGAAGCACTTGACAAACGTGAACTTGAACTCGCTCGAAGAGAAATCGAGATTCTGCGTAGCCAGCAACGGCCGAATTTGAATGCAGAATCACGGGAAAACCTTGATTTAACGCCGCAAGATCCTCCAATTCAAATAACCCCAAGAAGACCCACCACCGAGACAACACCTCGGGTAAACATCGGTGCAATTTCGGAGCTGTTAAATTATTTCGACGGGAGAAGCGAACTCTATAATACGTGGGAAAGGCAAGTGACATTTTTGCAAGCCACTTACCAATTATCAGACGACCTCACTAAAATAATGATCGGCATGCGTCTCAAAGGAAGAGCACTTGACTGGTTTCATTCGAAAGCCGAATACGTCATCATGCCGGTAAACGAATTGCTAAGAAACATCAGGGAGATGTTCCAAAGACGTCAAAGCAAAGTCCAGCTCCGAAAACAATTCGAACAACGGATCTGGAAACGGGAAGAAACGTTCAGTGCGTATCTTCACGAGAAGCTGATATTGGCTAATTATATCGCCATAGATGAAGAGGAAGCAGTGGAATATCTCATAGAGGGAATTCCGGATGCGGCATTGCGAGACCAAGCAAAAGTGCAGCGCCTGAAGACGAAAGAAGACCTGTTGGAGGCCTTCGAGCAGATATCGCTACGCGGACGAGGGCACCAGAGTAACATCCCTACAAGAACCAGCAGCGGTGCGATGCAGCGACGGGATGCGGCGCATGACGTAACGGAGGTCCGGTGTCATAATTGCGGTATGCGGAAACACTATGCGGCCGACTGCCCAATGCGAAGTAAAGGTATGAGATGTTTTGAATGTCGTGAATTTGGTCATATCGCAGCGAAATGTCCAAAAAAAAACGCGAGCATAAAAGACGCATGTAGTGTTTCGGAACTAGCGGATGGCAAATATCATAAAGAGGTTACGATCAATAATCAGAAAATGTCCGCCCTCATAGACACGGGTAGTGATTTATCACTGATGAGCGCGGATCAGTATATTAAAATAGGCTCACCTAAATTAATACGAAACGAGATTAGTTTTCGCGGAATTGGGTCCGAGGGTAACAAAACATTAGGGGAATTCACGACTCATATTGAAATAGATGGAACTTGGTACTCAATTCTGATACGCGTGGTATCGAATACATTGATGCGGCATGAATTATTGATCGGAGCTGATTTCTTACGCAAAGTCGAGTTGAATATCAAGGACGGTAAAATTTCGGTTACGGAATGTAAAAAAGACTCCTTAAACGCGAGCGCACTACCCGAAATATTTAAAATAGATATCGAATACGAAAACAGCCCAGTAGACTTGTCGCATATTGAAGACAAAGAGCATAGGGAAACAGTCCGACGGTTAATACAGTCCTATAGCCCAAACAAAACACGCGAAACGAATATCGAAATGTCTATTGTTCTAACGGATAATGAACCAGTATACCAGAGGGCGAGAAGATTAGCACCATCCGAGCGAGAAGAAGTAAACCATCACGTAACCGAATGGCTGCGCAATGGTGTAATTCAACCGTCTCTGTCAGAGTATACGAGTCCAATAGTATTAGTGAGAAAGAAAAACGGCGATTCAAGATTATGCATTGATTACCGGCAGCTCAACAAAAAAATAGTTAAGGTCCGATTTCCACTCCCAATAATAGAAGACCAAATAAATTCATTAGAGAGCGCGAAAGTATTCACAACCCTCGACTTAAAAAACGGATTTTTTCACGTCCCGATCGAGGCAAAGAGTAGGAAATATACTTCGTTCATTATACCTGATGGACAATATGAATTTCGGTACGCTACTTTCGGTCTGTGTAATTCGCCAGCAATCTTTCAAAAATTCATAAACACAATTTTCGCAGATCTCATTAAACAGGAGAAGGTGTTAATTTACATAGACGATTTCATTATTGCCTCGCGAGATCATAATACGGGACTGGGAATATTGCGAGAAGTATTACAGGTCGCTTCATATCACGGGTTAAAGTTTAATTGGGGGAAAATGTTGCTTTCTACGGACGCGAATACAGTTTCTAGGCCACATAATCGAGAATGGAACAGTTCGCCCTTCCGAAGATAAAATAGAGGCAGTCATGAAATTTAAGCAACCCGAAAATATAAGACATATTCAAAGTTTCCTAGGGCTTACGGGCTATTTTAGAAAATATATACCCGGATATTCAATGATTGCGCGCCCGTTAACTGACCTTCTCAAGAAAAACGCGAAGTTTCAGTTCGATGAAAAAATCGAAGTTGCCTTTAACCAACTGAAACAATTATTATGTAATAAGCCTGTCCTAAGATTATACCGAGTTAAAGCAGAGACAGAGTTACATACGGACGCTTCAATGTACGGGTACGGGGCAATATTATTCCAGCGAGATAATTCCGATAATGCCTTACATCCCGTATATTTCGCGAGCGGAAGAACAACACCAGCCGAAATGAAGTATACGAGTTACGAACTAGAAGTATTAGCAATAATAAAAGCATTGAGGAAATTTCGGATTTACTTATTAGGCATACCATTCAAAATAATAACAGATTGTCAGGCATTTGCACAAACCATTGCCAAGCGAGATTTATGTGTGCGTGTAGCGCGATGGGCACTGACATTAGAAGAATATCAATATACAATCGAGCATCGCGGGGGCAAACATATGATGCACGTCGATGCATTGAGTCGAAACCCATTACCGTCAGTAATGTTAGTTAAAGAATGTGAGGATAGCATCATCGCGAGAATACAAAAAGCACAGCATAGTGACGCGGCGTTGAAAAATTTCTTTAAGGTGGCGGAACGGGGTCAATGCGAAGGATACGTGGTGCGGAACGGTTTGTTATATAAAGAAGAGGCGGGCGAGGTACAATTGATATTACCCAAAGCAATGCAACCCCAGATAATTAGGCAGACACATGAGATAGGGCACTTTTCGGTAGCCAAAACTGAGAACCTGTTAAAACGCGAGTATTGGTTTCCGAATATGCGCGCCACCGTTGAGAAAATTATACGAAATTGTATTAGCTGCATCTTATCGGAAAGGAAACACGGGAAACAAGAAGGTTTCCTAAATGCGATCGACAAGGGAACAGTTCCACTCGATACGTACCATATTGACCATATCGGCCCCTTGCCGTCCACCAAAAAGAGTTATCAACACGTGCTAGTAGTAGTCGATGCATTCGCGAAGTTCGTGTGGCTGTATGCGACTCGCTCCACAACAACAGCGGAAGTAATTTCTAAATTAAAGAAGCAGGCAGATATATTTGGCAATCCCAGACGGATCATATCGGATCGCGGAACAGCATTCACATCGCGAGAATTTGAGCTATATTGCAAAAATGAAAACATCCAGCATGTTTTGATAACGACAGGTGTCCCTAGAGCAAACGGACAAGTAGAACGAGTGAATCGCACTCTTATTCCAATGTTATCAAAACTAGCTGCACCAAAGACGAAAGAATGGTTTAAATATCTAGAATTATGCCAAAAATATCTGAATGCTACGCCAAGTAGGAGCACAGGCACCGCCCCATTCCAATTGTTATTCGGCGTTCCGATGCGTATAAGAGAGGATCCCAAAATAAAAGAATTAATTGAGAGTGAGTGGATTACGATGTTCAGCGAGCAGCGCAACGAGATGCGTGATCAGGCTAGGGAAAACATAGCAAAGATTCAGCGGGAAAATAGACATAGCTATAATCAGAAGAGAAAACGTCCAAATTTATACCACAGCGATGACCTAGTCGCCATAAAAAGAACGCAAACTGCACCCGGCTCTAAGCTGGCAGTAAAATATTACGGGCCATATCAAATTGTAAAAGCGTTGCGTAATGATAGATATATAGTGAAAAAAATCGGGGAACATGATGGGCCACCACAAACAACGACATCCGCTGATCACATGAAGCCCTAGCTAGAAAACGTATCAGACTATTCATATTCGACAGATGAGGAAGAAACCGATAATGCAGCTCTTGAGGACAGGAGCATTGTTCAGGACGGCCGAGTGTAGGAGGCAAAAAAGGGCTTCGAGGAAGCGTTGCCAAACGCTGACGGTTAGGAGCAGCGTAAGAACGCGTACAAAATCAGCTGTTAGGACGCATGTGAAAGTCGCTCGCCTATTGTCAACGACCGTAGTCGTAAACATGACCGAAAGGCGAGCGACCGCGAAAAACGAGTGCGAGAGAGAGACCATGTGTGCGAGAGAGAAAACCCACGAAAAGGCCAACAGCCGCAAAAATCGGTGTATCGGCAAGCGTGTGTGAGATTTTGTATATAAATCGAAGCGCTACGAAGAACGAGAGATTATTACGTACAAGCGAGACAGCGAGACAGCGAGTGTGAGTAAAATATATGAGTCAGTGAGTGCGAGTAAAATATATATATACAGTATTGTCTCTATAGAAGCGACGCTCTCGGGGCTCAACGCTCGGCTATATCGTGGACGAGAAACGATTCTTGATACAGTATTGTCTCTCTATAGACGCGAAGCTATCCCCACTACTTCGTTTGTAATCATCGCGCCGCGGCATCGGGTATCGGATATCAAAGAGAAAGCCGAAGAAAAGTCGACGAGCCCCATCCCCCTTGAACGCTCGAGCGTGAAATCAAAGAAAGCCGAATAGACTACTCGTCTCTCAAGTTGCGTGCGCCCGGTCCCGACACGCGCGGCTATAGAGAGACAATACTGTACTTTGTTGACGCCTACTGGAGGCGGCGAGTATAGAAAAGAACAGCGAGCATATGACAAAGAGGGACTGAGCGGCCGAGCATCGCCGAATTTGCTATCGCTTCCTTCGCTTCGGGTCGGCTGTAACGAAACACAGGCGATGTTTATGCGAGCCTATACGAAATCGGTGTTCTAATTCTGACTTCTACCTCTCTTGGTAGAGGTCGCAGAATGAAATACTGATTCTGTATAGGCTCGCGTAAACATCGCCTGTGTTTCGATACAGCCGACGTGGAGTCACTTGAGCGATGCATGCCTTTGATTTCTTATTGCGTTAGTAAATAGGACCTAAATTGTATATCGTATTTGGTGTCATTTTAATCAGAAAAGTGTCACGAATATGTTGATGAAGTTTGAAAAAAGGAAGAACAAAAATAAAGATGAATTTCGTTGTTGATTTAATATTGTATATGTACTAGTTAAATCGTGTCATAACTTCAGTACATATATGTATGTATCGATCGTTTACTGCAATAGTGATATAACCCGAAAAGATATACATAACTTGCGAATTTAAACTGTTTAACCAACTTATTTTACTCTGAGTTGTCTCACGATTTCGGCAAATAAATGATAGGTCAATTAAATTACAATTCCTTTTTTCAGATGAGGATACACTTTAAAGAAAGGTCAAATGTATATTATAATTTATGAAAAACAATAATAAAAATTATGTTGTACTTGATCTTAGTTAAATCAGAAAACTGTCACAGACATGTTAAAAGTTTCAAAACAAGAAAACGAAAAATAAAAAATTTGTGTTATTGCACTAGTGTTGCCTTAGTAATTTGAGCCCGTATCGTATGACAATGTTCGACGACCGACTGTCAAACGCGCCGCTATCTTGGGGAACCGCCCATAGGAAGGCATAGTCGCCGATACAGCGAGTGCTTAGTTCTAACGGTACGCAGTGGGGATAAGTAGAGGGGATATGATATTTGCCTATATCGTGGACGAGTTCCGAGCTTATATAGAGAAAATACTGTATATATTAAATTATAACATTAAACTACTGTTACTTATAATTTACCTCTGTTGAATTAATTTAAAAATCCCACATATATACATACATTATATAGTTTATATGAAACTTTTTAAGGATTTTATATCAAATAAGGATGAAATATTAATAAGTGGAAAATAATGTATCTATTTCTTACGATGTTATTAAATGTGACTATGGAAGTTCACTATTTTTACAATTGCCCATACTTCCTTAATTGCGATAATACATTCCATATGTTTACAAATCTGCACATTACCATCCAGAAAGTTTACTACTTCGCCTATTACAGATTAAAACAATAGCTAAAATATTTATAGAATTTACATTTTAACCAATTTTTGTCGAAAATTTTCCGTCTTTAATTCTATCGATTAGCAAATTGCGTAATGTTTTTTTTTTTTGAATTGATAAATTAACGTTGAATTTTAGATTTAACAATGATGTTCACACCTATTATTGAAATCAATAACATTATGAAACATAATGAACCTAACAAAAACACTAAGTATTTATACAGCATCATATTCTAATAAATATTTGCATATTTATCAGTATAAAGCAGCGACACTATTTTTATATTCTTATTTAGTATATTTATTTTGTATTTAATATGACATAGTACTGTGGCGCTGCTTCGCTGCGGTAGGAACTCGAACTATCGTAGGAGAGTAGAAAAGGAAAAGAGGGGGCACTAGTGGACTCATCAGTAATGCTTTCTAGCAGGCCCTGCCTTAGACGACTGGAACATTGAAAGGTCAGTAGAGTTGTATATATAGCAACCGAGTGGCCAGTCGAGCACTTATGAGAGCGCGACACCTCTGGTGGCGAGCATGAGAAGCGACGCCACACTATTCATATTAACTAAAATCGTTTGGCACTAATTAAAGCGAGTAAACTACGATATGTCGAATATTTAATAACCAAAGTAGATGATATCATTAGATGGTAATGTGTTATGATGAAATATTTCATAAAAATAATAATGGAATGTTTCATTGAATCATAACGTCTATATTCGTTATTATAAATATATATTTTTATCCAATTTTAATCATGGAAGTTTCTTAACGAAAATGTTAAATATCCTGTGTAGTAACACTATTAACAATAACGTACATATTTGTATATACTTCATAACAAAGATGGTACACGAACAACAACATATAGTAAAATATAGATACAACAGTACAACGCGTATAACAGTGGCTAGATTTCAAATTAATAGTTATACCCAGTTTATGTTACAAAATACATATTTTATTTACGTTTTTGTGCTATGTATAATTCAATATATAGTAGTTTATACGGAATTGAAGATTCCCAAGGTACATACAGTATGTACATTCTGTGCATCTTCTTTTCTAGAATACACATTTTTCTTTTTTTTCAAAATATTTAACTTCGATTTTTATAAATATAAATTAATTATTTCTTATATAATTTCTATTACAAAATGTGATGTAATTTCAAAATGAAATGATTGCAAAATTTATGCAAGATGTAGAATTAATAATAACGAACATTAACAATTCTAATTGTGAAAATATGAAATTCACCTCATTTTTAAGTCGGAGATCTTTTCTTCTATTTTTGATACAACGCATTTTATACGTTATTAAGATTCTATTTCCGAAATATAAGCTCATAAAAGATTATATTAGAAAGACAATGAAGCGAGAATCATAATAATTTAATTATTCTTGAAAAAATACGTCAGCATAAAATAAGCCGTTTGATTTAATATAGTGAAGATGAAAAGCCTTTCCTCACCTTGACGATGCACTTGTAAAACTGTTAAAACAAAAATTGTTCCCATGGATTTTCTTTCGTAAAAACGTAACTTAAAATCGAATGTTTCTTTGTTGAATTTGATCATAAATTTCAGGGGTTAATAACTGGTATCCCAATTTTTCACTCAAATAATACAACTTGTCTTGTATCCTTTTAGGATCATATCCTTCTTCTACGAGATCCTTCTTCTTTAATTTGAATGTACCTACAATTATTATTTATAAATGAGTTCCTTAAATATTTTTTATAATATTATGATATAATATTATACGTATATCTTATGCAATTAACATTAAATATTTTAATTCCAACCAATGCGAAGGCAAATATTAAAACACTTCTTCCGATGTGTCTGTATCATCGTTTAAAAAGGCAGTTATCTTAATTTATAACTCTATAAAATATTAAAATATAAGAAAGTTGTTTATCATTGTAAATACAAATTCTTCATTATCACTATTACCGAGTCTGATGAAGTTTACTAATAAAATTACCTGTGAGATCAATTTTGGTTAAAACCCTAATAAATCTAGGTATTGCATAAAATGCTAGGTGTTCTTTCAGGTCAACTGACAATTTATTAATTTCTAACGTAGCATTCGCATCATATATTGCTGCCATTCCAGCTTTACCTTCGACACCCGGGACCTGGCAAAAAATTCAAAGATATTAAGAGTTAAAAGACAGGAAAAATTATAGAAGATTTCGTGTATTTATTTAATCTATTATTTACCTCAACTCCATATACAATGCAGTCTCTATAGCTAACAACATTACTAATAATAGCTTCGACTTCAGATGTAGAAACATTTTCTCCCTTCCATCTAAATGTGTCGCCTGTTCTATCTTTAAAATATAAATAACCAAACTCATCTGCGATTAGAATGTCACCTATAAAGAGAAATGTACAAATTATTTTTATTCTGTATAGACATTGTATCTAGTTTATATACACAGTTTAAGAGTGTTAAAATTAATAATTCCGTAAAAAGTCTACAAAAATTGAACTAACAAGTATGAACAACAAATACGATATTTTTTTAATTCGATTAAACTAAATCTGTACCGGATATAAATGCTGAATCGCCTTTTGTAAATACATCACGAACTATTTTCTTTTCGGATGCTTTCTCGTCTACATATCCTAAAAATGCTCTAGATGGATTGCTGGGTATAATTTTTCCAACGAATACACCTGGTTCGTCTGAAAATAACAATATAAATAAAAATACTTTATTAAATATTTAACCGTGACATTTTGAACAAAAACTGAAACATATATTTTTGGTAGTGCCTGTGGTTCATTTAAACAAAACAATTTAATTAAACTACCGGTAAACCATTGTAAAGTGTTGGAAAAGTTAAAAAATTAAAATAGAATACTCACTCGGTTCACACACTTGACATAAACCTTTTGCATTTCTAATAGGTTCTCCATCAGCGTTTGCTTTCAAAATAGAAATAGGATAAACCGATGGAATGATTCGAGACATAAAGCCAATAGCTCCAACAGTGTTATCAGTATTTACTGAAAGAAAACAATGTATTAATAAAATAAAAGCCATGTAGAATGTATGTAAAATAAGGTAATTAATCTACCAATGTTAGCATTTCCTTCCGTTGCTCCATAAAACTCAGCAACTCGTGGAATATTAAATCGTTCTACAAATTCAGGCCATATCTGCGGCCTCAAGCCATTTCCAAACATCAGTCTAATATTATGTTTCTTGTCTTCTGGTTTTGGAGGTACAGCTAAGATGTACCTACACATTTCTCCAATATATTGGCCAACCTAAAAATAAATTACACCGATTAGCTCGTACTGAAATTATTTATGCATTATTTTCAAATATTTTAATTCTTTTTTATAGAAAATTGTATTTGCACAGGATTGTATTTACATTCTAATGTTCTTTTTTTGTAATATTAATATTCGATCAATTCTTCAGAAAGCTTAGTTTATTTTCCAAATGTAAGATCTCGCAATGAGTTTGAAATATTTTTGTTTTTATGTAATAAAAATACAATTAGAGATAACTCACTGTACAATTATATTTGATGCAGTCAGTGAAGTAGGAGCTCGCTGAAAACTTCTTCCTAATTACTGTAGTCGCTCCATGAAGAAGAGTTGCACCTGTGGTCATTGCGCCAGCTGCAGTATGATACAATGGCAATGGTGTATAAAACCTATCTGTACTTTTGAATTGCGCCATCATAAAAATACCAGTCGCTATAAACATATACCTGGAAAGGTGAAGGAATCAGATTTACAACGATGCTTTCGATAGAGAATAATTTTTGTTTGAAAAATTGTTCCGTTACATTTATATAGTTTTGTGGCGCTGCTTTGCTGGAGGGTAGGAACTCGAGAATCGTAGGAGGACTGAAAAGGAAAAGGAGGACTCATCAGTAAGGCTTTCTAGCAGGCCCTGCCTTAGATGACTTGGATATTGGGAAGTTTTTTTTTTTTGTCCTTTTCTCATGGTTGGCTGCAGTACCTTGGGCTGTGCCCTATAATCTGCACTTAGAATGAGGATGTTGTTAGAGAAAAAGTGTGCATTAACTTGAAGAAGTATTATCTTTTTTCTAATATTTTGCCGAGTAGGCTCAGCAAGCTAATTGGTCTGTAGTTATTTGTTTTCCAGGCAGTAGGGAAATATGCCAGCTGCCTGAAAATGTAATAAAGCTGTAGGGTCATTCTGGGAGGAAGATGCTTCAGTTGGATGGCTATGATTTTGTCAGGGCCTGGGGATTTTTTGTTTTTCAGGTTTCTGATCAGTCTATGGATTAGTTGGGTAATGGTTGATGGGTTTGGCAGGGAGGTGCTGGTGTTATTTAGTGTGCTTATGAGTTGCTCAGCTTCTTGTTCGGTGGGAGAGTTGTTGAGTATGATAGGAGGGAGGTGGAAAGCGCTGGCAAGTAATTCTGTTTTGTCAGTGTTGGTGAATGCTGTGGTGTTGCCGTCAGAGAGTGGTGGGATGGTAGTTTTGATTTGTTTTAGTGATTTGTAAGTCGTCCAGAGCCTGTTGGGGTTGTCCGCTATTTGACAAAGTTTGTACTGCCAGGCAGTGTTCTTGAGTTCGCAAATTTTGGATTGGATTTGGTTGGTGAGAGTGTTTTGGAGGTGTCTGTGGGTTAGCTGTGTTTTGGTATTTGCGTCTGTATCTGTTGCGTTAGTTTTATGAGGTTCAGGAGCTCGGAGTCTGGTTTGATTGTTTTGTGGTAGACGTGAGTGGTGGTGGTGGTTGCTCTTTTAAAGTTTTGCTTGATTGTGTTTTGGATTTTGGCGATCTCTCTTGTCTATTTCAAGAGTGGAGTTCAGATGTGGGTTCATGGGGTAGTTGTTCCCCTGGGAGCGGAATAGGTGCCAGTCGATGGTGGAGAGGGCGCAGTTTGTAAATAGAGTGTGATTTGTTGGTGTGATGTAGTATTATTGGGTGGTGATTGGAGATGACAAGATGTCAATGTTGGATGGTCTGGCGTGAAGCTGTTTGTGAGAATAGGTATCACTGTTGAGTATGTGGTAGGAGTTTTTAGTCATGTGGGAGTAAAGTGCTTTGTCGTTAGTGATGGTGTTGTTCCAGCAAGGAATTAGATAAGTTAGCCATTTATAAGTTCGGCAGCTTCAAGGAAAGCTTGTAGCTTCTGAACTTTGGTTTGACATGAACTTAATTTAGTGTAAAGGAAATCGAGGGCGCGGCCATATTGTTAATGTCCACAGGATTTCATTTATTGCTTGAGCCTTGGACGAATAGGTTTGAGAGGTCTGGTTGGGAAGTTGGTCGAGGAATGTATATATAGCAACCGAGGGGTCGATTGAGCGTTTGTGAGAGCGCGATCCCTCTGGTGGCGAGCATGGGAGGCGACGCCACAGTTTCAAAGATAATAAAGGCGCTAATTTTTACCGAAATACACTTATAATAGATTTGAACAGCGTATACGTGTGTTTAAAATTTTAACTGATATCAGTGATGTATTACGTTGCGTTGTATATCTAAAGGATGATTTAGTAGATGAGAGAACTGTAAAAACTAGTTCTTTTCAGTAATCATTTTCCTAAAATAGAATTTAATTTAAATACGTTTAAAAATTAGTTGTTTCTTACCTAGAGTTAGTTATAACTGCTGCTTTAGGAAGACCAGTTGTGCCGCTGGTGAAAATGTACAATAATTTATCATGGTGACAGCCTTTTTCTTGAAGAACCGGTGGAGCGGGAGAAATGTCAGCCAAAATGGCGTTTAAATCTTTCTCGTTTAGTTTTGATGTTTTGGAACTTGGTAAATTGCCAAATCTATACAATGTGAATTTTGGATCCAACGAGTCCACGATATCTGTCACAGCTGGAACAAATATTTTATCATATTACAGAGACGTTTGAACAGATATCTTTGAAATAAAACAAATTAATAACTAAGATATTTATACATATGTAACATTAATACGTGCTCCATCAATTGTGAGTTGAATTGTAAAGAAATGTGCACGTACCCCAGACAATTTCAGAATCGAATTTCTTGAAAACCAAGTCTCTCACCCAAAAAATTTATTCTACGTTTACGTTTTATTTTTACGTGAAGAATCGTCTCCTTATCGATTATACCACACTTTGCGGAACACCTTGTACCTTTAAACCTTTTATTAATTTTCATTAATCCGAGCAGTCTGATGTAACAAAAGTATAGTGCAGCAAAGAAAACAGATTGTCTATTATTAATTATATTTTTAACCCTAAATAAAAAGAATTGTATTTATTTGTAACTTTCGATAAAAGAAATTACTTTTTAGTAAAAAATTTTCAATAGAAATATCCCGGCTTAATTATAACTGATTGCTTGAAATTCTCATGAGCTAAATTTCACGTGCAATGCCTCCAATAAATAATTCCACGTGCACACTTCGTACTTAACTGATGTTGCGCAATCATTTATAAAATGGTCCTTGCATTGAATCGACGACAGCACGCAACCGAACACCTAATTTTCTTCCATTCCGAAGTAGTTAGTTCTATTTCCTATTATTGCATCAATCATTAGAGCAAGGACTATATATCTACAGTATAGTACTAGTTGGAAATTACGACTGTAAACATTTCGAGGAACGCGTTAAAATGCTATTCGTGTCTAGATAATGCGCATACATATTTCAGACGTTTTTCTTTTGTTTTTACAAATATTTTATTCGTGTATCGATTAACTGCAAATAAAATTTCAAGTATATTGCCTGAATGAGTAATTATAGACGTTTTTCTTTTCTTTACAAATATTTTATTCGTGTATCGAATAACTGCGAATAAATTTTCAAGTAATTATAAATTATTTATGCTTAGTTAAAAAGACCCACGTAACACACTTTATTTACAACGTTTGTTAGATTTAATAGTAGAAACTAGTACAGATGATCAAGTTTTGAAAATTGTAAGAAACAATTGACTGTTCAATAATTGACAAATGGTCAATTATTATATGATTGTTGTGCTTACCGTCAGTGAAGTCTGATCCGTAAATGAGGGCTTGACATTTAGACACATTGATACTGTGCAGGAGTGCAGCTTTCCGAAGATTTGTGTTAATGAGGGGCGTTATAATTCCCAGCTTACTCAGACCAAGCCAAATTGCAATGAACTCCACTCGATTTTCCAAAAGCACGGCGACCACGTCTCCTTTACGATATCCATAGGTTTTGAACATCGTTGCAACTTTGTTACTATAATCCTCCACCTGGAAGCACGTTAAATTAAATTAGAAACTCTTTCGAGTCAAAAATTTAATACACATTAGATAATAATCTGTGTAACACGTTAATAAGCGCCGAGCTAATTTCATTTCACTTTTCACTTTGTTGGACGACGAGTGAATAGAGAAAATGCGTTTATTTTAAAGAAAGCGGGATCTCTCAATGTTTATTTACAATGAGTGATGTCAAATAGATGCGATCAAAGCTAGCCTTTCATCGTTTGGAAGACTGGTAATTTGAATAATAAGAAACGAGTACATACAATGAGAGTAACGATTTAAGAAAATGCAATTAACATTTTAGCAATGGTTACGCAAAATCATGTTGGCGAGACAGCTTGAATGTAACAGTGACATATTTTGTTATTAATTTCATATTTTTGTTATAACTTCTTAACAAAGCATTTATCAATTTTTTGTTATATAGCGGTTTAGTCTTATTTTTACTTGTAAAACACATTGCTGAAGTATGTATACAGTTTCTCTGTATCTAACAGGAAATATCAACTGCTAATTTATAAATAAAAAAATGTATTAAACGGTGGAAGAGTAACAAATCCGTCAGTATTAGAAACCCGTTGTGTCGCATTAATCGTGTTTTTCTTTTAATCAGAGTACGCATTTATGTTGTCGCATTAATCAAATTCAAAGTGAAATGTAATTTAAACTAGTGTCTTGCATCGATTATGAATCCCATTAGAGTTGCTACCAAGAAAATAAAAAGAAATGGCTAAGAACCACTGATGTAGATAATTTCAAGTTTTCCTCGTGGAAAGAGTGTCTATAAATACTACGATGTGTCTTGCCTGTTGAAACGTCCATTCTTCATCTTCGTAAATAAAACAAACTTTGTTGGGATGCCTGGCGACATGCTGTCGAAATACATCAGCGACGCTACGATCCTTTTTCGAGTGACAACAAATTGTCCAAAGAATTTTCAAATACCCTGTGATGGCTCTGAAATTAACAAAAATATTTCTATTAATTTCTATTAATTATTAAAATTTAAATATCTTTATTAAGGTGAACATATTTATAAATGTATGTTATATCGAAAAAGTGATAGCATTTCGTTGCAAAAAATATGCGACACAAATACGACTGCAAAGGTTATGTGTAATTTAAGAATTTAAATGCGCATGCGTCCTAAAGGAAATACGCGGCGAGTATATACGTAACTTAGTTTATTCAACAGCCCAGTTAAAAGAAAGAAATCTGTATGCGGCGCATATAGTTTTAAGCTATTCACGGCTCATCGACACAACATTTTATGACATTGTATGCATACCGTACTTGTGTACAATGGTTAACCATTAATTTGTACACTAAAAAATCAAGGATACAACTTTATCTATGTTTACCTATTTTAACGGGAACGTATCGTTTGAGTAATACTTGAGATAACAAAACGAACTACCTATTATGTCCAATAAATATTCATTTTCAGGTTAAATATGAATGACAGCATCGAACACGGGCTTTTGAATATGCATCTCTACACCTTTTTCTAAAACGATGTTTCTTGTTTACTTTATACAAACACAAATTACGTGAGACAAAAAAATAAACAACCTATTATGTCCAATAAATATTCATTTCCAGATCAAATATTACTTGAAATATCATCGAACACTGACTTTGAAATATACATCTCTATACTTACTATTAAAACTATGTTTCTTTTTTACTTTATACGGAGTGCTCGACCACCCCTGGGAAAAATTTTAATGGGAGATTCTAGAGGCCAAAATAGGACGAAAATCAAGAATACCGATTTGTTGATGGAGGCTTCGTTAAAAAGTTATTAACGTTTAAAGTTAGTAATTAAAGAATTTTTTTTCTCGAAAATGCGCAGGATTTCGAGGGTATTTCTATTCACCAAAAATAATTGTAATTGATCCCCGTAACCGAAAATAATTTTCTTAGAACGATTTGAAAAATTTAGGCACCTACCCTGTCGATTGTTCTTTGAAATTCGTTTTTCATTTTTAATAAATTTAGTTGGCACTGAATAGAAATGTTATCTAATACTTTTTTGTAGGTGCCCATGGGCTCTACTTCAGAAAAAATTTCAATGAAATATATTCACTATTGTAGGAGTTATGAACATTTGAAAATTGGCCCATTTTTATGGGGGTTTTCTCATTTTGCGGAGTCAAGGAATAACTTCTAGAATATTGTTGGAATTTTCACATATTCTTCACTAAAATACGCGTTGTTTGCATTGTGAAAAATTAAAATCGTCCAATCCATTAAGAAGTTATGACGTTTTAAAGATACGCATGAAATTTTGGGGCACCATTTCGGGGCACACATTATGGTTTTGGTAAGGAATTTTTTTCTCGAAAGTGCGTAGGATTTCTGGGGTATGTGTATTCACCAAAAATGATTGTAATTGACCCCTGCAACCAAAAATAATTTTTTTAGAATGATTTGAAAGTTAACTTTTTCGAAAAATTTGTCCACCTTCCTGAATTTTTTTCTCGATAGTGCGTAGGATTTCGAGGGTATGTATATTCATCAAAAATGTTTGTAATTGATCCCCGTAACCGAAAATAATTTTCTTAGAACGATTTGAAAAATTCTTTTTTCGCTGAAAAATTTAGGCACCTACCCTGTCGATTGTTCTTTGAAATTCGTTTTTCATTTTTCATAAATTTAGTTGGCACTGAATAGAAATGTTATCTAATACTTTTTTGTAGGTGCCCATGGGCTCTACTTCAGAAAAAATTTCAATGAAATATATTCACTATTGTAGGAGTTATGAACATTTGAAAATTGGCCCATTTTTATGGGGGTTTTCTCATTTTGCGGAGTCAAGGAATAACTTCTCGAATATTGTTGGAATTTTCACATATTCTTCACTAAAATGCGCGTTGTTTGCATTGTGAAAAATTAAAATCGTCCAATCCGTTCAGAAGTTATGACGTTTTAAAGATATGCATGAAATTTTGGGGCACCATTTCGGGGCACACATTATGGTTTTGGTAAGGAATTTTTTTCTCGAAAGTGCGTAGGATTTCTGGGGTATGTGTATTCACCAAAAATAATTTTTTTAGTATGATTTGAAATTTGTTAATTTTTTCGAAAAATTTGTCCACATTCCTGAATTTTTTTCTCGATAGTGCGTAGGATTTCGAGGGTATGTATATTCATCAAAAATTTTTGTAATTGATCCCCGTAACCGAAAATAATTTTCTTAGAACGATTTGAAAAATTCTTTTTTCGCTGAAAAATTTAGGCACCTACCCTGTCGATTGTTCTTTGAAATTCGTTTTTCATTTTTAATAAATTTAGTTGGCACTGTATAGAAATGTTGTCTAATACTTTTTTGTAGGTGCCCATGGTCTCTACTTCAGAAAAAAATTTCAATGAAATATATTCACTATTGTAGGAGTTATGAACATTTGAAAATTGGCCCATTTTTATGGGGGTTTTCTCATTTTGCGGAGTCAAGGAATAACTTCTCGAATATTGTTGGAATTTTCACATATTCTTCACTAAAATGCGCGTTGTTTGCATTGTGAAAAATTAAAATCGTCCAATCCGTTCAGAAGTTATGACGTTTTAAAGATACGCATGAAATTTTGGGGCACCATTTCGGGGCACACATTATGGTTTTGGTAAGGAATTTTTTTCTCGAAAGTGCGTAGGATTTCTGGGGTATGTGTATTCACCAAAAATAATTTTTTTAGTATGATTTGAAATTTGTTAATTTTTTCGAAAAATTTGTCCACATTCCTGAATTTTTTTCTCGATAGTGCGTAGGATTTCGAGGGTATGTATATTCATCAAAAATGTTTGTAATTGATCCCCGTAACCGAAAATAATTTTCTTAGAACGATTTGAAAAATTCTTTTTTCGCTGAAAAATTTAGGCACCTACCCTGTCGATTGTTCTTTGAAATTCGTTTTTCATTTTTAATAAATTTAGTTGGCACTGTATAGAAATGTTATCTAATACTTTTTTGTAGGTGCCCATGGGCTCTACTTCAGAAAAAATTTCAATGAAATATATTCACTATTGTAGAGGTTATGAACATTTGAAAATTGGGCCGTTTTTATGGGGGTTTTCTCATTTTGCGAAGTCAAGGAATAACTTCTCGAATATTGTTGGAATTTTCACATATTCTTCACTAAAATGCGCGTTGTTTGCATTGTGAAAAATTAAAATCGTCCAATCCGTTCAAAAGTTATGACGTTTTAAAGATATGCATGAAATTTTGGGGCACCATTTCGGGGCACACATTATGGTTTTGGTAAGGAATTTTTTTCTCGAAAGTGCGTAGGATTTCTGGGGTATGTGTATTCACCAAAAATGATTGTAATTGACCCCTGTAACCAAAAATAATTTTTTTAGAATGATTTGAAAGTTAACTTTTTCGAAAAATTTGTCCACCTTCCTGAATTTTTTTCTCGATAGTGCGTAGGATTTCGAGGGTATGTATATTCATCAAAAATGTTTGTAATTGATCCCCGTAACCGAAAATAATTTTCTTAGAACGATTTGAAAAATTCTTTTTTCGCTGAAAAATTTAGGCACCTACCCTGTCGATTGTTCTTTGAAATTCGTTTTTCATTTTTAATAAATTTAGTTGGCACTGTATAGAAATGTTGTCTAATACTTTTTTGTAGGTGCCCATGGTCTCTACTTCAGAAAAAAATTTCAATGAAATATATTCACTATTTTTGGAGTTATGAACATTTGAAAATTGGCCCATTTTTATGGGGGTTTTCTCATTTTGCGGAGTCAAGGAATAACTTCTCGAATATTGTTGGAATTTTCACATATTCTTCACTAAAATACGCGTTGTTTGCATTGTGAAAAATTAAAATCGTCCAATCCGTTCAGAAGTTATGACGTTTTAAAGATACGCATGAAATTTTGGGGCACCATTTCGGGGCACACATTATGGTTTTGGTAAGGAATTTTTTTCTCGAAAGTGCGTAGGATTTCTGGGGTATGTGTATTCACCAAAAATGATTGTAATTGACCCCTGCAACCAAAAATAATTTTTTTAGAATGATTTGAAATTTGTTAATTTTTTCGAAAAATTTGTCCACCTTCCCGAGTTTTTTTCTCGAAAGTGCGTAGGATTTCGAGGGTATGTATATTCATCAAAAATTTTTGTAATTGATCCCCACAACCGAAAATAATTTTTTCAGAATGATTTGAAATTTTTTAATAACTTTTTAACCAAGCCTCAGTCAAGAAATTGATATTCTTGATTTTCGTCTTATTTTGGCCTCCAGAATCTCCCAATAAAATTTTTCCCAGGGTGGACCGAACACCCTGTATAAATAGGTAAATTTCTAATTAATAATTAAAAATACAATAATGGATAAGTATAAAAAACAAATAAAATACGATGTAAAAAGTAGCAACAGGAAGCCACTGAAGCACCGCAGATAGCTATCCAGGTAACAGAAATCAACTTTATCACAAGTGACCGTAAATAATACCAATGTTACGCAATAAGATAAACCGCATTGCGCGATTCTCGATTCTGAGATTGTTATCGACGTTGCAATTAATATTTTCTCGATGCACGAGAACTAGTCGCGCGCATAAATTTAATTGAACCGTGCGACTATTTATTCCAAGTTTGTGGACTATTTATTCAAATTATTGTCCCTTCTATTGTAAATCCCATTAATCTACATAAATTCTAGTTATTTCAATAAAAATAGTATTCTTATAGAAGTGCATCGTCGCATTTAAAAAAGAAAGATTTTACGTGTCATTTATCTTTTTCCTTGACATTCTTTCGTCAATGCATTGATAACGGAGTTGCGACCTGAAACGATTACGCGAACCAAATTGTAAGTTTCGATGTCTTCAGATTAAAACAAACCATTGATAAAATATTCTTACAGTATTTGCAAAATTATTACATATCTACTGTTTACAATAGAACGAATAATAATAGGGCAGAGCACCTCTTTAAACACAGAGTCATGCATAATAAGCTGTTACTTCGACAATTCACAGTGTAAATAAAAGTATAACGGGTGATACTGCTACGTCACAGTGGGAAACGAGAAAGTATAAATACTGCCTTTCAATGATAATCAGTATTTTTTATGCGCAAGGTAAAGCACCAGATAGTTACTCTTACGCGATTACCACAATAACTACGTTCTATTACGTGTTTGTAATCTAAGAAACGTGTATTAACACGTCCATTATTGACAGTTTTCCTCGCTCACGTTTAAGGATTTACAAGTGAGAAACGTCCACAAGCCAGAAACAAATGTTTACTCAACACACAACCTGTCCCGAAACTGAAATTAACAAACGTTGTCGTGCGAAAGTTTAATAGTTCTGTGGCCTACCTAACCCTAACCCCGACAAAATTCTGTCATAGCGATGACAAGTAACTGGAATGGGACTACTTATAGGTGACGATGCGTAGGAATTAATGGTGAATTCTTTCAATGCAGCCTATTATGATTTCTTTAACAATTTTCACCTGGACAGGAAATAAAAAAAAATCGACGCGCGCCATACAGTGCAGTGTCAACTCCCATTCTCGCCACCAGAGGGGTCGCGCTATTACAAGCATAATATAATATTATATTTCGCGCTTGACCGACCCCTCGATTGCTATACAGGGTGTTCGGCTACCCCTGGGAAAAATTTTATTGGGGGATTCTAGAGGCCAAAATAAGACGAAAATCAAGAATACCAATTTATTGATGAAGGCTTTGTCAAAAAGTTATTAACGTTTAAAGTTGTGTCTGTGAGACGGGAACCGTGCGCGCTTCGTGCACGGAGCTTTAAACGTTAATAACTTTTTAACGAAGCCTCAATCAACAAATTGGCATTCTTGATTTTCGTCTTATTTTGATCTCTAGAATCCCCCATTAAAATTTTTTTCAGACTTTATTCGACTTGTAGTGGATTTGTTTCTATTTCTTTTTTTTTTTAGAGACACCATTGATTGTAATTGACCCCCACAATCGAAAACAATTTTTTCAGATCGATTTGAAATTTTTTTTCTCCGTCGAAAAATTTAAGCAGCTAATTAGATTTTCGGTAAGGAATTTTTTTCTCGAAAGTGCGTAGGATTTCGGGGGTATGTGTAATGACAAAAAATGATTGTAATTGACCCCCGCAACCGAGAATAATTTTTCCAGAACGATTTGAAAGTTTTGAATTCAATTGTTAATAACTTTTTAACGAAGGCTCAGTCTAGAAATTGATATTCTTGATTTTCGCCTTATTTTGGCCTCTAGAATCTCCCATTAAAATTTTTTCCAGGGTAATGCTCGACCGACTTCCTAATATCTCAATCGTCTAAGACAGGGCCGGCTGGAAAGCCTTTACCGACTAGCGGGCCCCCTCCTTTCCTTTTCTGTCCTACGAATTCTCACGGAGTATCTACCCGCGAAAAAAGCAGCGCTACCAGTTCAAAGTCAGTCCGTGGCACGCGATAGAATATTCAATGTTTGTTCTAAAACGAGACGCAGCCGGAATATTTTACCACTTGCGTAAAGAGTTTAAAAAGAAAATATGGTAAACATTCTTGACTTGCGAATTACGCGTGTGCAATGTATGCATTGTCTCGAGACATTTAATTTTGTATGCTTTGTATTAATAAAAATAAAAAAATAACACAGAATTCAACAATAAACAAATGATTCATTCAGTATTTTAAAATACTGAACAAAACGAATAGCAGAAATATTTTGTTATCTTTCGTTAAAAGTTCACTTAAAACAGAATAAAAAATGTAAAACGTAACGTGCTTCAAGTTGCAAAAAAAAAAAAACAAACAAATAGATATAATGTAACAATAATTAGTTGAAGTATCAGTGATGATGTTCACGAATACCTTAAAATCATTTATGGACTTATCAAAATCGTTAATGAGTGGACATTCTACCTTGTTTATCATGCTGCATCTATTATCGCGCGCGCGCATATTAAAAGATTCTTATTTGAATACGTTCTTCGCGATCATATAAAACGTCATTATTGTGTAACAACTGTAATATCTAATAGTGCTACTTTAAAAATCAATTCTCCCACAGGGAAACGCAATGTTATGCTTTGATCGTCGATTTGCTAAATTGTGGGCGCCCACGTCACGTGATTCTACCCCTAATGCAACGCGATCAGCAAAAATGATTGGACGCGTTTCTTTTTTTAACAAGGTGAACTATTTCAAGATAATACGTGTCATACAAGCATATTTTAGATTCTATATCATAACTGAAACCACTTTTAAATCATTACGAAAAATCAAAACAATTTTTAATTTAATTTTCGTCTCCGAATTTTGTTAAAGGAAGTACAAGTTTCGATTGTCAGTTCAATTCTCCCTGCAATCTTTTTTGTAAATGACATTTAAAGTCGCACCAACCATTGACGTAATAACGACTGTAGAAATATTAGTAACAGCTTAACGTACTTTAAATATCATTAAGAATATTGCTATTACCAGCAAAATTAATTATATATTCCTAATATTCGAACGAATTATTCGAATGGATAGTTATGTGTATATAGATTTACTATTCAAGGTTGATAAAATGTTATTCCTGATTTGTACGCGCTATCCGTTATCCAGATTAAATTTCGACCGTCTCTGATCAGTATCAAGGTGTAGATAAATTATATATCACAAAGATAATGTATTTGGATGTTTTGCATTAGAGCAAAGTGCTAAAGAAACATTTTTACCGCGATAACAACTCTAAACATTAATCGAAATTTAAATTAGCACAGAACTGGTTGTATAATTGTCGGAAAATATTGAAAACTTCATCTCAGTCTACCTCAGTCGACCTCAAAATACCCAAACATTCCATTACAAACGAAACCAAGTTGTAAAATAATTTACAAGATAAGTGATAAAAAATAAACAACTATTATTTGAAAACAAGAGACTTGCCCAACTTATAAAACAAAAATATCCCATTATACGTTAATTTTTTTAAAATAATAATGGAGGAATAATTTTTTTACGTCAAAATGTGTAAAGAACTGTTATATTTGAATTATGTGTATATAAAAGTATGAAAAAGTGCTTTCTTCTCTCACTAATTAATTCCTTTTTGTCCCATTCTCTAATTCCGTGATTCACTATATTTAATACATCGGTAGATGAAAGATCTAGAAAATCGACGCGCGGAACGACCCGGTTCCGTTCAGCGAGAATGACAGGAGAATAAAATTCCGATACACCGTGCTACACCGTGCATTGTCGGTCGTAGAGATCCATATCGATGAATCGTTTCGTGCACTATTATTAGCCGATATAAACAACGACAATGCAGCCGATCGAATCGTTGAATAACACCGAAAGCTTTGGACCGCAAGAAGGAGCCAACGATCGATATACATCTCAAGAAAATAATTCTTACTCACATCACGTCCCTGGGCAAAGTTTTGAAGGCTACGTAAAACCATCTGAAACGTCCGCCGGAGACTAGATAGGCGACGAGAACAACCACAAGCAGCTGCACGAGGAAAATGGGGCCCGCGTACATGGCGATCAGCGCCAAACAGGCGACCAAGCTCGCCAACAGCATCATGATGAGCGCCAAGCGGCGAAGCAGGCGGCCGACTGCTTTCCACCGGCTCGGTTCGCCCGTTTCCGTTTCTGTTCCCGTTCGCGTCCTCGTCTTCGCCGTTGTCGTTGTCGTCGCCTCCGTCCCCGCTCCTGCACAGAAGACAACGCGTTAGAACCGACCGTGCCCGCGACTCCCGTTCGTCCTCTGCGTTCGACGTTACCTATCATCGGTTCATTGTTCGAGGCGACTACCACTTCCACCTCTACGCTCGCGACGTTCGGTCCATCTCTTGGTTTATCCTCGAGCTCGACCCTGTTCTCGGCCGACGTCGATGTCCGCGACGAAGACGTCGGCCGCGAACAAACCGACGACGAGAGGCCTACGCCGTCCGAATGAAGCTCGCCCTTTTCTACGTCCTGCAACAACCATCGAACAAGGACCATGTGACATATTCACGCGCAGTAACAAAAAAAAAACATCCACGGCCAGAGGGCCCCCGTCTAATTCTGGATACCAAGTGTTTCCCGATGGTTTTCTTGCTCTTCCGAGACGTGCCACTTTCGTGACTGGGTATACCGCTACGGATTAACCGCTGCTGCCACCACTCCGAGCAAATCGGGGTATCACGTTTCTACACAATACAAGAGATAAAAGGACACGAACGAGGGAACCAACGCGACGCGTGTTTACTTTACGCATGGCGACGTTTGGTGACTGCAATCTGCAAAGAAGCCAGTGCGTTCTGCAATGAGTGATACGATCCACGTGTTTTCACATGGTGTTTGTACAAATATCATCGAGAATATGGAATACAATTTTTTTTAAGCAGTTTCCTTATTGTGTTTACTGTTAATGTCACGGTTTTTTGACGTGTATTTAAGGCATGCGTACTTATTTACGTACGCACGTGCGTAGTTAGTAAATATATATATATACGGGTACTCAAATACTCTAGTAGGGAGTAAGGAACACCAGTGGTTCTCAACCAGTGTCGGACAAAAGTTATTATAATAAATTAGAATTATTCATTCTTTCATTCGAAATCTGCAAATAAAAATGAATTGTTAAATAATACTCAATAAATTTCTTAAAAAAAATCATTGAAGTCTTACATTTTACCACTTTATTTCAGTTATACTTGAAGTAGTCTGGTAAAAGTTTTCTTTTATACGGGATGTTCGGCCAACCCTGGGAAAAATTTTAACGGGAGATTCTAGAGGCCAAAATAAGACGAAAAACAAGAATATAAATTTCTTGACTGAGGCTTTGTTAAAAAGTTATTAACGTTTGAAGTTAAAGTGTGCAGCGCGCACGGTTGCCGTCTCACAGGCGCAACTATAAACGTTCGTAACTTTTTAACGAAGCCTCCATCAACAAATTGGTATTTTTGATTTTCGTCTTATTTTGGCCTCTAGAATCTCCCGTTAAAAATTTTTCCCATGGATGGCCGAACACCCTGTATAAAGGGTTCGCGGGAAGATGAAATTTGAGAAACACTGGTCTAGCTTACATAATACGTTAGAGCCCTTGAAACGCTGTATAGTTTACGGATAGTAGTTCGTATTAATAATGTTACAGACTTAAACGATTATTTATTTAAGATGTATACATTACTAATGCTACGGAGTAACTATTTAATTATTTTGTGTCGTGTATATTAATATTACCAATTTAAGCGAAGGGTCTAATTTCTTCGGGCAATATATATATATTAGTATCGTTTCACATACAAATAAGTGTGTCTCGAATCATATTAGCATTATGAATACGTTATAGATTCGATGATTGACAATTAAACTTATGCGTAGTATATTAAATATTACGCAGCAATGATTATCTTCTTTAAATATTTTCCTGTTTTGTACTGTTTACAGTTATCCGAAACACATGCCAAACATAAACGACAGTTATTGTAAATTCTCGATTTAACGAATTTGAATATTAAGTTATAACATAGACGAACGTTGATAGCATCTTTCCAATCAATGTATTATTCTGATATAACAAATTCTAATTTTTTGCATTAATTTGCAAAATTGAAGAATTACTGCAAACGTGTTTGTGTTCCTTTTTCTTAAATATTGCCTTTCATATCTGCTAGGATTTCTATACTTTCTACTTTCTCCTTGAGTTTCTCTCGTAAGATGCACCGTTCCTAAAATATCTCTTTGTTATTAATACATATTTTAATAATAAACTTTGTTTTATAAAGGTTTCTTTGTTTTTGAAATTGTACTCTTGTCCGTCGTATGAAAAATCATAATTATAATGTAATAATAAAAATATTATTCCGTTATTTAATGTCTTTCGATCTCTTTTTAGCGTCCTCGACGAACAATGCACTTTAAACATGTTTGTCTCCTTTACAATTATTTGAACATATATTATTTTATGTAAATTTATATTATATTTATAAATACAATTTATTACTATAAATTATTAAAACTACTAATGTCATTATGCTCTGATGTTTCAAATTAAAATAGTGAAACATTTTGGTAAGCCGTTTCATCAATGTATTCATATAATTTTCCAATATTTTTATATAATATTTACGAAAACCACAAAATTTGAAATTGAACTGGGTATAGGAATACCTTTTTCAACAAATATTTATTGAAATATCATACATTTTATTTTTGTAATATTCTATACAAAATTACAATTAATGCCTATATATATTTATAATTTTTTATTGCACCCTTATTTATAATGCGATCGAAGCGGCGCAGTCATAAAGCCATTCGAACAATTGTTAGTTGCAGAGTTACCGATAATCGGTAACAGAATCTCTGTAACAAAATTATAAATATACACATTTTACATATTTCCCTTCCATTATTTCTTTCCGTAACATGAACAAATTCGAAGTACATTCAATAGGGCCATTTCCTAAATTTCACAAATCACTTTATTGCCTATCTAACGACTATGCCAATATAACAATTTATTAAGATCAGAAAGTACAAGTAAGCTAACAGAAATATATTGAAAGCAAATGTAAATACACTGTTTATTTCAAACATTACAGTTCAAAGATCGGAGAAGAATAATATTTAATTTTTTAACATTTGAATTTCTGTATATGTATATGCATAGCATAATTTCATCTCTAAACTTTTTAAGCAAGGGGGCAACAGTTTATTCTTGTCATTCATTGTAATTGTAATCTCTATTTACTTATATAAATTTACAAAGAAGAGTCAAGAAAACTGACCTCCGACAAGCTGTACTAAACAAATATGGGACGCTAAGCATGATAATAAAAAAAGCTAATGTGATAAGTGAGGTAGTTTATCTTTTAGCCGTACACCTTAGACATTATCTATGGCAGACGATGTAGCATTATCGATTATATTTATAACTCACTTTCATATATCAACGACTTGTGATATAATGATTTTTACATGTTTTTATTGTTTCTTTTCTTTACAATCGACTGAACCAAATATTCTAAAATATTGTTTGTTCCATTATTTACCTTTTTGTTTATCATTTCACTTATGTTTAAACTACATTTTTATATCATGCATTTAACAGGTTACGTATCATTTTTATATATTTAAATACTTCACAAGCTTTAAATTATATTATTATTATTATAAGGTTTATATTTTTCGGTTTAAATCATTTTTTGTTCAATTTTCATACAATGCTATTGTTAACTTAATAAGCACAAGTGTTATTTAGTAAATTTTATTTAACATTGTTCCAAATAATTATTGGTAATTATAACAATTGAAAGTGTTTTGATTTTTCAGGCCTTTATTATGTAACATCCGAAAAGAATGTTTATCATTTATTTATTATCATTGGCATAAGAACCAAAAATCACTGTTATTTTATAATTTGAATATTCTTTGATAATTTTATTCCATTAATGTTGAAATTCCGAATTTGTGTTTCAACATGAAATAGGAATTCTTACTCACCCCAAAAAGATATTTATGACTTTGGTTAACGGTCTGATAGGAGGCTAGAACACATTTTTGTAGGACTCGTTTTAGTCGCGTGTTTGCTGTGCACAGTGAACATGCATCGAAATATACTTCCTTGACTATGAAAATGTACAATTTCCTCACTGAACCGACCAAAAGCAATACTTGTTTCCTAAATGCAATTTATAAAAACACCAGGGATCGTAATGTCTTGAAATCATCCCCAACAGTGGAACTTAATCAATAACCTTACATTAGTGCTATCGCGTGGCAAAATTCAGAAGCTTCTTGTCCACTACTCGACGAATGTTATCCACACAAAATCAATTCCAAATACAATTTTTAAATATACTGGGTGTTTGGCCAACCCTGGGAAAAAATTTAATGAGAGATTCTGGCGGCTAAAATAAGACGAAAATCAAGAATACCAATTTTTTGATGGAGGCTTTGTTAAAAAGTTATTTAATATATAAAATAATATAAAATGCGCAGGATTTCGGGGGTATGTTTATTCACCAAAAATGATTGTAAGTGACCCTCGCAACCGAAAATAATTTTTCCAGAACGATTTGACATTTTTTTTCCCGTCGAAAGATTTAGGTACCCACCACCTGTCGATTTTTGTTAAATATTTGTTTTTGATTTTTAGTAATTTTGTTTGACGCCCTATAGAAAAGTTGTCTAATACTTATTTGTAGGTATCCATGAGCTCTACTGCCCTACTAAATTTCAATGAGACACGTTCACTATTGTAGGAGTTATGGCTGTTTGAAAATTGGACAATTTTTATGGGGTTTTTCTCAGTTTGCCGTGCCAAGGATCAACTTTTCGAATATTTTTGGAATTTCCACATAATCTACACTAAAATACCCATTGTTTGTATTTTGAAACATTAAAATCGTCCAATCCATCCAGAAGTTATGACGTTTTAAAGATACCCATGAAATTTTGGGGCACCATTTCGGGGCACACATTATGTTTTTGGTAAGGAATTTTTTTCTTGAACGTGGATTGGATTTTTGGGGTATGTGTATTCACCAAAAATGATTGTAATTGACCCCCGCGACCGAAAATAATTTTTCTAGAACGATTTGACATTTTTTTTTCGTCGAAAAATTTAGGCACTGTCGATTTTTTTTTTAAATTCGTTTTTGATTTTTAACACATTTGTTTGACGCTCTACAGAAATGTTGTCTAATACTGTTTTGTAGATGCCCAGGAGCTCTACCGGAGAAAAAAGTTTCATTGAAATATATTCACTATTATGGGAGTTATTGTTGCTTGAAAATTGGACCATTTTTAAGGGGGTTTTCACAGTTTGCGGTGTCAAGAAGTAACTTTTCGAATATTTTTGGAATTTCCACATAACCTATACTAAAATACGCGTAATTTGCATTTAAAAAAATTAAAATCATCGACATCGTTCAGAAATTATGACATTTTAAAGATACGCATGAAATTACAAGGAGACACTTCTG